CTCAACAGGTACCACGTTGTCCTTGAGATCCAAGATGTGATGCAGGGCCTTTTCTCCAAGCCTGGCCTCCTGGACCAGCTGTTCGCGCATCATGATTGGATCCTCAATTACAGCAGTGTACTTTGGAGTGGCGCGATAGGTGTGGTCTGGTGGAAGCGGTGGCATCCAGCTTGGGATGTACTCTTTTGGACCAACGCTCGGCGGAACCACTTGCGAAATCACAGAGGAAGTGTCGTTGAAGAAAACAAATGCCGGATCCTGCTCGGTCACAATCTCATCCTCTGCGGGTTTATCTAGAATCTCGCACAACCTGCGTGCTCTGCGATCAATATTCGCTAACTTCTGAGTGTTCAGCTTCTTCGTCAACAAGAAAGCCTCGTAAATGGATCTGAAATCAATCACACCCAACTTTTCAAGCGTCCTCAAATCGGCCTTCCCTGGCTGTCGCCTGCGCTGCACCTCTGTTATTCTGTGAAGTTGCGAGAATACTTGGTCAATGTGTCTGACAGCAAGAAGAGTTAGCTGGTTTAGAGCCGAGCGCGTGATATGCTGTATTCCTATCTGAGGAAGCATTAAGCCAAGGCATGATTCGAGTAGCATGTCCATGGGCTCTAGGTCGAACTTGACTCGCTCTATCGGTATATCTTGAGCAAGGTCCATTCTTGACGGCTGGGAATCTTCAATTTCCTTCAAAAGCGCAGCAACAGCTTGTTCGTCTAGTACGTCCTCGCTTAGCAAACTTTCATGTTTCTCGCCGGCTTCTTTGTGAGCATTTGGCGACTCTGATTCTTCGGCCATCGATAATATTATTTTATTTACAATATTTTTTTAATTTGGCCTTATTTTTTGGTTCCTCAATTTACATGTCCATCAACCTTTTGGCAGACCGTGCTGCAAATTCATTGGCTGCTCTCAATGAAACTGGACTAGAGGTGCTTTCGAGACTGGAATTATCCAACTCCAAGTCTCCCAAATCTCTCTTGGTACAGGAATTGTTCAGTGAAACCTACTCACTGCTAAAGCCCTTGCAAGACAAAACTGTATCCTCTAGATACTACAGACAGTTGCACCGTAAATTGACCAAAATACTCGGAAACTTCAAAGATGGGCTTGTTGAACCCCAGGATAGCGACCTGGCTCAATTGCAGCATTTGATCTCTATCTACGCCACGATGGCTCTGGTTACGGTCACCAGTCATATTCTGCTTAATAACACGCTCAAAATCTCAGACGACATCGATTACTACGACACAGTACTCAGCTCCAACGTCAACACCTGTCTCTATACGATTCAGACTCTCCCGGTGACGCTGAAAAGGGGATTTGACAGTTTGGTCAATGAGGCGGTTCGCAAGCATGTGAATTCTTCCAGCACCGAGAATTTGGCTCCTAGCTGGGTCCCGCAGAGACTTTCGCCTTTCTGCTCCAATCTCATAAGATGGGTTCGTTTCCTGGTAGATGCCACGTCTCAAAATCTGCGTCGTCTATTGCTCTCTCCAACAAGCTTCCTTGTGGAAAAGCATCGAAAAACCAACAGTCTTGTGCGCAACTTTGTATCCACCGTTGTGGGGTTCCCTATCGCTTACTCCAAAATGGATGTTAAGCAAAAGAGAGATACATTGGATCAACAGAAATACGAGAATGTCGAAAAGCTCGGGTTCTTGTTGAAAGAGATGCCCTACAACTTTCTCGCAGAGCAGACCGACACTGTATCTTCGTTTATTCCAAAACTGGCTGGCTTATATCTGCCATCAGCATCAGGCATAGCGGACCATACCCTGGATTCGTCTCTGAGGTCACTGTCGCTTCTGTTTGAGACGCTGCCTCAACTAAAGAAACAGCTGGAGTCGAAGTATCGTGAAAACCAAGAGCCCAGGACACTGCTCAAATATTGGCTTCCGATCTGTGCTGCTCTGTGGTACGGCCCAAACCTTGCGTATGACCTCGTTTCCAACAGGGAAGCCATTGTTAACTGGTTGAAAATCAATTTGGTGGACACCACCGTTGGATTCTGGAACAACTGGATAGTCGAGCCATTCAATAATATTCTGCGAACAATAAGACACGATGAGAACTCTCGCATTGCGATTATGTCCCAAAAGTCTCTCTCCTCTGACTTGGAGTCCCTCGAGCGAATGGTTCTCGAATACTCTCTGGACAACCAGGCCTACATTCGGCAAGGCGAGGTAATGTCGGAAGACGTGGCGGAACTAGTGAAACGGGAGGTAGCACAGGGGAACCTTGAGATCGTGATGAAGGGCTACGAAAACGACCTCAAGTCTCCTCTCAAATCCCTCATTCTCGGAGACATGATTAGAAACTTGCTTATCCAGATTCAAAAAATGAAAGTCGACGGCGCATTGGCCATGTCGGGAATCGACAAGATCATTCGATCTCAAGAATTGGTCTTTGGATTTGTTGCTGCGTCTCCTAGCTGCTTGATTGTCTGGTACATGGCCAAGGTTGTGCGGTCGTACCTGAAAACCGGCTATTTCATCAAGTTCACCAGAAATACTAAAATTGCTCTGCGACGCTCGCTAAACAACCTTGAAAGACTGGTGGACCTTGAACTCACCACGTCAGAGTCTTCCACCTACTTCAACGAGGGCTTGCTCCTGTTGGAATTGGTGAATTTACGCAAGCTAGGTCTGCAAATTCTCCCGGTGTATGCAAGACAGGACTGGATTAGAGACCTAAACGACCTGTCAGACCAAAACTATGACTACAACTTTAAACTCATGACCATTTCGAGAATATGGAACTCATACAGAACGCTCATAGAATAGCAACTTTATTGAACTGTCGTACAAAACAAAACGGTTGGCGGATACCTCATAGGATCGAATCCACAATGCGGTTGCCAATGGTAGCCCCAGCACCAAAAATGGTAGAATCACCTAGTCTTTTGCCGAAATCTTTCACTTTCTCGGTCTTGTGGTGCTCTTTAGGCTGCTCCTGAGCTTTCTGTTGAGCGGCGGCTTCTTGCTTCTTTTCGGTTTCCTTGTCTCCCATGGTGTTTGATGTATTCATACCGCTTGTTCCACCCGACTACTTATATTCTTTTGATTACGTAATCTGAGCAATCTTGCTCTATTGCTTTCAAGTACAAGCTACATACGTTACATCATAAATAATAAGACGCGGCGCATGCGCGTCTTACAAAGGAGCGCAAATACTGTCTGAGGATTGCGGAGAAGAAGGTGAAATTCTGCCGTTACTGATATCGCTCAAATACTGGACGCTAGATGCAGGATTCTCGATCTGGTCATTCGTGTATACGTTCACGTGGTTGAGTGTCGGAGCAGCGGAGGGCGAGCTTGAGACAAAAGCCAAACTCGGCGGCATTATGCCCAGCCTATGGGGGGACCCTGACTTGAAAGAAGCGTTGGAAGCTGCTGAACGAGCCATCCGGAGCGGGCTGTTTAGTATTCTATTGATCGATTCTGCACGTACGCTGAGCGGCACACTATCAGAATTATTTGACTCTACGAGCGAGTCCACTTCGTCAGATATAGGTGAATGTTCGGCACTTCGCACGCTCTTTGCCAGTTGTGGAGCCAGGCTGAACAATTTCGAGTTTTTCTGTCTTATCGATTTGAGATCCTGCGTGGTGGCAGACAAAATATCGCTCGTAACCTCGTAGACCTCACAGCCGATGCGGATCTGGTTTAGGCTTTCTTCGTGGGAGAAGGTTGCAGCGACTCCTTGCTCTTGCGCTCTATTTCTCTCATACGCGCTCTTCCCTCTTTTGTTTGGAGTTGCGGGCTGGCTTGTACTGGTTGGACTCGCTGACTGGCCTTTGACGGTCTGTTTGTTCTGTAGGGGCGTGCGATTCCTCCCTGAATTTCTTACGGGGCTCCCTCCAGAGGAGCTGCTCGAGCTGCTGTTCGATTGTCTTCTTTGCTTGTTCACAGCAGGCCGTCTAGCAATGTCTCCTAGCCGCCTCTGTGTGCTGTTGTTGGAGCCCGAGGTGCTTTTTGTCGACCGCAGCGAGCTAGCCTCGCCCAGCTCTGTAATCCCGTCGTTGATGCCGCCACTTTCTCCCAGCATGTCCTCAAATTCAGGGGTGCCGAATTTGTTGACCAGGTCCTCAGAATTGCTCTTGTACATATTGGACACTCCTTGGTTGAGCTCGTGGGCGTCCTTGGCCATGCTTTTCATGAAAAGGCCAAAGATGCGGAAAACGGCCCGCGGAAGCAGCACCACCAGCAGCACCGCCGCAGCCACCGATATGGTGTCAATGTGGTCGTCCACAAACGGCCGCACCTTCGTTTCGTACTGCCCGGCAAGCTGGTCAAAAACTGGCTTCCAGCCATCCACAAGCTCCGACACGTGGACCTCAAGGTACCTGGAATAGCAGTGGGTCAGCTTGGACAAGACGAGATCGTACACCTCGGCTGAAAAAGCGCATATCTCGGTTGCTGTTTTAGAAAGCAGCTCCTTTACGATTCTGTAGCGCGGCTCGATATAGGCAACTGTCACGTTGTAATAAGGCGCTAGACGATAAACCTGCTCCACCACTGGATGCGACGCTGAAACTAGGTGTTTTCTCGCAACTGCAATGGTCGGGTACAGAGTCTCCTTTATCTGAGTGTAATACGGTGCGCCGAATTTGATAACGTTCTGGACATGTTTATTTTCATTGAGGAAGTAAAGTCTAACTTTCTGGAATAGCTCTAAAAACTGAACACCAGACTTCTGTTTTTGCGGCGAGACTGATTCTGCTGTTAGCAATACTGAGGGCCAGCCACTTACCGTATGTGAGAGGAATCTCAGGCAGCGTGATTATCTCAAAATTCTTGAGTAGCACGAGCGAAAGCAGCGTAATCACTGCGTAGTACATTGGCAGAATCGTAATCATAGTTCATATATCTCCGACAAGAGCGACTAATTGCTGTTTGCTAATCGGTAGAAAGATTCAACAAGGATGATTGTTTATTATATTGCTTTCAAGAATAAGTGGAAACTATCGACGCGACGCTCGCGACTAACTTTATTTCATGTTCTCTGCGGCTTTGGCAGGAGTGGTATTCGCGCTAAACGTCCTCTGTACGTTGGCCACCGCGGCTGTGTTGGTTGTTTCGAGGGTACCGCAGCTAAGGTTCCTACTCCAGTACGGCAAGACGCTGCGGAACGATCCGCACCCGCGCCTGCTAGACCTGTACGTGCCGAAAAAATGGTTTACTCACTTCTACGAGTTCTCGCTCGCACTGAGCACTGCCGGGCTCATCTGGGTCTTTGCAAACCACTCCTTCTGCCTCATCCATCTTGTCTGCATGCTCACGTTTTTTCAGAGCCTCAAAAGAGTGTACGAGTGCCTGTTTGTCTCGAAGTTTTCTCCGACAGCCAAAGTGCACGTGACACATTACCTGGCAGGGCTGCTATTCTACGTTTGGGCAGACGTGCTGCCCATTCTGAGCTCGGAGCTGCCTGATTCGACGCTGAAACGCAGCCCGTCAGCATTTTCATATTTCTGTGCGCTTCTGGCCTTGCTGCTGTCGTACGACCAGTACATCAACCACAAGCATTTGGCCAGTCTGAAAAAATATACAATGCCGCACGACGGGCTCTTCAAGTACATCTGTTGCGCACACTACTTCGACGAGGTGTCCATCTACCTGTGCCACTTCCTTATCCAGCAAAATGTCTCGTCGTTTTTGGTTTTTGTGTGGACGCTCGTCAATCTCTCTGCGTCGGCTACACAGTCGTACAATTTCTACGGAAAGCCTGCCAAGGCAGCCATCATCCCGTTCATATATTAGTCATCCCATCTTCTAATGCACACACTGGCGTTGGTGCCTCCAAACCCAAAGCTGTTGGTAAGTGCGTAGTCCACCGTCTTTTGCTGGGCTTTGTTGCTGATATAGTTAAAGATGTATTTTCCCGACCCATCTGCATTTCCAGGATGGTTGCAATTCAAGGTCGGCGGCAACACCCCATTTTTCACCGCAAGAACCGTGTAAATAGCCTCCACCGACCCGGCTGCCCCCAGCAGATGGCCTATGGCTCCCTTGGTCGACGAAACGCACAAATCGGGCCGTGAATGCTTAAAAAGAGCCACCAGCGCATTATTCTCCGCATCGTCGCCCAGAACCGTCGAGGTCGCGTGCGCGTTGACGTAGCCAACCTGCGCAGCCTCAATCCCAGCAAACTTGATGGCCTGCGCCATTGCTCGCCTCGCGCCGTCTCCGTGCAAGTTGGGCGACGTTATATGGCTGGCGTCTCCGCTGAGACCGTAGCCGGCCACCTCAGCGTAGATCGTGGCGTTTCTGGCGCGCGCATGCTCAAGTTCCTCCAAAATTACGACTCCAGCGCCTTCACTGAGCACAAATCCGTCGCGGTCGGCGTCAAATGGCCGAGACGCCTTTTCCGGCTCTTTGTTGAACTTTGTCGAAAGCGACCGCGCTCTCGCAAAACCGCCAACCGCAACAGGATGGATCACCCCCTCGGCAGCCCCTGCCACCATCACGTCCGCGTAGTTGTCCCTAATAAATCGCGCTGCGTCGCCTATGGCGTTCAGTCCTGTGGCACACGCCGTGGCCACCGCGTGGTTCGGCCCAAGAAGCTGGTGGCGGATCGAGATATGGCCCGCTGCCATGTTTGTGAGCAGTTTGGGAACAAACAGCGGCTGCACCCTGCGGTACCCTTTTTCGTGGAAATTGACCGCATTTTCGTAGAGGTCGTCCATGGACCCGATTCCGGAGCCTACACACACACCGGTGCGCTCCTTCTGGGTCTCGGAAGATGGTACCCAGCCGGAATCGTCGAGTGCCTCTTTGGCAGCAACCAGGCCGTATTGGATGAAGTTGGACAGCTTTCGCACCTCGTGAGCTTCAAAATGGTCCAACGCGTTGTACTTGTTTTCTGTGGCCGGTCCACGAGGAATTGCTCCAACCACTTTGGCAGGAATGTCTTTGTACTGAGAAGCGTTTTCCAGCTGCTCCACCGAGCAAAGGCCAGAATTCCCTGCAATGAGTCTCGTCCAGTTAGACTTTACACCCACACCTAGCGGTGTGATCATGCCCAGGCCTGTGATTACCACTCTCCGGCCAGACATAGATCCATATTTGGGACACGTTCAGAAATGTCCGTTACGCCTAGCACCGACAATGTGACACAGCCAGAGAAAAAAATATTTTATGAAAAGTCTAAAAAAATTTATAAAGCTTGAATAATGGTAGGATCGCAGCTCAAGCAGCTCAAGGCGTCGTTGAAGGCAGCAGGGCTTGTGGGGCAGACAAACTCAAGGAAAAAGGGTAAGAAACACTCCAAAAAGACGCCGAATGAGTCGAGGCGGGACGACAAGCAGCAAATTCTGGAGAAGATAAGGGAGGACTTCAACCCGTTCGATCTCAAGGTGAGTCGGTCCAAGCGCGAAGACCTACTCGAGAAAAAACGTGTGGTTGGCAAGCCCGGCATTTCGAAGCAGGCAGGAGAGGAAAACCGTCGTGCTGCGTTCGAGGCCAAACGGTCCAGAAAGAATAAGGTGGGTGGCCTGGTTGATCGACGGTTTGGTGAAGGCAACAGTCAGATGTCTGCGGAGGAAAAGATGCTTGCACGTTTTGTGAAGGAAAGACAGACTCAGGCGTCGCGTTCTTCCGTGTTCAATTTGGAAGACGCTGACGAGGATACATTAACGCATTATGGCCAGTCTCTGGCCTTTGATGAGACTGCCGACGACGAGGACGAAGACGAGCCATTTTTCAGCCAGAAAGGTGAATCAAAGCTTGCAGAGCCAGAAGAAGAGCCTGTTGGCCGCAAGAAGACGAAGCAGGAGGTGATGAGAGAAATCATAGCGAAGTCGAAACACTACAAGCGGGAGCGTCAGAAGCTTGCGGAGCAGACCCAGTTTGCTGTCCAGGAGCTTGATGAGGACTTTGATAACGTGATGGGCACGTTAATTAGTGTTCCACAACAAGAAGCTGCTCCTGCTACCAAGACAGAGGAAGAGAAAAAATACGACATGAAAGTGAAACAGATCGCATTGGACCGCCGCGCGGCTCCCGCAGACCGCACCAAAACAGAGGAGGAGCTGGAGAAGGAGCGGAAGGAGAGACAGGAGAAGCTGGAGGCAGAGAGACAGCGTCGTATGGAAGGCGAGGACCTGGAAGAGCACGGCGGTGCTGACGATCTTGACGACGTCTGGGAGGGAGCTAGCGATATGAACGAGGACTCTATGAGCGAAAACGAGGACGCTGAGGAATTAGAGCAGGATGAGCAGTCTCCAGCTGTGGAGGAGCCAAGTGTCATCAAAATTGGAGGCAAGGTCATTACGGTGAAATCTACAGTGAAAGGTAAATGTCCTGCCACTCTGGACGACATGATCGAAGCAACGAAAGATATGGAAACCAAGGACATCTCAACGTTTGTGGTGGGCATTTTCAAGACTTACCAACCCAAACTTGCCCACGGAAATAAGGAGAAAATAGGAATCTTCAGTCGTGTTCTTGTACAATACGTGCTTTATTTGGCTGAGAACTATGACTCGAAAAATGCAGAGCTAGCGGACTTCCTTGCTAAGCTCATCAAAAGCATGTGCGAGAAGTACCCAGAGGAGATGTGTGAGGAGTTTCGGCTGCAGCTCAAAAATTTGCAACATATTCTTCAAAAGCGAGACTTTTCCATGTTCCCGCGCCAACGAGACCTTCTTCTATTCACACTGATCGGTGCAACATTCTCCACCTCGGACCTGTATCATCTGGTGGTGACTCCTGCTTCCTTATTGATCGGAGAGTTGCTCGAGGTGATGCAAATCAATTCTAAAGTGCACCACTTGTTCGCAGGCATCTATTTCTGCGACCTACTGCTGCAATACCAGCGTCTGTCCAAACGCCTGATCCCAGAGGCCGTCAACTTTCTGGAACGCGCATTGCTGGCTCTCATTCCCGAGCCAGAGAAGATCGAAAACACTTATCTTTGTGTGACTCCAAAAACCACAAAATTGACTTTGGCTTCCAACACACAGTTACCAGAATCGCTTGATCCACTGACCTTGAGCAACTGGAAAGATTCCGGCCAGAAACAGCGGCTCAACTTGCTGCTGAAGGCTGTGACAACTCTTGATAATTCTCTCTCGATGCTCAAAGAGAGCGGGGCGTTTCTCGAGCTGATCAAACCATTTGAAGTAATTTTGAGACATATGGTGAAATACTACGCCGCTTCTTCCGTGCCAGGAGTATTGACAAAGGTGCAGAATCTCACCAGAATTGCCAAGTTGGACAGACACCCACTCAAATTGCAGGCACACCGTGCAGTTGCAATCCCAACATACTTGCCTAAATTCGAGGAGAATTTCAACCCTGATAAAAAGTCATACGACCCTGACCAGACCAGACAGGAGATCAGCAAGCTGCGCCACCAGATCAAACAGGAGCGCAAACAGAATCTGCGGGAAATCAGAAGGGATACTCAATTTGAAGCCAGAGAGCAGCTAAAACTCAAACGCAAAGAATATGAGGAGTACCATGCCAAAATGGCCAGAATCATCAACTCGATCCAGACAGAGGAAGGTGCAGCCAAGAACGAGTACGAGCGGGAAAAGAAGAGAAGAAAGAAATAGACTGTGTAAATTAATTCACGCCTTCTTTGTGCTTGTAAATCTGGTTTATCAGTCCCAGTACCCCTGCCTCGTCATCATCTTCCGAATCTGCGTCTTCCTCGTGGTGTGTCGTGTCCTCCACCGGGAATCCGTGCTGAAAGGACTCGCCGAGAAGAGTGCTATTGTTGAGTGTCTGCAAGTAGTTTCTTGTATCTGTGGACAGTCCTGCGGTCGTATCTTCCATAAGATCGATATTCTGACTTTTAGTGTACACTGACTCGGCCAAATTAGGGGACCTGAATTGTGGTGGATACCTGACAGTCGATTGAGCTCCACGGCTTTTGTCCATCATTGAGTTGTTCATCATTGCGGACCGAAGAAGGTTTTTCTTACCTGGACGTCTGCTAATTCGGTCTACGGCCGGCTCCTTGCCCGTTTTCCGCACCGACTCGTTTCCATAGCTCTCCAGGAAGTATAGATAGGACTTGACCATTTTATCGTCGTCAGCAGTGTAGTATTCTTGTTTCAGATCATCGTCGTCGTTGGCCGCCTGGCTGCGAACAGGCTTGTCTTTGCTATCAAATTCAAACATAGCAAACGTGCAAACGTAGCCAAGTCCGTCAACGTGAACACTGAACTCTCTAAAGAAGTCAATCACCTTTTCGGACACATCTGGCAGCCGGCAGTACAATATGTATGGAAGCATGATCAAGCTGGTAATTTCCTTAAGCACCAAGATGAGTCGCAAGTTGAAAAGCTTGCAAAACTCGTTTTTCACCTCTTCAGTGTGGAATCTGCCGTTCCAAGAGTTGGGAAGATAATGTGTAAACTGGGCCACGTATCTCAATGAAGCCTCTGGATCAAAAACTGTATCGTTTTCGGAAACCGAGCCTTTGCAAATGGTGAATACGGCTCCCAAAGTGGAAATATAGAACAGGACGGTTCGGCCCTCGGTAAGTTCAAAGTTCAGGAAGTTCTCGTGGCCTAGAACTGTGAGCACTACAAGTATGGTGACAAGTGATCCCGTGACAAACGCCACAAAGTTGAGGATTATATTTGTTGCTTCCTTGGGGAATTGGTTGATGTATTCTGTAGCGCGAGCTCTGCTCATTTTCAATCTCTTATCGAACATGTGCGGCAGCTCGTTGAACTCTCTTAGTTTCCACCTGGCATAAGGTGAGTATTCACGGGACCCCACTAGGGATGGATTTGTCTTGATGTCGTAAAAGAATTTGAGGAAGAAGTAGAGAAGGAAATATATGACCAGAAACGGCGTGAGAAATATGCTCAAAATCCCGGCCAGTCGAAACCTTTTGCGCAGCTCAGTGGCCAGAGCAAGCCGTTTGTGCTCGCTGAGCACCGCCTGCTTCAGCTGCCCGTCTGTGTTGAATACGAAATCAAATATGCAAAGTTTGAGGTTCCATTCCAGCGTTTTAGTCAAGAAATGGTGGTTGATGAACGGGATAGTCAAGGCGGGAGCGAGAACGTTCTTGTTGAAAATGGCAATCATGTAGTTTTCCTTGCGCATCAGACGGTTGGCGATATCGTGAGCGCTGAGCCGTTTTTTCGATTTGAGGTCGTCACCTCTAAGATTCTGGTTTCCTGAAATCAGAGCGTTGGTATTTTGGTCCCGCAGTACCATGATCTTTTTGACAATAGTAGACCAGCTAATTGTCTGGAGCTCCTCGTCGGAGACCCCGAGAAGCAGGTTGTAGAAATTTTTAATCTCCTTGAGGTCCTTGAAGTGACTGTAGAACGATTTGATGCGCAGCACTAGGATGGCAAAGAGAACCAAAAAAAACAACTTCTGGCTCAAAGATATCTTGGAATAGCACTTGTCCACCACCACGTCCGAGTATTTGGTGGCATTACCGTTCATCAGTTGGTTATAGTCAACACAGTTGCCCATGAAGCTGGTTAGCCAGACCACAAATACGATGATGAGCAGATCGCTCACGCGAGACAGAATTATGCATCGGTAGCCGTTTCCCGTGTAATAACCGTACACGTCCTCAAGAAACGTGTCTAAATTTGAAACGTTCGACCACAGCCAGAGAGCGCGTTCCATGGGACTGAGTAAACCCAGTCTTCCGCGCAGCTGACGCTGCTCATTGATATTTTGCGCCATCTCCGTCTCTCCTCCTACACTCGTTTCTCTCCTATATGATAGCGGCGGCGGCGGGAGTTTGCTGGAGGCATTTGCGGGGAGCTGGAACGAAATACCCTTGGCAATGGTTTTCGGGATATTGTCGAGAGTCCTGCTTGCTATTCCTCTTGCCTTTTCGCCCCATTGGGTGATATTAGGACCAATTAGAGGCTCTGCGGGCGATGAGGGTATCTTCGTCTCAATCGTCCGCGTGCTGCCCTCGTGTGGGCGACGTCGCTCCATCATCAAGCTTTCAGGCACGGTATCGTAGTCATCCTGGCGAAGCTCTGACTCTACCTGCTGGTACAACTCGCGTTTCTGGTCGTAAAGAAGATCCTCATTGGAGGCTGACTCGGTCTCAGAAGAAGACTCGTCCTCTGAGTTGACGTTTATTGGGTGCGGTGCCCGTGGGGGGCTCTCGACTTGGTGCTCTTCAAACGTGTCCTGCAGATTGTTAATACTGAATTCAATATCGTTATTGTCATCATTCAGCAGAGGATTGGATGCAGACCCAAACACCCGGGACAGAAAGGTGTGTTTGTTAAGGTCGCCCATAAATATTAAACAATAAATATATGTCAAATGTTATCTTTAGCTTTTTTGGGGATTACGTAAGCTCTTGAAAGGCCTGATGTGAACTCCCAGAAAAAAAAAATAACCAAGAATATTCAGCCATGTCTATCAACCTGCTAAAGGAATGTATCAAGAATGGCAAGCCCATTGCGTTTCCTGAGGGCGAAGATATATCGACGGCCAAGGTGCTTATTCTGGACGGCCAGGAAATCTCTTTGGACGATGAAACCGGGTTTGTTAGCGGAGACAAGGTCAACCATGTCTTGCGTACCGTTTACCAATGTTGGCTGCACCGTGAATCGAACACGACCGAGTATATTGCCGACTGCGAGGCGAAGAATATACCTGTTGTGAGCTTTTTGGAGAGAACAGAGCTGATCTCGTACTTGAACGGATCGTCTAAAACATGTGCCTATTTACAAGGGGCGGTGCCCGAAGCGCAGGCCGGCGGCGAAAAACGGACCTCTACGGAGGACCAGGGCGCCGCCAAGAAGAAGCGGGAGATAGACCCGTTTTTGCGCGAAGTTCTGAACAACGAACGCAATCTGATCGACCATAATAGGGCTCTGCAGGGCACGAAGCCTGTGGATTTTTCGAGCGTTGCCAAAGAGTGCGAGTATAAAATTATCCGCGCAGCAAAACACAAGACGAAGGCCAAGGGGAAGGTTCCCGAAAAGAGCACGGCGTCTGCGGGGAAGAACAAGGAGCCTATCATTATTTTGTCGCCGTCTGCGTCTGCTATTTTGAACATGAGCAACGTCAAGGAGTTCCTCCAGGACGGAAGATTCACGAACGCTGCCGACGCAGGACACACGACAAGCAACATGTTGCAGATTGTGCGCAATTCGAAGCGGTTTGATAAGCGAATGAAGTTCTTGGTGGTGAACAACGTGGAGAAGTTTTTCACAAAGCCAGAGTACTGGGACCGGGTGGTTGCAGTTTTCACGACAGGCCAGGAGTGGCAGTTCAAAAACTACAAGTACAACCAGCCAAGTCTGCTGTTCCAGAAGGTGAAGGGATTCTATCTGTATTACAACGGAGACCCAATTCCGGACAAGATCCAGCAGTGGAACGTGCAGCCGATAGGCATTGAGCGGACGCAGCGATTCAAGGACCGGCAGACCAGCGAGTTTCTGTGGGAGAGCCTGGAGCGGTTTATGGCAGGCAAGGGCTACAGATGATAGAGCTACATTTTATGTCGTCATTTCGATACATTGGTACAAACCTATTCGCCTGGCAGATTAATGGTATCGAGCCAAGTATGGCACAAGAGGTAAAAAAACTGTGAATCCTGCGAATTCGTAGCTTAGACCTGGGACATGGTTGGCACCCCTGTTCTAGCTGGCTTGCGGGAGGGAGTTCCCAAGAAGCCGTTCTTGAGGATGGAAAGGGAGGAAATCACCAGAGAGAACAGGAAGACGAAGAAGGAGAAGTAGAGGAAGGCAACGGATGCCTGAGCCTTTCTACATCTGTCCTTGGAGCCCTGTGTCACGGTGTTGCTATCCAAGTAGCTCTGGTTGGTGCAAGAGTGGCATCTGATGGCGACGGCCAAGGCGGTAGCACCGGCAAAGGTGAAAACGAAATTGAGGAAGTCCCAGATGGCGAGGAACAATGGCGAGCTCAAGAAGGAGATGAAGAACGCCAACACGCCGTAGAAAGTGGAGGTGAGGATTCCGAAAGCGGCAGCAAAGACGCAAAAGTTGACCTGTGGGTTGCCGTGGTCAGCTGTAGCGGCAAGCGAGCCCGTCAAACCGAGGACAATGACGAGGAACACAAAGTTCACAGTTCTGAGAGAGATGTCACCGTATGAAAGCATTGAATTGATGAGCAATTGGGAAAAATTCTAAATTTTCTTTATTAAAAGTGAAGGACTGAAATTCTTAGCTGTATTATATATAGTCCCACAAATACAAACAAATAGGCAGCGAAAAAGGGAAATCTCTGTCCAAACAGGAAAAAATCGCAATAATTTCCTACATTGGTTAGGCGGCCCCGCTGTTTGCTTTTTTCCCGAACCGGCTCAAGAAGGGCTATGGAAGGCGTCCTGGCAGGATTCTATAATCACTCGTCCCCATATTGATTAAATAGCATGCATTACTAATGGAATACGGCACCTTGTGGCTTACGCTTGCTATTGCCGGGTGGCAATACTGCCTGTCTGCAGCGCACCGCGGGACACAATTCCGTCGGTGATGGTGGGTGCGCTTTGTGCATTTCGGGCCGGTATTGCGTTTGCTGGGCTCTATCCTGGAGCTGACAACTGCTGACACCGAGCTCCAGATATGAAGGGCTTCCTAAAAAGGAAAGACTATTTGCCTAAAAAGTTCTTCGCGCAAGCAACATCCTTGCCCGAGAGAAGCAAAAGTAAAACACAGATTAGGCAAACCTGTCTCAATTTTAAATTGGGCAACATTAAATTTCGAGGGGTACCTTACAGTTTTAAAAGAGTCGTTCGGTCTTTATACTAAATTGCGATCTCAAATTTCGGCCCTGCAAAAATTGTCGTTATATGACACCATCCATGTAATAACCCTTGCACCGTTTTGTTTTAAAATCTAATGATCAGAAGATCACTGGTGCTGTTTAATGCTGATTCGGGCGCCATGAAACGCCGTTTGGAGCAGCTGGCCGAGGACGCGCGTCCCATGGCTGGTGATTCGCGGGCGGGCGCAATCTCGGATGCCCTGCCTGTGGATCTGCCAAAGTTGCGGTCCAAGCTGGATCAAATCGAAAACCAGGCCTTCGACCATCAATACCAGAGAGCGATCGGTCTCAGTAAGATCCCCTCGTATGCGGGAAAGCAAGAGCGAGAGATTGCGAGCTCAAAGGTGTGGACGGGCAAGGAGTCTGTCTACGATGCGTCGCTGAGAATGCTCAACGACAAGTACAAGCCGTTGCCCAAGGCAAACGTGCGGCAGAGGCTGCACAATGCTCGCGACGGGGCCCTCGATTACCAACTGGGCAAACTGTCGGACAAAAATAAAGCTAAGGACGAGGACGACGACCAGTTTGCCGAGATGTACAGGGAACGACTGTTGGGCCCTGCGCAGTTTCTTGGTGACTCGTACGCGTCTCTGGACAACTCTGTGCGGTCGCTGGCCGACCAGCGGATCCAGGAAGCGCAACGACGCGGGGAATTTCGTAATCTTCCCCGAGGAAAACCGCTTCCCAAAGATTTCACCGGCAATAACGCCTTCATTGACCGCACAGAGTACCACTTGAACAACATTCTGAAACGGCAGGAGGCGGTTCCGCCGTGGATAGAGAAACAGGGCAGTGTGGAGGCTCAGATCCGCCAGTTTCGGCGCCAGCTCGACTCCGATTGGACACTGCAGGCCGTGCACATCGTTTGCGAGAAACACTCGAAGAAAAGCGACACGGACAAGATCCAGATCATGAGCCAGTACGCCGAGGCAGAGCGCAACAATAACTCGAGTTATACGAAGCTGCGCAGCAGCCAATGGGAACAGAAATACAGCAACTATCTGGAGGTCAAATTAAAAGCGCTGAATGACAGCATCCGAGGTTATAATCTGCAGGCTCCTTTGGCATCGCAGAAACTGTATCTAAACGCAAACTCCGAGCTGGAAAAATGTTACCGGCGATGCGCGGACAATTTAGAGGCGGCGATCAAGAAACACCTGCTGGGCGAGCAGTCTGGAGCACAGTCTTCGATGGGCCCGAGATCCCACCGCGTTCCTGGGTACCGGGACGTGAGGCAGCGCGACATCCATCAAATATACCAGGCGCCAACCGAGTCTCTCGGAAAACAGCTTCTGGATATCTTCCGCTGGCGGCGCAACGACGAATAATAGTCCCTGGAGGTGACGGAATATATATGTGTGGAGGGTAAATCTGACAGGGTGTAGCAAAGGTAATATTTTCCTAAAACATGCAATCGGCTGCCCCGCAACGGGAAAAAGAATGACTTTGGCACTCTTCACCAGAGTGGGGTGTCCCGCTCGTGTGTGCAAATAGGCTCCCACTGGTCACCCCGGATTTTGCAGAAAAACAGCAAGTTCCGGGGTGTCTCACTGGTGTCCGCCAATAAGAGGAGCCGGCAGGCACGGAGTCTACATCAAGCTGTCTCCGATACACTCGACTACCATCCGGGTCTCTCAGAGAGGGGAATGGCACTATAAATACCGCCTCCTTGCGCTCTCTGCCTTCATCAATCAAATCATGAAGGTTGTACTAGTTCTCTACGACGCAGGAAAACACGCCCAAGACGAGGAAAGACTCTACGGTTGCACTGAAAACGCCCTTGGTATCAGGGACTGGCTCGAGAAGCAGGGCCACGAGCTCGTTGTCACCAGTGACAAGGAGGGGCAGAACTCTGTGCTCGAGAAGAACATCTCGGACGCAGATGTCATCATCTCCACTCCTTTCCACCCAGCATACATCACCAAGGAGAGAATCGACAAGGCCAAGAAGCTCAAGCTACTGGTGGTTGCCGGAGTGGGATCCGACCACATCGACCTTGACTACATCAACCAGTCCGGCAGAGACATTTCTGTGCTGGAGGTGACCGGTTCGAACGTCGTTTCGGTTGCCGAGCACGTTGTGATGACGATGCTGGTGCTGGTGAGGAACTTTGTTCCTGCTCACGAGCAGATCATCTCTGGCGGCTGGAACGTGGCCGAGATCGCCAAGGACTCCTTCGACATCGAGGGCAAGGTCATTGCCACCATCGGAGCAGGCAGAATCGGCTACCGTGTGCTGGAGAGACTTGTGGCCTTCAACCCTAAGGAGCTGCTCTACTACGACTACCAGTCGCTGTCGAAAGAGGCGGAGGAGAAAGTCGGCGCCCGCAGAGTCCACGACATCAAGGAGCTGGTTGCCCAGGCCGACATTGTCACGATCAACTGTCCACTGCACGCCGGCTCGAAGGGCCTGGTGAACGCAGAGCTGCTCAAGCACTTCAAGAAGGGCGCCTGGCTCGTCAACACCGCCAGAGGTGCCATCTGCGTGGCCGAGGACGTTGCAGCCGCCGTCAAGAGCGGACAGCTTAGAGGATACGGTGGAGACGTGTGGTTCCCACAGCCAGCTCCAAAGGACCACCCATGGAGATCCATGGCCAACAAGTACGGTGCTGGCAATGCCATGACTCCGCACTACTCGGGCTCTGTCATTGACGCCCAGGTCAGATACGCGCAGGGCACCAAGAACATCCTGGAGTCGTTCTTCACTCAGAAGTTCGACTACAGGCCCCAGGACATCATTCTGCTGAACGGCAAGTACAAGACCAAGTCGTACGGTGCCGACAAATGAGCGGTCTTGGAGGAGCTGATTGGATCTAGATGAAATAGGAAATATAATTATGGCTCTACTGCGTCGCGTAAACGTCACTGTAGGCGATTTCGCTTAGCCCCAGTCCGCGATGCGGTCCGACACCAGAGCGCGTCCACCTCCTGTGCGCCGCACCGCCCCCAAAGGAGGTTGCGGCTGTGCGGCTCGACGCGACCAAAAAAATAAGCGTCAAAAGGAGGTGTCAGGGAAGCACGCCGTGGGGCTCGAGATATATAAAGCGCAGCGTAGCTTTGTCTGTCTTGCTAATGAGCGACGACCAAGCCTTGGAAATTTTCCTGAAATCCCCCGTCACCCAGGACATGATCCACCACTTGGTGACGGTCACCTTACAGGTTCTGCCTTGCGAGTCCTCCAAGACCATCACCCAGAAAGTCAAGTCTTCAGCCGACACAGAGCCCGTGCTCAAGACCAAGCCGCTGCCCTCGCTCATGACTTTCATCACCAAGCTCGTCCGCTATACCAACGTCTACACGGGAACGTTGATGTCGACCATCGTGTTCCTCAACAGACTCAAGGCCAAGCTTCCGAAAGACGCCCAGGGACTGCCCTGCACGCGCCATCGCATTTTTCTCGCCTGTCTGATCATTTCTTCCAAGCACCACAACGACTCCTCCCCCAAGAACAAGCACTGGAGCAAGTACACAGACGGCCTCTTCCGCAAGGAGGACGTCAACCTGATGGAGCGCCAGCTGCTCATGCTGCTGGACTGGGACCTCAATATTTCCAAGGACGAGCTTCTGCGGGCCTGGAAGCGGTTCCTGGACCCGATTCGCGCGGAGCTGCGCAAGAAGCACACACCAAGGAAGCCGGTGTCGGCCATGCCTGCCATCACCGTCACCCCGCCGCCAGCGTCTCCTGTCCTGCTCACGCCGGTCAAGTCGCTGTGCAGCTCGCGCTCGTCGTCCGTGTCGTCGCTGGATACGCTGCACTCTCGCGCCTCCTCGGTGTCCAGCACCTCCAGCCAGCTCTTGGACGACTACTCTCTTGGTAAGCTGATCGACACCGTTGCACAGCAAGAGGAGCAACAACTCAACAATTTAATGAGACAGTACTGTTCTGTCTCGTCGCATAGCATTCGCCCATAGGACTAGGTAAAGAACAACTGGATAATACGGATTACATTTTTTTTAAGGGTAAAAGTAGCTGAAAAATCAACAAATAAATACTTTTTTCGCACAGCCAGACTAGTTTCTTATACGTAATTAATTCATGGAGGACGGCGACAGCGTGACTTCCAGCCAGGTGCCGGGCGCAGAAGAGGCCGTGCCGCGGAAGAAGCTTACTTTGCAGGAGCGGCTGGCGCTGGCAGCATCCAAGAACACCCGCAAGGACGATGTCAAGGACGGCAAAGAGAACAATGAGGTCAAGGGCCCCAGGGATGCCAAGGACGCTAGCCCGGGAGCCGAGACGGCGAAGGATGAGTTTTCGTTGCCCGCAGACTACAAGGCTCTGGAACACGACGCCCTAGTTGCGCTTCTTGAGCGGTCGGCGCATGTGGTAGGAGATCTCAAACGGACAAATCAGCGGTTGGCACGCAAGGTGGAGGATCTGCGTCGCGAGAGGGCTCCGAAGCGTTCTGGCACGCCCGTCAGCAGTGAAGAGGTGCTCAGGCGCAAGTTGGAGGAAAAAGATCTCCAGATCAAGGAATTGCTCGAGGAAGGGTCCAAACTGTCGATGAAAGAGGTGAACCTGACACAGACCATCAAGAAGATGAAGCAGAAGGAGATAGATCTGGAAGAGGATCTGGCGCGTGCCGAGCGGGATGTGGGCAATCTCCAGGCACGCGTGGCCGAGCTGGAGGCCGAGGTGGGCGGCTTCAAGCACAACGAGCGGACTATCAAGGAGGACCGTCTGGGGTACGAGACACTGCAGAAAAAATTCGACAAGCTGCAGCAAGAGAGGAACGAGGCTGTGGACGAGCTGAAGGAGCTGAAAATGCGCAGACTTGACGTCCAGGTGGCGACTTTGCAGAAGCAATTGGAGACAGAGCTGAAGAAAGGGGCACGGCTTCAGGAAAGGCTTGACAAGACCACAGAGGAGTTTGGTTTGTACAAGGATGACGCACGCAACCAGATTTCACAGCTGACGTATAAACTGGAACGAGAACGCGCGAAGTACAACGAGCTGAGCGAGCAAAACGCGGCCGAAATCAAGCGGCTGGAAAACAAGATGGAGGCGTTTCGGCTGCTCAGCGAGTCTGCGGACAAAACCGTGGATGCGGCAGGTGTGTCAGATTCATTGTCTGTTTCCGTCGACTTGATCCAGGCACAATACACACAGGCACAGGAGAATTGGAAGCTGATCGAGAGTTCGTACTTGAAGAAGATTTCATCGCTGGAAAACGACGTCGAGGTGCTCAAACAGAAGGATATTGCCAACTCAAGGAAGATCAAGACGATGCAGGGCGACCTCAAGTCGAGAGCGGCCGAGATGAGCGAGCTGCTTGAAAACGAGTCTGCATTAAGAGCCGAGCTGGAAGCTACGAAGAACCAGCTCGAAATTGCAGAAAACGACCTCGAGACGGCCAAGCAGGGGCAGGAAGCGCTTAAAAAGGACTACGAGGTGGAAAAAGCCAACTTCGAACGCAAAATCCAGGCCCTGGAGGAAGAGAAAACCCGTCTTGCCAATATCAATAAGCTCCGCATAGACGCTCAGGCATCTGTCCAGCAGGCGAGCCAGCCACAGACCAGCTTCTACCTTAACGAGTTCAACTCCTCGTCGAGCCTCCACCACTACCGCACACAGCGCTCCGTTTCGCTTGCTTCTGCCGATAACATAGCACTGGGCGAGTCGTCTACAACTCCGCGGCCAGGAGCGTTTGCAGGCGGTCCGAGTCGCGGCCAGTCGCAGTCGTCGTTTTTTGGCTCCAGTTTGAACCACTCGCAGAGCAGCTCGATGCTGGACACCATTGATGACCCGCTGACCACGGAGGAAGAGGTGTTCCCTGGCTCCTCGCCAATGTCTGGCTACCGGGCCCGCGGCGGGCCAGGACTTAGCCACGTGGCGTCGACGGAGGACCTGACAACTCCACACTCGTCCACTATCGGCGGCATGGGCAGCTCGAACGTTAATGGTGGCTCAAACATTCAGCTGATGGGTAAACTGTCGTCGCGGATCCGCCGTCTTGAGCTCGAAATCCTGGGACTCAAGGACGAGATTGCCGATCTCAATGCGCAGAAACAGGAGGCGGCCAACGAGATTGTCCAGCTGGTGCGCGAGAACGAGCAGACGAAGGAGTATAAAGAGAAACTGGCATCTTTGGAGGAAGAGCACGCTGCTCTTACGTCCAACTACGAGGCCACACTGCAGCTTCTGGGCCAAAAATCCGAACGGTGCAACGAGCTACAGGCAGACGTGGACGACCTAAAGGACCTGATGAGGTCTCAGGTCCAGGAGCTGGTGAGTTTACAGGAAAAACTCGCTGCCAATAATTAAAAGAATGTATCTCTCTATTAAATGTTTCCTTGCTCAACAGCATGCTGGGTATGGGTATCAATGTCGGCCGATTCCCACGGATACGCGATCCAGACGTCTGGCACGTCCTTTCCGACAAAATACTTTCCGCCGCCCATCTTGTCCTCGTCGATTTGGGCTCTCTTCTCCTTCAGTTTGTTGTGTAGCACGAAAATAGAGAATCTGGTTTTTTCAGAGGTGCGGCCCAGTTTTTCAGCGATTTCTTTGACGTCCTTATACAGCTCAGAAACAGCATAGTGCAGAGTAGTTCTGGTATCGTCAACTTCGTCCACAATCAGGATATTCTTTCCAATCAGAGAGTCAAAATGCTGCGACAGAGCACCAAAGTCGAGCCACTGGGTTCTGATCACTTCTTTACCAATTTTGTCGTCAGTTCCAGTTCCCATGTCCTCATACAACGATAGCCCAATGGCTTGGATAGGAATGTTTTTTTCTCCAGGACTTCTCAGGAAAGTTCTGATAATTCTAGCAGGGATAAATCCACCGCCACCAATGGCGATGATCACATCCGGCTTCCCGACCTGTTTCAAAAACTCCTCAGCACCTGCCTTGCAGAGCTTGTGGACGTTGTTGTAACTGATGTACATTTTGTCAACCATGGTGAATTCTTGAAGATGAACGGGTTCTTATCAAAAAAAAAAAAAAACCTGCTAAACCTTTTTTTTGTTCGAAAAAGAAGGTAATCCTTACACCTACTCCTGAAATATGCATCTATTAGTTTAGTCAGTACATTCTTCAGTCCTCATCCTCTTCGTAGTTGTCCTCCTCCACTTCTTCTTGATACTCCAAGTCGTCGTTCTCCCCATCCAGAAACACCGAGTTCTCAACAAAACTCACTTCGTTGTGCGCCTCGTTGCCTTTGCTCATCATGTCATTTCTGAGTTTGAGTTGAGATTGCAACAAAGCAAGACGTCCCTGTAACGTTAAAAGGCTGGGGAGCAGGCGGATATTTTCTGTGAGCGAGGATTGAAGTAGCTTTAACAGGCCCACTGAGTCGGCGTCTTTGGATATCAAATTACCTTTGGAAATGAGTAGCCACCTGAGCCAAGTCCCCAATCCCTGCGAGTTTTGCGAGTCGTCTGCAATTTTGAGTGTCAGCTGTTTAAACAGATCAGTTGTCTCTTGATCCTTCAGCAAGAACATAATCGACTTGGCGTTATCTTGGTTCTGAGACAAGATGGTAGCTAGCTGGTCGGTATTTGTGAGACTTTCTAGTATCAGCGAATAAAGTTCGGTCACATCTTCTCTGAAAAACTCCACCAAATCCTCTTCGTCACTCTCGTTCTTCTCAACATCGTACTCCTCGTCAGAGCCGGAATCGTCTTCGTGGCCGACGTCAACAATAATTTCTCCCTCCTGGGATAAGTTCTCGATTTCAAAAGCGGTAGTTCTAACGTCATAGCCGTCAAACCAGGAGACCACAAAATGGTCTTTTCTGCTTACAAGATTGACAAACTTGACAGCTGTATTTGGTTTCAGATGCAAATTCGATGCAAGCTGTTTTCTGGACTTTTTGCCAAAAACTTGGTGAAAAATCTCAATGACACCATCCTCTGTCACAGCAGCTAGTGTGAAATCTTGTAACAGCGCCAAGGACTTCACGGGAGATAAACATTTGAGCGAGGAAAGAACTTTAGAGCTAGAAAGTGAGACAATCTGTACCAGAGGATCATCCTCCCTTGCCAATGCTAGCAAATCTGGTTCTTCTTCGCAGATTAAAACGCTAGTTATATGCGATTGATGGGCCTTAGGTGCTGCGATCTTGACCTCCTCCTCGACATCCCCTATTTCATAAGGGTCAAAGACGTACAAAGCAGACGAGGCAATAGCAAGCTTCGAATGAAGATATTGGAGATACTGGCACTGTTTATCTGTTGTCCAAGGACGGGAATCCACCACACGATTCTCAAAAAGACCAAATTTGCGTAGCGACATGTTCTTTCTATCGTATCCCCAGACATCCTGGCCCGGGCCATCGGTGAAATCGATAAGGGCAGAGACAGTGGAGATCTTGTTTACCACTTCCTTCGACAAAGGGGAGTATATGAGGATTTCGTTAGTGGACAAAAGGACTCCCAGATAGCTTGTGTCTTTGTTCTGGAGCCATTTGACCCGCTCTATTTTCTCATCTGATCCGAGCTCAATACTGGATTTGAACTCTTCGCTTTCAAAAGAGAGAATCCGCACTTCACTTCTTCCAGGTCCGCTAAGCACACATGCAAGGAACCTTGCACGCTGGTCGGCCACACACTCCACAAGTTTCATTGGAGTTGAAATAAATATTTAAAGATTGAAAAAAAAAATTTTAGGGCGTCGATGCGCGTCGATTGGCGCCGATTGACGTATATTACAATAAATATAGTACCGGGCTATCATGGTCTGGGCGACTCAGACGACTCTTGTGCCAACGGGCCAACGCCAATCTTAGCTAATCCCAGTTCTGCGCTCGTGTGGAGCAGATTGAACCGCTGCGAGGCCGGAACGTTCTGTGCTATTTCCAGATTGCGCAATCGGATGCTCAGCTCGACCTCCTTTCTGTTCTTTTCGTCAATGTCCGCCTGGAGTTTGCTGATATACTCCACGGCCTTGCTTAAGATCTGACCCTTGTTCGGCTTGCCATCTTTCGTGCCTGACGACTTGTCTTTACTGTCAACAAACAAGTCGCTCGGAATCGACTCATACAGCTCGTATATCTTTTCGTTCATGTTGTCCTTGCGTTTCTTATCGATAGATTGAGGCAGGGAGCCGGTTATGGTGCCCCTTCTAGAGGAGGCAGACTCCGGCTGCGTATATTCTTTTATGGCCGTTGGCTCATCCTCGTCAGCGTTTTCAGGGATAGTTGGTGTTCTGTTTAGTGCCTTCGACAGGGATGCACGCACGCTTTCTTCCTCCGTTATACTGAGCGGCTCCGTGTCGTCTGGCGGTAGGTCCAGAAAATCCATAATAAAATAATATTGATAACCGGGAAACAAGCAACGACGATAGTCGCGCCCCCAAACAAATATTTATTTCTAGGCTTTTCTTGGTTCGCTTTAGTTTTCAAAATGCCAATTGATTATTCCAAGTGGGACAAGATCGAGCTTTCTGATGACTCGGACATAGAGGTTCACCCAAATGTCGACAAGAGGTCTTTTATCAGGTGGAAACAGAGAGATATTCACGAAAAGCGGATGCAAAGAAACAACGAGATCAAAGGTCTGACGATCCAAAAAGAGATGTACACCAGATTGAACGCGCGGGTGGATAAGATGGTTGAAACTTTAGGGAACAGTATTGCAGATGAAAAGAAGCGGAACGAATTCTTAAACACCAATTTCGATCCAAAGGAGAAGTGCACCTTGGAGGAAAACGCCGACAATATTCCGTACAACGAAATGGTTGAAGACCTTTTTGTGCAGATTTCTGACGACCTAAAAAAGGAAGAGAAGGATAGCAATGATCCAAAGCTTGTGCTGGCAAAACTGCTTGAGCACAGAGCGAAAATTGAGTCTGTATTGAAGCAGATCGATCCAAAACTGGAACAGCTCAAGAAGGAGAAGGAGCTACACATTTCGAGCGAGGATATTCACGACGGGTGGAACAGCTCGATTATCAACAAAACTCCATCATCTTCTGCTCCGCCATCGGGCGACTCTGGCTCTTCCAAAAAGACCAAATCCACAGCTACCACCATAGAAACAATAAACAGCCCAGAAGTTTCCCAATTAGCCCAAGTGCCTTCCAAGCCTCTGGACCAGCTTGAAGAGCTAGAGCTTCTACCAGAAACGAAGATTTTTGCAAGTATTCCTGCTACCGACTTGTTGAAGAGCATCAAATTCCTTGAAAGCCATCTTTATATCGTTTGCGAGCAGCAGAAAGATGCCTTGATGATGAGCACGTTTGACGCCCAACTAAGTGGGGACATCAAGACTGCCAAGCAGACCGTTCACCAGGCACTGATTCTTCAGTACTTGAACGATTTATTCAATGCTGCCGGTGGACCAAAGGCCACGGTTCAGCAGAAACAGCAGGCAGTTGGATTGTTTGTTACTAAGCTAATGGACAAATCGTCGCCAGCCTCTCGCACGTTTGAGGCAGATTTGGAAAAGACATATAAACATATTGTTAGCAGGTGTGAAGTCATCAAGCAGGAACAGGAACAGAACGCCGGACAAGAAGGCGTGGAGCAGATCCAATTAAGATCTATGGATCCAAATTCAGAACTCGTTGTTAATCTTCCAAAGGAAGGGACTCCTGAATATGAAGCTTTCAAGCAGATCCCAGAGAACATGCAAAAGGCGTTGGAGACTAAGGAGCTCGACGCCATAAACAAAGTCTTTGCTACCATGTCGGTTTCAGAAGCCGAAAACGTGTTAGAACTATTTGACAAGTGTGGTGTGATCCAGATCCAGGCTTTGTTGGAAAACGAGGATGAGTTTAACCATTTGAAGGAGGAATATGAGGAGCTAGGAGACGACGAAGCCGCTGAGGTTGGTGAACAGCCATCGTCCACCGCGGACGTCGTGGACTAGGCGACTTATTTGAGGTCAGGCATTCTGAGGATCTCGTTATCTTTATTTTCGCTCAACTCCTGTAATTGTTTCAAAATCTTGGAATTCTTCCATTTGTCAGGCAGAGGAGTAACATCATAGTTCTTGGTTGCCCAATAATAGATGTCCCAATCTGGCTCGTCAAGAAGCTTATCGTACTCTTCTAGTTCGCTTGGGGTCATAGTGTCTAGGTATTTGTCGGCAAATCTGCTCAATAGCAGGTCGGCTTCCAAGATGCCTCTCTTCCTGGATTGGTAAAGCAATCTTCTTCTCTTTTTTTCGGTAGACTCGTTGATTCTTGGAAGTGGCTCCACCTTGATCTTGACCTCTCCATCCTCCTGTCTGAGGCTGTGGCGGCTCGATCCTTCGTTGAGAAGCGGTCTTATGAATGAGAACGTTCTGATTGGTCTGACTAATCTCAGCATAAATAAAGTAAATTACAATAAAACTGAAAAAAAAAATTACTTATTTATTTATGACTGAAGAGAAAAAGAGAAAGCTGGATGTGAACGGCACTTCTCGTCGTTTTGCCGAAGTCAGACGCATCACCAACGAAACCAAAATCCAGGTTGTTCTAAGTCTGGATGGAGGCTTCATCTCATGCAAAGACTCCATTTTGGACAAGGAGTACGCTCACGCCTCGCAAGCGACCTCGGCACAAGTGATTTCTATCAACACCGGTATTGGATTTCTGGACCATATGATCCATGCTCTGGCCAAACACTCGGGATGGTCTTTAATCGTCGAGTGCAAGGGAGACCTCCATATAGACGACCACCATTCGGCCGAGGACGTTGCTATTGCCTTGGGCGAAACGTTCAAAAAAGCACTTGGTCCTGTGAAAGGAATGAAACGGTTCGGATACGCCTACGCTCCTCTGGACGAGGCTCTAAGTAGAGCTGTGGTGGATCTCTCAAACAGACCGTACGCCGTGATCGAGCTGGGGCTCAAGAGGGAAAAAATAGGAGACTTGAGCTGCGAGATGATACCGCATGTTCTAGAGAGTTTTGCTACCAGCGCACACATAACATTGCACGTGGACTGCATCCGGGGTTTCAACGATCATCACCGTAGCGAGAGCGCATTCAAGGCGCTGGCGGTCGCGATCAGAGAGGCGATTTCGTACACGGGACGAGACGACGTTCCTAGCACGAAAGGTGTGCTCATGTAATAGACCGGTGCGGGGTGTGCTGACGATAAAAAAATCAATTCCGCGCACGATTGCTTGATATAGACTATATTATTTGAAACGGAAAATAGGCGAAAGTATGTCGTTTAACGACGATCTTTATAGGGAGGGGGGTGCTTTGGGAGTTTACTCGTATTACTGCCAGACGAAAAAGGAGAACTTCAACAAAGTCAGGTTGACATCTCCGATAAGAGGACAAACCATGACTAGCGTTAACGGGGGACATCCAACTCCTTCGAGACTACAAACTCCCGTTTCTATGAACCGCATGCCACGCCTAGACATTATGAGTCCCCACCCGATTGAAGAAGACCTCGTGATACCCGACAAGGAGCTGGTTGCGGATGCAATGCAGCGAAAGCCTCTGATCAGGCCCTCCAACCTGGATCTGTGGATCAGAGTGATGTCGCAGCTGGCAGGCAAGGACAAAGTTGGCAAATGCATTCAATACGGACTACGGATACTGATTGCCTATTCCATTAGAGCTCGCAAAACACAGTTTCTCAACAACTTCAAGCTGACAGGCGTAGATTTCAACGGGAAGACTCAGGATGTGCTTCGACAGCTTGTTGTGCGGCCAGAACTGATAGTGGTGTTGTTTCTGGGCCAATTCGAGGCCAGGTTCGTCGGGCTCACCAAAATGCTCTCGGTTTACAGGCAGATGCTGCGGGCCGGTACTGTGCCAACGAAAGTCCTCAAGATGTTGTCCCGAATCTCGGAAACTGTGGGTCTTTTGCAGTCGTCAGAAAAGGCATCCACGAAACTGCAGCGATTGAAGTCTGACTGGTGCAACTTCAAGTCGTTGGGTGAAATTTGCGCGCTTTATTACGCTTGGTTTGACGAGTCTCTGCTCGCGTACAAGATCGGTCTTCTGGACGAGAAGACGACTCCCAACTACCGCAAATTTGCCGTCCGACATGAGGCGCTCGCCTGGTACACAAACATCATACTGGGACTTCGTGCACAGTTCGAGAAGCTGTCCCAGCTGAGCAATAAAGAAAACTCTTTAAAGATCAACTACCAAGTTAAACAGCGCGCCAAACGGCTCGTTTCCACGATCAAACCGGACCAGTCCCCGATATCTCTGTATGGGCCACTGGAAGTCACAGATACCAAGACACAACTGCAGTACTCTACAGAGCTGAAGAAAATCTCCAAGGAAAAATACATGGTGCAGCTCGAGATCCTCAAGCTGCTATGCGATTTCGCCTATGATACAGTCAACGTGTTCCATTTGAAGATTGACGAGCCCTTGCATCTTCTTTTCGGGCTTGGAGCAGGAGCGATTTCCTTGTCGAAAATATGGATAGCCGAAAAAGAGAAGACGGAAAAGGAGCTAAATCCCTGCCTGAATTGATAAAAATAATTAAGTTAATTAATTTTTGTCCCCCCCCCCTTTTTTTTTAATCGCGTCGCGTATGAGAGGAAGAACTGAACGTAAACCCTTGGGCGCCAAAGACACCAATATCCATGGTGTTTTGCGGTCTACGTCCCCATGCAAGCACAGCAGCTCCAAGTCGCGCTCCGGATCTCTGTCGCCTGTTCGATTGGACCAATCGTCTCCTTCAAAGTTTGACAGCAGCGAGTCGCTCGCGTCTGGATTGGTTAGACTCTCGCCGAGCAAAAGGCCATCTGGAGGGCTGAACTCGCCAACAAAGAAGCATAGATTGCACAAAGAGTTCCAAATCTACGACGATCCCACAAACTACAGGGAGGCCGTTGACTCGCTTGAGTCAATGGCAGTAACAGACGTCGAGAATAAGGAGAACGAGAACCCCCGCAACAACGTGTCGAAAGATATCGAGAACCGTGCGCCACAACGGTTGTCTGCAAAACGTGCCGCACTGACGGATTTGCGGATCCAGCAGTATCCGGGCTATATTCAGACTTTTGAGACCAACGAGGCTGGAACAACAGGCATTTTGGCCCCAAAGCACCAGCTTACACAGGGATTCATGATAAACACAGCTGGTGTCAACAATTCGACCAAAAGGACTGCTGTTCCGTCGTTTGTGACGCCGCCTAAGAAGAACCGCATCCATTACAGGTACATCGAGTCCCTCAACAAGGTGGACCAGACCAGACCCGTGCGCTCGCGCACAGACCTTGATGTCCACGAAGTGCGGAAACTTACTTTCGACCTGCATGATGACTCGATAGCGAGATATCAAGACGCGCAAAAAAAAATTATTTTAGAGTAATGAAATGATCTATTGATGAACGACTCCTCGCTTTCGGAAGACGACAAACGAGATCGATCCGAGTTGAAGGTACAGCTGATATCCTATGACTCGTATCAGTCAGAACCGTCGTCGCTGGACAAACAACGATTTACTTTAAACAATAAACCGTATAGTGGCAATAGCACTGTATTTAATCAGGTCCCCGTGATCAGGGTCTATGGCAAGCTGACTACGGGCCACACATGCTTACTACACATCCACAATGTTTTTCCATACCTATATGTGCAGTATAGAGGCCCCACTTCGGACGAGAAGAAGATCAACGACCATTTACTAAGCTGGAAGAATGAGATAGACACGCAGATTTATCGATCGTTTAAGTTCCGCCACAGGAAGAAACCCAAACCAGCAACTAAAGAGGATGAGACGATTGACATCGAAGGTGTGGATGATGTCGACGACGACGACGACGACGGACTGGACGAGGAGGAAGTGGACATCGGCGCCGGAAACACCTATGTTGCAGATATATCTCTTGTGAAGGGCAATTCTTTCTATGGGTACCATTTTGGCTTTTCTCCATTCATCAAAATCAGCCTTCTTAGTCCCCGGTACGTGAAAAGGCTCGAACGGCTGCTTGGAGAGGGAAGGTTGTTTGGCAAAGTGGTGCAACCGTTCGAAGCACATATCCCGTACATGTTACAGTTTCTGACTGATTACAACTGTTTTGGTTGCAACTGGATTAGTCTTGAAAAAGCATTTTGGCGATCGCCTTTGGTCCAGACACAGGGCCCTTTGGACGCATTTCAGGAGTACTTCGAGACTGACTTTGCTCAGCTGAATCAGATCAAGGTGACATCAGAGGTGAAGCAAGAGATTGCCCGCCATTTGACCCGGGACATGTTCAGTGTCAATGTACTCTCGTCCGAAAAGTATCCGCGAATGGGACGGGTGTTTTGTGAGCTCGACACGTCCGCTGTGTGGCTCAAAAACAGATTGACCTGCAAAGAGCGAGACGTTCACTCAAAACTGTCCTTCAATATTCCTGAAGATCAGGACGGTGACAGCTATATTTATTCTATCAAAAGTCTGCTAAGTGATTTGGAGTATCAGCGGCGCCTGAGAAACATGTCTTCCCAGGCCAAGGTCAAGCTTTTCAGTGGAGGAAAGCGCGATTTTGCCGGAACCACTTGGATTGAGCAGGACGAGCTGGACGAGCTGCTTGCATACTGTGTTGAGGAGTCCAAGAAGGAATGGAGCCGGCTGCATCCCAAACATCCTCTGGAACCGGATACTGTGGTACCCAGAAACGACTGGCTTCAAAAATACAACACCAGCTTTCAAAGCGTCGACGAGTTCCATTGCCCGCGTGTGCCCGAGAGCCATCTTTTAAGAGTTCCCGAGGAGCTGATTTTGCACGAGTCTCAGATTTGCGACTGGCTGCTTGAAAGGGACACAGAGCCGCAGATGGCGAGCACACAGGACGTCTCGACTGTCGACGTGGTCGATGACGCGTCAGACCCTTCGTCGGATGAGACGGAGCACGAGGACGATTTTTTGGGCAGCATACCCCATATCCAGGAGAAGCTGGGGATAAAGACTGGCGAAAGCCCGGCTCCGGCCGCTCCTGACGAAACCAACACCGATGAGGCCAAGAGTTCGGGCTCCATCAACCTCGATTTGCGAATATTCGAGCAGACACAGGCTTCTAGAAGACATAGCGACGAAACAAACACCAGTATAGAACCAAAGCACGACACACAGATAGACAACCCAGCCATCAAGCTAACTGCTTCCGAGGAGCTCTTTGAGCTAACTAGGCCGCCTCCAACGTTCCCTAACTTCGATGCCATGGGAAAAAGCTTTGAAGACCACGCACTGCTCAAAATTGAGTATCCCGATCCATATTACAGCTCAAGAAACGGGTATAGTGATGCACCGGAGTACTTTGCTGGTCGCAAGTTCCAGGTCAAGTGTCTTGATCTCCAGGGTCTCAAGCCGTACGCAGTTGCTACAAATGCCAACTCCAATTCGGTCTCTATAGCTGGAGATGGAGTACCCAGTATCTGGAGCTATAGAAAGCACCCGCCGTTGTACGAGGACGTGCTTCGATGGTCTGTCGAGCACCCGGACCCTATCAAAACTCGGTCGCAGTTGCTTAGGTCTCAGATAGACCAAGCAACTCAGAACATGAAGGGATACAAAGTTCCCTCTTTCCAGTCCCCTATTGTGCGCAAGGCAAACAACTTCAACAAGCTGATTGTGCTGAACATGGAGCTGCATGTTAACACTCGCGGAGACCTGTTTCCGGATCCGCTTGAGGACGAGATCAGGATGATATTCTGGTCTTTTGACGATCAAAATTATCCGATCGACCTTGGGATCGAGGGGTCCGGGGTGTTTGTAGTACACTCTCACGAAGTTACTCGCAAACATATTAACTTTCCCGTGCAAACTTTCAGCAGCGAGGTTGACATGGTAAGAGAGCTCGTTTCCCTGGTTGAATTGGTGGATCCAGACATTCTCTCAGGATACGAAATTCACTCTGCTTCCTGGGGATATTTGCTGGAAAGGTTTCGACAAGTGCATAAGATGGACCTGGCAGTGCGGTTGTCAAGGGTGGCCGCCAAGCAGCTGAACAAGATGAACGACCGATGGGGCTTCACGCATGCCTCGGGCATAAAAATAACAGGCAGACACATGCTGAACCTGTGGCGACCATTGCGCAAAGAGCTGAGCATCAACAGATACTCGCTCGAGAACGTGGTTTGGCACACTTTGCATATCAAGATTCCTCACTATGAGCACAAAACTCTAACACAATGGTTTCTTTCCAACAATCCAGGAAACCTCAACAATCTTGTGGAATACTACATGTCCAGGCTGCACTGGCAGATGAAACTGATCAATAAGATGGAAATCATTGAGAGAATGGTGGAGGAGTCGCGGTTTTTGGGGATTGACTACTACTCCGTGTTTTATCGCGGGTCGCAGTTCAAAGTGGAAAGTCTTCTGGTGCGACTGGCAAAGGCAGAGAATTTCATTCTCATTTCTCCCTCGAAAAAACAGGTTTTCAAACAGGATCCACTCCAAGTGATCCCGCTGATTTTGGAGCCCGAAAGCTCGTTTTACAAGAGTCCGCTGCTTGTGCTGGATTTCCAGTCGCTTTACCCGTCTTTGGTGATTGCCCATAATTTATGTTATTCTACGTTACTTGGCAGACTCCAGGGCTATGACCCTAAGAAGACACAAACGATAGGAATTACGTCCTGGAAACTGCCGCCTGGACTCTTGAAGTTGTTTGAAAAACACATCACTGTGACACCCAACGGACTTATGTTTTTAAAGCCAAACGTCAGAAAATCCTTACTGGCCAAAATGCTAAGCGAGATCCTGGATGCCCGCATTTTGGTGAAAGATACCATGAACGGCCTCAAAGACGATTCAGAGCTCTACAAGCTGTACAATAATAGACAGCTGGCGTTGAAGCTGATTGCCAATGTGACCTACGGGTATGCATCCGCGACGTACTCGGGCAGAATGCCCAACTCGGCCATAGCAGATGCCATAGTCTCTGCTGCGCGCCAAACACTGCACAGTGCAATAAGTGAGATCGACAAAAACGAAGAATGGGGCGCCAAAGTGGTATATGGAGACACAGACTCGTTGTTTGTGTATCTCCCGGGAAAGAGCAAGGCGGATGCATTCAAGCTAGGCCGAGAAATATCCAACCACATCACCTCCCTAAACCCGTCGCCTGTTCGTTTGAAATTCGAAAAAGTATACTTTCCTTGCGTTCTGATCAGCAAGAAACGGTACGCAGGATACTCTTACGAGCACGAAGACCAAGAAACGCCCAAGTTCGATGCCAAGGGTATAGAGACCGTTCGACGAGACGGAGTGCCGGCACAGCAAAAAATGGTGGAGAAGTCGCTTCGACTGCTGTTCGAAACCAAAGATCTCACCAAAGTCAAGCAATACGTGAACTTGCAGTTCCTCAAAATTATGCAGAACAAGGCCAATTTGCAGGATTTCCTGTTTGCAAAAGAGATCAGATTGGGATCGTACAAAAACCCAACTTCTATCCCTCCAGGTGCTCGCATCACCATGAAAAAAGTTGCCCAAGACCATCGATCTGAGCCACAATATAGGGAAAGAGTATTTTACATGGTTGCCAAGGGATATAAAGACCAGCTGCTTCGTGACCGATGCATGGCTCCAAGAGATTTCTTAGCTAACGGGAATCTTGAATTGGATGCATTCTATTATATTACCAAAGTGCTTATACCCCCGCTCCAACGGATCTTTAATCTCTGCGGTGTCGACGTTAATAAGTGGTTTGACGAGCTCCCGCGGAACTTGATTGCGCCGAGCTTGGATCAACTGAATTTCAAAACACCTCTGATTAACAGCGCCAAGTGTATTAGTTGCAATACCGTTATTCAAAGAACCCTGGAGAGAACAGGGAAACTATGTCCCGAGTGCAGCACCAATGAGCTGCAAACAATCGCTCACATGCGCTCGTGCGTGCGCGCGAAGGAATCCCAAATGGATGCCACAATGCTAATATGCAAGCAATGTACAAAACGAAGTCTGCGAAATAACAACTCGCCGCTTTCCACTGCGCTGGCATGTACCAACGAGGATTGCTCTGTTTTCTATGATCGAATCAAAGCGATCACTCAAACAGAGAAAACGATGGCAGCTTACGCCGAGTACCTCAGCTGGTGATCAGTACATTGAATATTTGTTTTCTTCCTGTATTCGTGTCTCCAACTGACTTAGAGAGCTGTTGGCATGGTTCAACAGGTCGGGAAATTGGCTGAACTCCGCGAGCTTTTTCTCCACCATGAATGCTTTGTGCATCATTTCTAGATCGTGCATACGCTTGAATCCGGTAATCGATGTTTCTAGATAGTCCAGAATTTTGTTGCACCCGTCTTTTAGCTGATGCGCGTCAGTAATCTCCTGAGTTTCAGTTTCAGTCATGAGCACTCGGGCAAGCAAGTAGTATCCGTAAGAGGAGAGCCACAAGTTTCCTACTTGTAGCGACAACGGCATCAGTTTCTCAAGAATGGCCTCTGCATCCTTTGCAGAGTTAACAGGATCGATTTTCAGTATCATTTCACACAGAACAATGAACCCTTTCACCACCAACGCGATCAAGGATGATTTGCGAGCGGAGGCCAACGCATCAATGATGATAGTCATGGCTCTCTCAGGACTTGATGAAGATTGGGTCATGATCATCGCATAGAAGATCTGAAGCTCAATGTACCAGTAATGATTGTACGAATGGTCATCAGCTCCTATTCTTGAGAGCGTGTTTGTCACAACTTTGACGGCTTCGCCCTGGTTGCCGACTTTTAGTTCATACTGCGCCTTGCGTAGTTGTAACTCATAATAAAGGTCTTGATCATTAATCTCGTCAGCCTGGCTTTGAAGTCGGGCCAGCAGAATGGACACCGGTCTATAGCGACACTTTTTTAGCCACAGATCGCTTTGCAGCAGCATGAATCTTGGTTGCCATATCTTCATCAACGAGATGTCATTCACAGCGATCGCCTCGTACGATTGGATTTCAGCAATAGCTTTATCCACATCTCCGTTTTCATAGGCGAGAACTGCCCGGCGCATGCCGATCGACAACTCATCAAAAACGCTCAAGTTGGGCCCACAGGCGTCCAGAGCAACATCAGCATAGAGCCGGGCCAACGCAGGGACCCCAACCCTGCTCCAAACAGATGCACTAAGCTGGCAGTTGCGAACAAATGTCGACCTAATGCTGGCTCCAATATCGAAATTAAGAAGGACGTAGGACGCACGGGTGATGTTTTCGAGAATTTTGCGCAACGGACCACCATCGAGAATGAAATGCAAAGCATGATATTGGAAGGTCATGGATTGAAGCACCCAGTTTCTATTTTCTTTGGTCTTGATCTTCAGAAATTGCAGAATCTGGTCCCGACTAGTGTGATTTCCCATCTTGGAATACAGATGCGGTCTATCTTTCAGGAAGTTGAAGAGCCAAGTAAGCAGATAGTTAAGACAATCAAGATCTTTGTTTTCTCTGGCCACAAGAATGGCTTCGTCAATGGCTCTCAGGGCCTCCTCGTCGGAATTGAAAGAAGCGTGTAAAGTAGCGAGAGAAAGCAGCGCGTAGTGGTAAAACAGCTGCTGTTTGTTGGACATCATGTAGTCGAAATATCGGTGTAGCGCATTGAAAGAGCCTTCATAGTCGCTTTGTTTCCAGCTCTCTAAATAGTCGATGTAGTATGCGGAAGGGATGATTCCACGTTGAGATTCGGAAAGAAGTTTCAAGATATTCTTCGTTGACTGGGGAGGAGGAGGAGAATACTTCTGCATTATCTGAACCTGCTGTTCGAGCATCTGTGCAAGGTCAATTTGCGAGATGACCTGTTGCCGGGAGCCGTCCACACGAGCGTCGAGTAACCCGCTGTTTTTCAGCACCCGTTTCTGCCACGGTGTTTGGGGCTCGTCGAAATGGCTTTTTCTGACCTTGTGGTCATTGAGATTCAACCAAAGCTCCTTCGTTTCCTCCCTGTATTTGAGGAACGTGTTCCAAAGCTCGACAGTGTCATCAAACACCAGGACTTCAAATGCGATAGCTATGTTGTAGACAAACCTGCCTAGAAAACTAGAAGACGTCAGCAGCTTACCTGGTTGTGTTCGTTTGTGGACATTGTTATTTTTGGGGGTATGCTGGTAGTCTACGAGCAGCCTGTTAACACCCGAAACGAAATCGTGAAACATGTCCAAAGAATTGATACTCCACAGCGAATTTAGTAGGTATTTCTGAACAGCTTTGATATCGTTAGCCACCTCCGCGGGGTTCTGTGTATTCATCTCACTTGCAAAAGACGTGACTGAATTCTCTATCAGCTTGAGAATCTCCTTGAGCGAGGGAAAATACAGGCTGATCAACTCTGTTTGAGTTTCTCTCGGGTCATTGTGCTCTATAAGCTGGACCAGAGTAGAGAGTATTGGGGGGATTGTAGATGGCGGTAAATCCTTGTAGCAGTACCCAATGATCAAGGCCAGTATTGGAATTTTGGACGTGGCCAAGATCGGCGTCAGCACCAGCCCGTCTTCTGAGCCCTCCATAACAAAAAGATTAATCAGATCGCAAAATATCAATACGCGACTAAATACAGATCGAGGTCTGAGGTGTGGAAGATAAATATAATCGTATGAATCTATAGATGGACTGTAGAGATCATCTGAGTTGCATGAAGGCGTCGAGAAGAACGGATGGAGGACCCGTGTCATTTTTATTTTTCTCAAACACATTCCAAAATCTCAGAGTCTCATCCCCAGCGCCGGTGACAATGGTCTGGCCATCTGGAGACATGGCCAGATACAAAACTCTGTAGGTATGTCCTGTCAAAGACGCGATCTGCTGCATCGTATTATATTTCCAAATCACGATCTGATTTCTGGAGTAGCCGTGCGTGGAAACAATCTCGTTTGAGTTCTTTGACCATGCCAAATTGCAGACCTGCGATCCTGTATCGACATCGTTGATTTTCAGTCCTGTGATGGTATTCCAGATCTTGATTCTTCGATCTGCAGTTCCTCCACCGGAAGCGAGAATTCCACGCTGGTGCGGTGACCACGCGATCGCCTTGACCGCGGCCTGGTGCTCGGTAAATCTAAAAAGCGGCTCTTCGTTCAGGCCTTCCCAAACCAAAAGCTTGTTATCGTTGCCTCCCGAGGCAAGCTTGTTTTCTTCGATGTTCCATCTCAGCCCACACACCTCCTGTTTGTGTCTTTCGAGTCGCTTGATATAGTGTGACGGATCTCGCACGTCTCGGTGCAGAATGGATCTATCTCTTGATCCAGAAGTCAGTATATGTTGGTTCCATGCCAACGAAGATGCCCGTGACGAATGACCTGTCATTGTACGCGTGCATCTGCCCATCGTGGCGTCCCAAATCTCCACCAATCCTGAACTGGTTCCGATCGCCAGATGTGTGCCGGCTCCGATCCACGATAAGCTTGTTATAGTGTCGTTGGAGCCCAAATCGCACAACCGGTTCACAGACCCGCTGGAAGCGTCCCACAAGTACACACAGGACCCTAAACCGACTCCCAAGACATCCTGAGAGCCCCAGTCAACCAGATTAAGGTAGAAATCGTCAGCGAGCTCCGGGGCGTCCAGCACTCGATAAGGCACTTTGGATATTGACCGGGGCTTCTTTTGTGGCGACAGAAGCATCTTTTGGCTGTCAGCGCGTACCGGGCTGAGCGAATAGAGCTCGTTGTGCACGTTCAACGAGGAAGATGCCGGGCGGGATTTAGAAGGCGATTGGTATGTGAAAATGTTTCCGGATTGGCGAGGAGTATGCTGAACACCGTCTTCGAGATTAAGCTGAGACCCTGAATGGCTTGGGTTATTGGAGCCTGGAGGCGTGATTTCGGTTCGCGGAGGGTCAGAGCTTGCGCTTGTATGCGTGGCGCTGGGGTGTAGCGATTTTCTGCTCGAGAACGTTGCCGGAAGGTTGTCGCCGAAAAGCTCGGACTTGAGCACCGCATCAAACGTCCTGTTTGCCTCATCTTCGCGGATACAATCGATCTCATTTTCGATAATCGATCCCGACGCCCTACTCGAGTGTTCTGCTGCGGAGAAAGACTGGACCGTGTCTGAGTTCAAACTGAATGCTGCCTGGAGATCGACCCCTGTTCTGCTTGGAATATACCTGTCACTATACATTATCTTCCTCTTGGCTCTTCGCGGCGTTCCTGGCGAAGAGAGTATAGGATTGGACACGCCAGAATCATTATTGCGCGGCGTGGAAGGTGTGAGTGGAGGGAAGTTATTGATTGAGTTTCTGTCGTTCAATCGGTTTCCTGACATTCCAAATATTGGTCTGGCTGGCAGTGGATCAGCGGTTATGTCAAAACTGCCGTTATATGTCAGAGGTTGTAAGGAGAGAATTTATCAATTGGTATTTCTTGATCAAAACAGCTGAGAGGGAAATATTATTTTTCTGAAAAATAATTCTGTCACTGTTACAAGTGCGAGCAATATATAGCAATGGAATACCAAGTCTAAAATGGAAAGACATCGCCAGTTAGTAAGTTGAGGACCAGGAGAATTAGCTAACCGCCAGGCAGAAAATCGAGCACATGCTTTGGAGAAGATCAGGCTCCGGCAGCAGGCGTTGAAGGGCCAAAATCGGCCCGTGCCCCAAAAAGAGCTGACCCCAGAGCAACGAGAGCTGATTGAGAAGAACCGACAAAAGGCGTTGGAACGACGTCGTATCCGCGAGGGCATGGAGAAGGGCAACTACCGTATTGCAGATCAGGCGACGAACTCATCGGATGCTACTAGTGGCGTAATCGAAGGTGCGAAAAAAGGCGATCGCAACCATATACAGGAGCGCATCCGGCCGTCTGTGAAGAAGGCAGACTACATTGAGTACGACTTTAGCACGATGCAGGACACCTATGGAGGGTTTTTATCAGACGCAGACCGCAAGGAGGCCCGAGAATCAGACAAGACGCTCGAACAGTGGCAAGACGAAAAACAGAACCGGCCTTTGGTTGAGCCGGCTCCACCGTTGGACCTTGCGAACGCTCCGAAGTGTTTTGAATGTGGCTCCGTTGAGCTGGACCGAAACTTGTTGCAGACGTTTGGGTGTCGCGTGTGCAAGAGCTGCGAAAACAAGTATCCAGAGAAATACTCGCTTTTGACGAAAACCGAGTGCAAGGAGGACTATTTCTTGACCGAGCCCGAGCTGGCGGACGAAGCGTTGTTCAAAAGACTGGTCAAGGCGAACCCGCACAGCGGAACATACTCGAAAATGCAGCTTTTTCTGAGGTACCAGATCGAAGAGTACGCATTCAAAAAATGGGGCTCTGCGGAAAATTTGGACAAGGAGTGGCTTCGACGAGAGGAAATGCGGGTCAAGCGACGCGACAAGAAGTTTAACACCCGTCTTCGCGAGATGAGGAAGAAGATGCGGGCCGAGGAGTTTACGCGGAAATTACGAGGCGAGCGCAACGAAAGACACGAGCACCATTGGAGCCGGGGAGAGCCCATGGGGCAGCCTGGCATGGTGCGGCGTCGCTGCAAGGACTGTGGGCTTGAAATCGAGGAGATCCAAATGTAAATAACGCAATAATATTATGAATTATATACCCATGAATTCGTGTTTGTAGCTGTCGTGATCGTTCGTGCGCGCGTGGTTTGGATGTCGGAACTCCTTGGCAAGTGTTAGTGCTTTTCTGCCATGCTCAATTTAATTCCGGTGAGTCATAGAGAATTAGATGGCATCCACAAAGACAGTGAGAGCTAGCGAAATGTGCAATCTCCTGGCGTAGAAAACGGTCGAAAGAGTGGTATGCACTCGCGAGACGCATCAGGTGGACCAACGTCGCCGTTATGATGGAGCGAGAAGGCAATCGGATCCTCATACGGAGTACTGCCAGAAAGGCAAAAAGGAAAAAAATCCTATCCAACAAATCCCTGCACCACCGCACGTGGGGACCGGCAGTCGCACATGATAAATGGATTGGTAGCACGTTTGGGGAGGTGAATTTTATCGTGCATTATTTATAGCCCGTGCTCTTGTAATTAGCTGCACGGGGACTTGAAGCCTATAAAGCGCTCTGCTGGCCCAAAGTTGTAACTGCTAATCTTCGTATGCGACTTGAACAGTTCTGCGTGATTGTGTGCACCAGCCTGTGCTTCAGTCCTCTCGCTGCAACCCTGAGCATCCTGGTGCTCAATCCGTCTCCGTACGGATCGAGTATCTCCACCGCTTTCCACCAGGTGCTGAGTGCAAACCACCAGGTGATATCTGTCTCGCCGCTTCACCTTAGCTCTATTACAGAGAACGAAGTCACGATCGACACCACTCCAATTTGTGATGCCGACCTCAAAGATTTTTTGGACGAGCAGGAATTTGATTTGGACGACTTGCTAGGGCTCCAGGTCGGAGAGCAATTTTACGGCTCCAAACAGAACGACAGATGGTACGTCAAGGGCTCTGTCATGGGCACCGCGCTTTTTGCACTCGACTATCTGCTTCCGCACCACTACACAGAGATGCCATCCATCGACTTAATCATCGTCGCGTCCTCGGGCCATCTGGTGGACGGCTTGTACCGGCAGCAGACGCACGTGGACCTGAGCGTGATGAAACTCGCACAGGCCAGAAACATTCCCGTTTTTAACGTCAACAGCAACGAAGACCTGGACATGGTAACTGCCAGTCCTCTGGATGAGCAGAACTCCGACAAGAACAATGAGCTTTTAGAGCTGTATCTGCAGAGAATTGTGGCGCTGGTCGCGCAGCTTATGCACGAGGCCAATTATGGTAAACATAACTTCCATACCTCGCGTTCGCTACAAAGATCGCCCAAACTGAGAGAGTACTTTGAACGCGAAAGACGGAACGATAACCCTAGACTTCTGCCCAATGGTGTGGGGCTCAATATCAATCTGCGCGCGGAGGCCTCGTGCATGGATACCGACAAGAACTTCAACTTTATCGAGACCCGTACAACAGGGGGATATAACAAGCTTCCGGCTTTGAGTTATGATGAAACCAGAGGTATTGCCAAAATCGACTCTGTCTACAGCATCGACAACGATCTTCCGCGGAACAAGGACAGGATCCTCAGCGAGATGAGTGTGGACAATGGAGACTGCTTGATCAGTGTCACGCCCATCAGCTGGTCAGGAGGAGATTTTGAGACCTATAATATTCTTGGCAACGTCTTTGAGCAATTGAATGCGGAGAACCAGGACGAGAAGCCAAAACTTGTCCAGCAAGTTATCCATAGTACATAAGCATTTGCGTAGGAGAATAGAAAAAAACATACGTCGTGGCTAGTAATATAACCCATCGAAGGCCGCCTTGTGGCTGAGGAGGGCAAAGAAAAAAAAGATATTTTTCCCAAATATAAAAGAAACAGCAGCAACAAATAGCGTTCTTTAACAGCTCCTTCGGCAAGCTTCTATCTGCAAATCGATGACGCTAACGAACCCGATGGATTTCCAAAATCATCTTTCGACAAAGGACTTGCATCGTATCACAAAACCAAAAAAAGTGGGCAAGCGTCGCCATACGGACGACTCCAACGATGAAGATGCCAGCAAGCCTCGGTTCATGCCAAAAACACTTAGCAAGCTAGCGCAGCACAAAAAGCAGAGGCAGCCGCAGGTTATGGGCCAGAAACTCTCTGTTTCGAGAATCATAGAGACCTTAGACCAAGAATCGTTGCAGAACCTAATTTCCAATCTGGTATCCGAACACCCAGAAGTGGCCCCTACGCTGCTGAAGATCTCTCCGCAAGTCACTATAGAAGACTCCTTAATGGTTCTAGAGCAGAAACTAGAAAGAATATTGCAAAACATGCCCTACAGGGTCGATGCATCGTCCGATTACTCATTCCTTAGAGTGAAACCTCACGTGGAGGACTTTTTCCAGACTCTTTCCGATTACACACTAAACTTCCTTCCTCCCATTGAGTCCGATCTCACTGTTCCACTTATGTTCCTGATGAAATTCCTGGCCAAGTGCTTCCCACGCTTGCCCAAATTCCATGCCGTTGAATACCGCTATTACCACAGCCTTACAGTTGACAAATTCAACACCATTTTGGACGATATTCTTGTGCAATTCCTTAGCGAGAAAAAACACAACATCATTCTCGCCATCAATCAAGACTGGCTCACAGATTTCCGGAAAATCAGCGAGCTCAACGACAACAAATTTTCATCCGTATACGAGCGTTTGAAGCTGGAGATTGAGCAGTACGAAAACCCCGATGCAGCGTCTGGCCAGCCATCCACCGGCAATCCCGGGCGGCTCACAGGGCTTGCCAATCTCTTAAATTTTTCTAGCGATAATAGTCCGTTGCACGGCAACACTGTGGGGAACGTTTTTGACACTATTTAATAAGCAGGTGTATTCATTGCATTCGCTAACATTCCGAGTATATAAGGCTATTTACAAATTGATGCCCCATTGAGCCAGCTCCACTGAGGACGCGGTCTGCAACAGTTTCCTCATCTTATTTTTCATGATATTTTTCTTTGTAGTGGCCGGATCCAGGTCGAGTTTATTAACGAGATTTCTGAACGTTGGATCAGATTCTCCTTTGGCGATTATGGTTTCCAGCTTCTTGCTGAGTTCAACCTCTGATCTGATTGACTCCAGCTTGTTTGCAAGATGCGAGAGGCTCGACATGAAAAGCTCCTGATTCTCTAAACCCGCGTCCCAGTTGGAAATTCCATATTTCAGTTTCAAATCGGCGATCTTCTCGCGCTCCTCCTCAGACAGCTCTGAAAAAGGCTTTCTAAGCATCTTTACCTCGTTCAGGTCGTGGTAGAGCGTCGAAGAGTTGTCGTCGTAAAACTTCCTCCTCCTGAGCAGGTCTTGTCTTCTTCTAGTCTCTTCCTCTGACACCTGTCTTTTGGCCTCTTCCTGGTAATGCTGGAACTCCTCACCTTTGTTTTTCTTGATTTCCGCCACAGCAAACGACTTGCGCGCACTCAGCGGACGAGTGGCCTCGATTCTCACCAGATCTCCCTCTTTGCAAATATTGGCTTCGTCATGGACAAGGAAATCCTTTTTTTTCAAATATTCTTTCTGTAGTTTCTGGTTCAGCACCTTCTGCATGACCCTTACTTTCACGGTCTTGTCCATCTTCCCTTGGGAAATGACAAACCCAATAAAGTTCTGTCTGGCCATCGCTGTCGGTTAGTCGAGCTCTAAAAATTTTAAAAAATTCAAACCTTTGTGCAGTCGTGTGCTTTTCCAAACTTGTATCTAAACTGGCACTTGTGAAACACACTTTATCTTTTGCTATGCCATCAGGACAGGCTTCCGACGGCGACGCTGCGTCTGAGTTATTCCCGCATTTGGGGAATCACGAGCCCTCGTTGTCTGCCTCTAGCGAAGCGTCCGAGTCGACGTCGTCCGACCTCCACAGCTCCATCATACACAAAATTATAAGAGCAGGATCCTCTCCAGCAGCCACGTCCTCGCGGTTTTATTACAGCGATCTGTACGACTATTACGCAAACAACGATAGTCATGAGTATGCGAACGACTTTGAGGCCTACGAACGACGTATTCAAAAGGAAAATAGAATTAGAAACGCCATATCACGCTTGAGTCAGGAGCAAAGCAGTCGCCAGAGCTGGAGCCAGCCCAAGCTCGGGGTCGTCAACCTCAGCAGAGTGAGCAGTCTTGAAACCGTTCCTATCGACGAGTGCGAGGAGGTGGCGCAGCTGCCCATAGAGCTCCAGGCCGTAGGGCGCAGCAGAAAGTCTGATTACAGCGATATTAACATGGACGACGACCAGCCAGAAATGATTGTGAGTAACGACGAAAACCTGGACTATACTTTTCGGCGAATAGAGCCCACAATCAGGCCGCGCAAGAAGAAAAAGTCATTTTTCGACTACTTCAACATCAACCGCAACTACCGCATACAACGCAAATTGCACGTCCGCCACCTGCACCAAATTGCATTGGGAGGAACGCTAGGCGTGGGCCTATTGCTTTCTTCGGGCAAGTCATTCAGCATTGCCGGTCCATTGGGCTGTCTGCTTGGTTTCAGCATCGCCGGTTTGATAGTCCTGGCCACAATGCTCTCCTTCTGCGAAATGGTGACACTGATCCCGCTCTGTGGCGGTGTTTCTGGGGTGTCATCTCGATTTGTCGACGATGCGTTCGGGTTTTCGCTCGGCGTGTGCTACTGGCTCAGTTACTGCATAGGCTTCCCTACTGAGATCACTGCTGCGTCCATCATGCTCAGTTTCTATCCCAGCCTCGATATCCCCGGGCCCAACACAGCAGGCTGGATAACGCTATTTCTGGTCGTTGCGCTGCTGATAAACCTGTGCGATATTAGGGTTTACGGTGAAATAGAGTACTTTTCTACTCTCTTCAAGCTGCTTATCCTGTTAGCTTTGCTGATCTACAACTGCGTGCTCAACGCGGGCGGATCGGCCCCCCACCACGAACGAATCGGATTCCGATACTGGGACAGCTCCAAATCAGACCTGGAACATCACATCACCTACGGCCCTTTTAGGCCAACTTTCGACGTCAAGGACACAGGCACGGGCGCGACTGGAGGCATTGGAGGCGCCAAGGGCCGCTTTTTGCAGGTTCTGGTAGCCTCTGTGGTGGCCTCCTATGGCTATGTGGGGACGGAGATCGTTCTAATCGCAGGCGGTGAGTCCCGGAACCCGCGTCACGCAATCCCGCTTGCCACCAGAAACATCTACTGGCGTATCCTTGTGTTCTACATTCTTGCGGTATTTATTATTGGCCTCAACATCTACAGCGGCGACCCACGCCTATTGAGATATTTTACCTGGACCGGCCCTTCCACGCAGAGCGAGAAAAAACAGCGCGAACAACTGGAAGCCATGGTCATCCAGCTGAACGGTGGCGGGAACTGCAAAACGCACCTGCTCCAATGGGCGGGCTTCGCCAACGGCAATCAGTCGCCATTTGTGATTGCGCTCCAGAGTGCCGGGCTGTGCACCTTTGCGGCTGCTACCAACGGCTTTCTCGTGTACTTTGCACTGACTGCGGCATCCTCGCAGCTCTACGCCTCGTCACGGACGCTGTATTATCTGTCGATCCAAGGCAAAGCGCCCAAGGTATTTTCCATCTGCTCCAGAAATGGGGTTCCCTACTTGAGTGTTCTGTTCACGGGCTTGTTCTCGTGTCTCGCATATTTGTCGGTGGACAACAATACCGCACTGGTTTTTGAACGGCTGCTCAGCGTGTGTGCGTCGACAGGTCTGATCGTATGGTCAGGCATGTGCTTATCGTTCATCAGGTTCTACTACGGGTTGCAGCTGCGCCCAGATATCATCAGTCGGACAGACAAAAACTACCCCTACAGATCTCCTTTCCAGCCATATCTTGCGTACTTTGGGATGCTGGGCTCACTGTGTCTGGTGCTGATTGGAGGTTTTGTCGCCTTTATCCACGGCCAATGGTCTCCAGCATACTTTATCTCGTGCTACGGCTCGTTGTTTGTGTGCATTTTCTGCTACATTATGTACAAAATTTTTCGACGCACGAGAATCCATCGTCTCGACCAGCTCGACCTGGACTCCGGCAGACGCGAGATCGACCGAATAATCTGGGAGGATGACACGCACTACGCGAACAATTTCAGGGAAATCATCAGTAAAGGGATCAGCTTGCTTCTTTAATACAGCTCACACGTTACCGATTTTTCAGTTTCTCCAGTAACTGCTGCTTTCTCAGTGCTACCACGGCATCCTGGTATTCTTGTTCCGTAGGAAGCTGAGGCGTGTCAAGAATAGCAGTCTTTTCGAAGCCGCTAGTGCGGAGCTCTGCTGTGCGCTTGCGCTCAAATTCCAGCAAAGCGCATTCTTGTTGAGTATCCTGGGCCATGTCGTCGCTGGGAATCCGCAAGTCTAGCTCGTTCTCGTCCTCATATCCATAATATGCCGGCTCCAAATCTGTCTGATTTAATCGTAAAAACTGCTCTTTTGCGTTTCCTAACGCAAATGCATCATCCTTTCCTCTAGAGTTGAGCAACCGTTCCACCTCCGGTAGCTGTTTCGCTCTGCCAAAATACCGGTAATTGTTCACCGTGACCGAACCATCGGCCACAGCAGACGTTCTGAGATGATCGGGCCCGCCAAGCTCCTTCACACGATGCTCCCACGCGCGCCGTTCCCGCATGAGCTTGTTCAACTCGTCGTTAAGGGCCCTGATCTGAGAGTCTTGAAGCAACGGGTCGTTGATCTTTTCGATCTTAGCAGATATCTCCTGCAAACACATGGTCCGGAAAGTCTCTGCCTCGTGTACGTCATCCGTATCTTGTGTCACGCGTGGTCGCGAGCCAACCACTCCGTGCTGTCTTCCGTACAATCTATTGAGCATGCTCACGTAAGATCTTTTTTACATGATAAATATTCCATTTTTTTTCTTTTCTGCTGATTTAATCTGAGGACAAGTAGGTGGGAAAAAAAAAGATCTCATTTTTATTATTGTCAAGTACTCAGACATAACTAGCACTCGCTATGTCTCCGTTACTTTCCTATCGCTATAATAAGTTCCTTGTGGCGGGAGCAGTCTTGGCCATAATCTACATTGTTGTGTTCATGGCCCCCTCCCACCCAAAGACAGAGGACGCGTTTCCCGAACTCGTGTCTGAGTCTCAAGTCACTTCTCCTATCAAGCCTCTCGCGTCCAAGGCTTTATCTGCTCCTGGTGAGCTGATCGAGGAGAAGATGCCAGTTATCGACGACGATTTATCATCGACTCTGGAGTTGCAGAGCTACAAGACACGGGGACAAGAAAGTGAGAAACAGGCCACACAAGCTGCTACCAAGCCAAAGGCCACTGGCGTGAGACAAACTACGCCACTACATGACTCCAAGGAGGAGGCCAAGGTTGCACAGGAAATTAAGACTGCATCGTGCGAGTCCGGCGAGGAATACGTCATCATGATCGACGCCGGATCCACAGGATCTAGAATTCACGTTTACTCGTTTGATACATGCCAGTCTCCTCCTAAACTACTGAACGAGGAGTTTAAGATGAAAAAACCAGGTCTTTCCTCGTTTGACACCAACACGGTCGAAGCTGCTGCCTCTTTGGACGAGCTTCTCGAGGTTGCGCTCGAGACCGTGCCAAAGGACAAGCAGTCTTGCACACCAGTTGCTGTCAAGGCCACCGCAGGTCTCAGACTGCTTGGAGAGCAGAAATCTTCTGCTATTCTTGCGGAAGTGAGACGTCATCTGGAGGACGACTATCCATTCCCTGTTGTCGAGGGAGACGGAGTTTCTATCATGGATGGCAGCGACGAAGGCGTGTATGCCTGGATTACTACCAACTACCTGCTTGGAAACATCGGTGCCAGGGAAAAGCGGCCTACTGCTGCCGTGTTCGATTTGGGAGGAGGATCCACCCAGATTGTTTTCGAGCCACTGGATGGACAAAGCATGATTGAAGGAGAGCACAAGTACGAGGTGAGTTTTGGCGGCGCCGACTTCACTCTATACCAGTTCTCGCATCTTGGATTTGGACTAATGCAAGGCCGAAAGAAGGTCAATGCTTTGGTTTTGGAGACTGCCCTCAACGATCCAAAGTACGATCTTAGTCCAGTTTCTGACCCGGAAAATGCGGTCGCAAAGGTTTCGATCCCACATCCATGTCTTCCACCAGGAGTCACGGCTGAGAATGTGATTGTCGAGCTTGCTGACAAGACTAGTTACGCTGTGAACTTTGTCTCTATGGCAAAGAGTGAAGACGACGACATGGCTAAAACTGCTGCTGTTCAATGTAGATCATTGGCAGAGACCATCCTGAACAAAGACATGGAGTGCAAATCCAAGTCTTGTTCGTTCAACGGTATTTACCAGCCTTCGTTGAGACACCAGTTCTCCCCGACCTCAGACATGTTCGTGTTCTCCTACTTCTACGATAGACTCAAGCCTATTGGGATGCCACTCTCTTTCACGCTGGAAGAAATGAAGGACCTCACCAAGATTGTTTGTTCCGGATCCACTGCTTGGAACCAGTACCTCTCGCAGCCTGAAGGTCTCAAGGAACTGAATGCCGAACCTCTGTGGTGCTTGGACCTTTCGTTCATGACTGCGCTGCTGCACACAGGGTATGACATTCCTCTCCACAGAGAACTGAGAACCGCTAAGAAGATCAGTGACAACGAGCTGGGATGGTGTTTGGGAGCCTCGTTGCCTCTTCTGGATAAAAATTCGGGATGGAGTTGCAAAGTCACCAGGGACTAAATTGAGTTATATGAAATGAGTGAAATAAATACTAATTATGCTCAAAAAATTAATTTAAAACGCGGAATTGCACCGTCGGTCATCCGAAATAATTTCATTTAAGTCAGAGCATGGAGGATCTTAATCCGGAGGCATTGTCTTCCAATAGTAGCTCTCTGTACGAGCTATCCGGATCTGAGCACATGGAACGCTCTGAGTCCTTACAACCCAAGCAGCCGATCCTACACGATAGCTTGTACTGCAGGGACAACCCAAGGGAGACTCTTACGATAAAGGACGATTCAAACAAGTCAAACCATCATCGCGCTTTTCATAACGCCACAGGTAAGCACTCTACTACAGACGATTTGCTCCGAAGCTTATCGAACAAGAACCTGAAGAGTGTCAAGTCGCATGCCCAACTGGCAAAAACGGCTCATGGTGTTCGAATCCTTGCCAGAAATTTAGATAGAGCTACAATACATCTACAGCTGCGTTCAGTTATGCTGATCACCAAGGCAAGAGATAACTCGCTTGTTTATCTCACGAAAGAGGTTGCTGAATGGCTTCTTACAATCAATGATCAGACTCGAGTCTACGTGGACTATCATCTGGAAAAGTCCAAACGGTTTGACGCAAAAGGCCTGATACATGATAATCCCTCCGCCGAGGGCCGTTTGAAGTACTGGACCAAGAAACTTATTAGAGAGAATCCCGATATCTTTGACCTGGTTATCACGCTAGGGGGCGATGGTACCGTCCTCTATGCTTCCACTCTTTTTCAAAGGGTTGTTCCTCCGGTGATGGCGTTTTCTTTAGGCTCTCTGGGGTTTCTCACCACCTTCCCGTTTGAGAACTTTCGGAGCATTTTGGCAAATGTGATCAAGAACGGAGTTCGCACAAATTTAAGAATGCGTTTCACGTGCCGTGTTCACACTGCTGAGGGTGACTTGATCTGCGAGCAGCAAGTTTTGAACGAGCTCACCGTTGACAGAGGGCCTTCCCCGTGGGTCTCGATGCTGGAACTGTATGGCGACGGGTCGCTACTGACTGTTGCCCAAGCAGACGGTCTTATTATTGCTACCCCAACCGGCTCGACTGCCTATTCGCTGAGCGCGGGAGGTTCTTTGGTGCATCCTGGCGTTAGTGCCATTAGTGTGACCCCCATTTGTCCGCACACGCTTTCCTTCCGTCCAATTTTGCTACCAGATACTATGTCTCTGAAGGTGAAGGTTCCTATTCGATCAAGAGCCACTGCTTGGGCCTCCTTTGACGGACGTTCTAGAGTTGAGCTACTCAAAGGATACTACGTCACTGTGTGCGCATCTCCATTCCCCTTCCCTACTGTGAGGTCTTCCAAAACGGAGTATATCGATAGTGTGAGCAGGGTACTCAATTGGAATAATAGAGAAGAGCAGAAATCATTTATCCATCTGTTGAGTGATAAGAATAAAAAATCGTACAACACTTATCACAGAAGACACGGTTCATCTCCAGAGAGCGATCTGGAGGACGAGGACAATTTGGATATGAATTATGTTAACCAGTCGAAGGAGGGAAATGAAAACCAGCATGGGGCCCAAGAGTCTGTGGCACCAAAAGCACGATTCATGATCAATGGCGAGCATTTGGACGAGGTGGCGGCTAATCATGGAGTCACAAGGCCTTCGAAACTGAAAAATGTCATCAAGCCTGAGGATTTCAACGAGGCTCGGGAGGAAGATATAAACGAGAGAGAAAGACAGGATTTACAGGATGAGCTTGCAGGAAAATTCGAGATTGATTACAATGACGACAGTGAGGACCAGGAGTCAACAACTCATGTTAGCGGCACAGCAAAGGGCGAAGAAAAAAGCTGTAAGAAGAAGCCTCATTTGGACCAGACCCGGACGCGTCGAACTGTTGCAAACGAGAACATGAGCGACTCCACGGTTGATATCGACGACGAGGACGATTCTCAAAATAATTATTTCCGGCCTCGCGCCGGAGAGGAAATTGAGACTCCGCTCAACCATTCTCCAGGGCTGGAGCCAACCATTGACCAGGTGGTGTCAAGCCATTTGTTTGAAGAGGATCTCAGAAGCAAGATATTTCGTTTGAATGTGTAAAGATGTGTAAATTATTATAGCTGTGCCATGATAAGACGTGACAGATTTTGTACAATAATTAATTTAAAAGAGTGCTATTGATTTCTAGCACGTCATAGAATAGCGTACCTTGATCTCGTCGAAAACCAATCCCTGGACACAATTGAACTAAAAACGTCATACAGGAAGGACTTGTTGCAACCAACATTTTTCATCGCAACGGACCTTTTTACGCATCGTTCAACATCTAGAGGCAAATTGCTCGATTCAAGTGATAGGAGATCTAGCTAGTTCCTCTTAGGTTCGCATATTTTAGTCCTTTATCGGAAAAGGCAAAATAGCACATCTGAACAAATAAGCAATTGCCATTTGAGAGCTTTTCGGATACCCCCTTCTAAAGCTTGTGTCCTATATTCTTGATACGCCTTGATCATGAATGGACTCAATCGTGGCACTAAGGACGGCTACGAGCAAGAAATATCGTCGAGCGACTCGTCTGACTTCATCACAGATGATGAAAAGTCGCTCACTTCTCAACCGCATCCGGCACAGGAAACAACTGGCACCAGATCACAAAATTCCACGGGCCATCAAGATGTTTTCCAGCAATATCTCGACGAGCCTCCACGATGCTATGAGATTGAAGCGGAGGGGGCTAATACGTGGGAGATTTCTGGAATTACAGAGCTCAAAGACGAGAAATACGCTGGTCCAAGATTCAAAGTTGGAGAGGATTTTGAGTTCAACCTTCTGCTTATGCCGCCAACCAGAAAGAACACTTCGGCCTACTCTGTGTATCTGGAAGCGCATCCCTTGAAGGCCAAGGAGGGTGAGAGTTGGCATTGCTGTGTCCAGTTTGCCATTGATGCTTGGCTTCCCTCAGAACCCTCAGTTCACAAAGTTAATAATTCGTTTTATCGCTTCAACCCCAGGATCACCGACTGGGGATTTGTTGGTCTTCTAAACAGCCGACAGGCATCAGACGTGAAGATGTTGAAGGCAAGCAGCCTCAATATCACAGCATATGTCAGAGTCATCAAAGATCATACCGGAGTCTTGTGGCATGACTTTCTTGATTATGATTCCAAGAAAGAGACCGGCTACGTGGGAATCACAAACCAGGGTGCAACCTGTTATTTGAATTCTTTACTTCAGTCCTATTTCTTCACTAAAGTGTTTAGAAAGAAGGTCTACCAAATCCCAACGCAGGACGAGATCAGTTTCGGATACAACTCTTTCCAGCAATACCTTGAACAGCCCAAGAGTGTGTCATTGTCACTTCAGAGAATATTTTACAGTCTACAGACATCAGATAAGCCTATTGACACGCTCGAGCTCACTCATTCTTTTGGTTGGAATAGCGCAGACGCTTTTACTCAGCATGACGTTCAAGAACTGAACCGTATTCTGATGGATAGACTGGAGTCCAAGATGAAGAATACTGAAATTGAAGGATGCTTGAATGATATTTTTGTGGGCAAAATGAAAAGTTTCATTCGTTGCATCAACGTCGATTACGAAAGTAGTCGTATCGAAGATTTCTGGGATATACAGCTGAATGTGAAGAATCTGAAAAACATCAGAGAGTCATTTGAAAATTACATTGAGCTGGAGCTTCTTAATGGAGACAATAAATATGATGCCTCCGGATATGGTCTACAGGATGCTGAGAAGGGTGTTGTGTTCGAAAGCTTTCCACCTGTTTTACATCTACAGCTCAAGCGGTTTGAGTATGATTTTGAGTATGATCAGCTGGTCAAGATAAACGACAAGTACGAGTTTTTTGACTCAATCGACCTCAAACCTTACTTGGACAAAGACGCTCCTAACTATGACGAAGACTGGGAATACAAATTGCAAGGGGTTTTGGTGCATCAGGGTGATGTTTCTGTGGGTCACTACTATGCAATGATTAAGCCAACACCTAAAGATGAGTGGTTTAGATTTGAGGATGATAAGGTGTGGAGAGTGACTCCATATGAAGTTTTCGAAGGTAATTTTGGTGCAGATAGCCTGACTATCGACCCTAGAAAACTTACCAGAGAGCAACAGCAGGATTATCATCTCAAGAGGCACACTTCAGCCTATATGCTTGTCTATATTCGCAAGACAAAGTTTGAAGAAGTTTTAAGCGAGGTTACAGATGCTGACGTTCCGTCTCACATCTCCAAGCAAATCAAGTATGAGCAGGAGGAGTACGAGAGGCTACGCAAAGAGCAAGAAGAAATGCACCTGTACGCAAACATTAAGGTGTACACGAATAAAGGCTTTTTGAAATATCAAGGTTTTGACCTTGGTCCAAACGAAGAAGATAGGCTCAATTTCTCACCAGACCTGTTTGATCCTGAATCCTTCTCTTTGAAATTCCGTGTGCTAAAGTCAGAGCCTTTCTCAAAAGTTTACGACCTGGTGGCTCAAAAGCTTGGCTACAATGTGGATAAAACCAAGCAGTTTAGGTTTTGGAGCATTGTAAATCGCCATAACTTTGCATATCGTCCATACATGCCAATTCCGCGCCATTTCGATGATCCTAAAAACAAAGACATTACTGTGAACCAGGTTGTCAAATACAATGAATCTTTAATGTCGAAGAGAAGAAAGACAACGCAGAGTTCACAGTTGATTTTATTTTTGGAGGAGTCGTCAAGAGAACTAAAATTTGTTTCAAATGGTATATTTGAGCTTACCAATAAACAGAAGATTCCTGCCCCATTCTTCAACTTGGAACCTTTTGATGTTAAATTCGAAAAGGCGGTGGAACTAGTCAGCTCAGAATTTAGTCTGCCCAAATTCGAGTCCGTGTCTGATGGTTCAGACAAGATCATGTTGTTTATCAAATATTTCGACCAAGACAAGCAATCTGTTAAAGGAATTACCCATGCAATTGTTCCTGTGGAAAACCAAGTTGAATATCTAACGGAGCTTTTGAACAATTTGATGGGTTTTGATATCTCGACTCCACTAAGATTTTATGAGGAATTTGGACCTAACCAGATTCAATGGCTCAATCCTTCGAAGAGCTTCTACAAGTCGGAGCTAGGAAATGGTGATATCATTTGTTTCACCAAGGCTGATTCCGAAGTGAATCCAAACCCTGATCGGGAGCTGAAGACTGTTGAGGACATCTACGACTTCATGGCAAATAGATGCCATTTCAAGATTTCTCCACTAGTCAAGATTGACGAGGATGAAGAGGAGTACGTCAAGATTGCTGAAGACATGGACCCTATTGACACGAAATCTAGATCAGACTCCTCGAAGTCGTCTTTGAATAAGGATTTTGAGCTGTGGTTTTCGACGATGTCGACCTACCAGGCTCTAGCAGAGAAGATTGGTGCTCATATCAGAGTTGATCCTGACTATTTGAGACTCTTCATCTTGGGTCACTCCAATCAGCGCATCCCGTTGAAGAGAGATACAGTTTTTAGAAGGCTTATCGACAAGATTCCAAAATCCCAAACGCTAGAGATCCAGTACGAAGTTCTGAATGTTACTCTTGCAGAGTTTGAAGAAATGAAACTTTGTCACGTTTCATGGGTTGGCCAAGGTATTTGCCGGGAGCAAAAACATGAGTTTTTCCTTCCAAGATCAAGCACTATAGATGACCTGATCGATAGGCTGCAAACGAAGGTTAACATCAAGCCTCAGGAGCGTCAAAACATCGTTTGTTGGGCACCTGACCGCCACGTTCGTTTGAGTGTCTACCCGACAGAAACAACAATTGACTCATTTGATCATTTGGTGATTGGAAACTTCCCTAACTTCAAGCAAGTGTTGGAGCATGGTTCCAAAACTTCGAAACTGGTGACAGGCTTTCAGTTTTTCGGTAAGGTCACTAACCCTCACGGCCTTCCATTTATTTTTGATTTGATCAAAGATGAGCCTCTATCGAAAACAAAGTCGAGGTTGCATAAGTTACTTGGATTGAGCGACAAAGAGTTCAACAGTGTTAGGTTCGGAATTACGGACTTCAAAGATGTGGAGTATTTGGATTCCGAGGACACGGATTCCATAGTTCTCTTTGACGTTTTAAATTCTGCAGACATTCAGATTTGTGTTGACCACCCCGATCGTTCTGTCCGAAAAGGGTCCGTGTTCGAGCCATCTATTTTTATTAGGGAATAAATATGTTACTATTGCGCTTGTATTGGTTAATGCTGAGAAACTTGGCGTCTTTCATAATCTTTCTTTCGGAGCTGAGTGCTACTCAATTTGTTTTGAAATCCATCGGCTTCGTCACCTCCTAAAGTTGCTATCTGCACCACCTCCAGCTCAGGGAAGCCTTTTTCCTTCCTGACCTGATTGACGTATTGACCACCTTGCACACTTTCCGAGCTTAAAACGAGCGCATCTATATCTTTAACGCTCGCAGTAGGTCCACATATATCGTTGATTTGATGAATTTCGATCTGCAGTTTGGGTTCGATCAGCTTGATAAATGTTTTAACGTTTTTCACCCTCGTCTCGTAGCTCTCCAGGCATTCTGCGTATTTCTTGTTTTTCAACAGTTCCGGACCAGTCACTCCTATTATAAGTAGTCTTGCTGTGACAAACACAGAGGCAGTTAAAAGCATTTTATGACCGCTGTGTAAATGATCAAAAGTGCCTCCTACAGCTGAAACCTGATATTGCTGATAGGATGAATTCACCTTGGTGGAAATAGCAGACTTTGTGGAGATATGCGGTTCCACAAGATCCAAATCAGAATCAAGGACATTGATAGTTGGGTAATCCAAGTTGCTCTCCGATAAGTGATACTTTATCAAGGTACAGTCTGGTACATGAGGATCCTGGTACACGACGTTCACATCCAAATCCTCGTTATATCGATAAACAATTTCGTATATTTTTGGCATGTATTCATTCAATTGATCCAAAGTTGCCGGTTTTTGTTCCAATAGGGCAAACAATCTGCCCCGGCAACGCTTTAAGGCCACAGAAAGTATCTTTTCCAGCACCTCACCTTCCGGTAATAAAACAATAATATTCATTTAGTAAAAGTTCAAAAAAATACTCGGCCCAAAAAAATATGACCTCAATACGACAAGTTTTAGATTCAAAGAAATATGTGCCGCCGGCAAAGCTGAAAGCCTTGCTGGAGGAGTCTGATGTGTCGTACGCATCCGAAGAGTACCAAAGATTGCACTGGGAAAAACTCAAGAAACAAATAAACGGAGAAATTAATAAAGTGAACACAGAGAACATCAAGGAAGTGGTATTGGAACTTTTCAAACTCAACCTCATTCGAGGCAAGGGTTGGCTCGTACGATGTCTAATGAAATCCCAGATCTTGTCGCAGGCCTACACAACTGTCTACGCTGCTCTGATTTGTGTGCTCAATTCAAAAATACCAGAGCTTGGAGAGCTTCTAGTCACGAGGTTGATTTTGCAGTTCCGAAAGGCCTACAAGAATGACGACAGAGATACGTCTAAGGCGTCTGTGATTTTTTTGTCTCAACTAGTCAATTATCAGGTTTGTCACGATATCGTTGCGTTGCAGCTTTTATTTTTACTATTAGAGCATCCAACTGATACTACGGTGGAAATTGCTTGTGCGTTGCTGCAAAATTGTGGGAAATTTCTATCAGAGAACTCTTCTGTTGCTCTTAATGCCGTTTTTGAGCGTCTGGGTACCATTTTGACCGAGGATCTGGTTTCCAAGAGAATACAATTGCTCATACTGGAGGCCTTTAAGCAGAGGAAAAACGATTACGACGGAGCTCCTGTGATTGTGGAGGAGCTCGATTTGGTTGAGGACGAGGATAAAGTGACGCATACATTAAACCTTGACGATAAACTGAAAGCGCATGAAATACTAAATACTTTTCAATTCGATCAGGATTATGAAAAGCACGAACAAGCTTATGATGAATTACGAAAGCAGATTTTAGGATATGAAGAGGATAGCTCGTACGATGAGAGCGATGAGGAGAGTGAAGACGACGAAGCAGACAATGTGGCCAAAGAGCAGATCCGAGACCTTACAGAGTCGGCACTCACCAACTTCCAGAAAACCGTTTATTTGACAATGATGTCCAGTATCAACCATGAGGAAGCTGTCCACAAATTGCTAAAGTTGCAACCCATTGATCCTGGACGAAAGGAGCAAATGCTAGTGGACATGATAGTGAAATGTTGTGCTCAGGAGAAAACGTACTCCAAGTATTATGCCCTGGTTGGCGAAAAGCTGATCTCTGTCAATCGCAATTGGACCAAGGCCTTTGACCAGGTATTTGTCGACAATTACACAAACTGTCATCAGTATGAGCTGTCTCTGATACGAAATATAGGATCCTTTTGGGGACACATGTTTGCCTCGGACAAGATGGGCTGGGAGATATTGCAAATTGTGCAACTAACAGAGGAGAGTACCAACAGTGCCAGCAGAATTTTCCTCAAGTTTCTGTTTGTGAAGTTGCAGGAAGAACTGGGTTTGAAGAATCTGAGAGTCCGCCTTTCGGAGGAATATATCCAGCCGTACATCAGGGGTCTTTTTCCGAACTCCGGCGCCGACAGGTTGCGGTTTTCCATCAATTACTTTACCGCAATTGGTCTAGGTGCACTGACAGAAGACATGAGAGAAATTCTCAACAATCTACCAGAGAATGAAGAAGAGAGTGGTGTTGAAGATGAGAATGAACGTAAAAGAAGTGCGTCTCCAGATGATTGAGGAGAGAAGAGACACTCTCGTTTCTACGATACTGTATGAGTAATTAATCTCTATATCGCTACTCAACGCTTAAATTGGCCGTCTTATCTGCCAAGTCATCCACTTTTGTATCCGAAGGGTGCGAGCCAACCGGAACGGTGGCGGGGCCATCTCCTCTAAGATCGACCTCGCTCAGCCCAACCACTTCTCCTAACTCCTTGAATCTCTTCATGTAATGAGCTCTCTTCTTGTGCGCCATCTCGACAAGCGCAGGATAGTACACTTCGTGATCATATTCGAAGTCCACCAGACCATCAAATTCCTTGTCTAGTTGCTCTGCGGGACAGAACTCGGAGAAGTCTGCGTCAAACACAAGCTTCTCTCTCGTTAGAGGATCAATGAAAGGATATATCAGCCTTAGAAAAGTTCTGCCCAAAAAGGGAATATTGGTCAATAATGCTTTACCAAGTCTTTCGGGATAGTGTGTCTGAAGAATATGTAGCACTTGCTTGCCGACGCCCAATGGAGGCACCTTGGAAGTTTCTGATTGCGCCGCAATTTCGGGATGGTTTTTGAAATCGATCAATAGCGCAAGAGAGTCTTGACCCGAGGGCATAAAGTCAATGACTCTCTCTAGGAAGAAAACCAAATGTTGGACTTGTCTGAAGGATGTTTTTGTATTTTGGCGACCCGGCTTGAGGTAAAGACATGGTCTGCATTGGTTGTCAAAACCCAAGACAACCTCCTTGCCTGTCTCTGATTCTGGTGCAACTAGTTCGGGAGTGACGATGTTTTTCGAGTCGTCAAGGTAGTGGGTAATACCAAACTCGGTTCTCCAACCCAGCGTTCCTTCAATTCTTTTGATTGCTTGGGACACGTCCCACTTGGCAGCGCGCAAATATCTCAGGAAACATTCTCTAGTAAGCCATGCTTTTTGGTCGGCAGTTAGAGGCTGCAAATCGCCCTTGTGATGCTCGGTGGTAGGAACCTTAAGCCCTGGATCCTGAAAATGTTTGAGGACTGTGAGGTATTTCTCTTTCTCCTCTTCGGTAAGCTTTTTCTCAGCAGGGGGCTTCAGATAGGCAGGGGGGTGCTCAAAAGGAACAGAGACCTTAATGAGGTCCTTCTTCGGTTTTGCCTCCTTCTCTGAATCTGTCTTTCTTTTACCTATCCCGAACATCTTCCTGTTGTACAAGCACGCGTTCTATAACCCAAGTCGTGTGGATTCACCTGAATTGGGATCGAATCTATATTGGGGTGCCTATATATTTTGAAAAATAATTATTTCGGTCCGAATTAGTTTCCGTTCGCGTTCGTCAAATGTTTAGTGCCTTGAATTTTTTAAAGAACTTGTCCCGCTTTCGAGAACTATCGGAGGACGTGGTCTGCGCCAGCTGGTGAGCACTAGAAGAACCAGAAGAGGCTCTGCTTTGTGCAGAGTTTGAAGTTGCGCCTGGAGCCAGATTTTTGTTTGGCTGCGTAGCAGCCGAGCGCTCGTATAGGTGCTGCGGCACCTGCTTCCTAGCAAATTTCTCGTCCAGAGGGAAATTGAAGTTTTTACGCTCGTCATTGATGAGCCGAAGGTCTCCAATTAGGTCCCATGTAGAGTAGAGCTCGTCGGTGCCGATGAAAATGCTTTTATTAAGCTTGGCCTCAAGCGATGTGACCGTGCTTAACTCCGAGTGAGTAAGACCTCCCGCAACAAAAATTAACAGTTTTTCTTTCGTGGAGTCAATCGATTGCTTTGAACTCTTCCATTTCGGCATGTTTCTGACGGGAGCATTGAACTGCTGTCCAACATCGTCGTCATCAATTGGAGCTCCCTTCACGTAAGGGAAATCCTTAGGTGCATCCTCGTCACGATCGCTTGTATAAGTTTCTTTGTAAACCTCTGGAAGTCTTCCGTAGGCAAGGCGCGTTACAATGTTGGTCAAGCTAGGTACATACCTTTCCGTAAGCTCGGGCGTATCCTTGATCTCGAAATAGGACGTTATTCTGAAAGGCTTGTCATTGGGCTTCGATTTCAGCATGTTAAATCCCAAATACTGGAAGTTCTTGAATAGAGTCACAATAGAGTCCGTCTTGTTTTGGTCAGATAATCCGAAGTGACAGAGCTTGCGCAAGTCCGACTCCACAATGCCACCCCTGTAGTAAGTGTACACAATGAGCAGTCTGATTTTGTTTCCTGTGTCAATTTTCTCGTTAGCAAGTAGCTCTAGCAACTCTTCTGTTAGCGGTTCATACATCTCTTTGTTTCCATTCAAATTGGATGCGCATTTGCTCTCGAAAACCATGCAATCTAAAATACACTCCTCACGGAACGTTTTATCTATTTTGTTGATCAGCTCAAAATGGCCTGTAACCAGCTGACGGGAAAAAAGATAGTCGGCTTGATTCAGAGCCGCATGAGACAAATCGGATGCGTATTTCAGATTTGAAAACTTGGCCTCTGTGGCTTTCAGCTCATTCACCTGTTCAATTATACTCTTGGTGTAATCTTCAATAGGCAGATCCTGTAATCCGGAATAAACAGGATCCTCATCGTCAAACACCAAGTGTTTCTTTTCAATGCCCTCTCCCGTCTGAATCTTATAGTCGTATACGTAAGTATACTCTCCCCTTGCCTTTCTGATCTGGGTGTCCATGAGATCGAATATCTGGGATCTATAGAATTTGTAGTGACAAAAGGGAGCAAAAAGGTCCATCAGACGGTCGGTGATAAAGAATACAGTTTTCGAATTTACCGGAGACAGCTCTTGGTGTTTCCTGTAGTACTCATCGAGGGTCTGTTGGAAAAGATAGGCAATTTTGCGTGAAACAGGGGAGTTGTAGTACCGAACTATTGGGTACTCATTTGACAATATGCAGGCACTCATCATGGCCTCGACAGCTTTGTCAACTTGGTATTCATTAAGGTCTGAGCCAAAATGCTGCGGGTTGTACAGGGCAGGGATGGAATAGTGATTATTTGTAACATACACTCGACTTTCCAGAGGATTCAGACTGAGAAAGTCTATCGAGTCAAAATTGTTGCCACAGGCCTTCATTAGATTCGAATTGGCCTTCAACCGAGCATACGTTGTCTTGGTGAGACCAGGCATGAAACATAACACAGCCGACTGGTACCGGCATCCGGCAGAAAAATCGGCAAGCAAACAATCAATGGTGTAAGGTACCAACGGATCCAGTATGTAAATCGCCTGTTCTCGGTTGAGCGACCGTTTTTCATCGTCTATAGAATAGAAGGTGAATACGTAATTGAGAACCTCGTCTTTAAGCAATTTCTCTATGATAGGGTGAGTGGTGTGGTCCGTAATCAGATGTCGAAATTCCGAACGATGTGATTTAAGCTTCGCGATGAGAGCTTTAAGTTAGCGTTCTGTTAGGGCTGTCTACTTACCCGCTTTCTGCAATTGGAAAAGTGACATAATGCAATGAATTAGCTTTCAAAACATTAGCAAATCTCGTTTAAATTCCAAATACTGTATTAAATTAATTATTTGCACTTCGCGCGAATATGAGTGTCTAAAAGAAATGGGTGTAACATCTCGAAAGTTCGTGGACATCCATCTCTGCCTTGACCTCATTGAGCTCATTCTTGATCTCAAGTGCCAGTTGGGGCGTCAGCTGGTTACAGGTGGCCTGATCTGGCTTTCTGTCGTACTCGTGTTCGCCATAAGTGTCGAAGAGCAAGATCTTGGACGAAAACCGGACTCTCGGGATCTCTGGCATAGGAGATGCCATTGGCGAGGAAATCAAGTCTTTGGTATCGATACTTGACTTTGATCCAAAGATGCTCAGGCGGATCGAGCTTTGAGATTTGTTCCCTCTCTTGGACGCGTTACTGTCTCTCTTGCTCAGCTTACTGATCAATGACATTCTTCTCGACTTGCGAATTTTTTCTCGTGAATGGTGGCTCTCTGAATCTCCGCTTGTCATGGACGCCTCTGCCACATAGTCCTCAAAATCTCTTGAAGGCTCCTCATCGTAGGAAAAACTGTAATTTCTTGTGGCCCCGAAAGATTTCACGTTCGGAGTGAAAACAGGACCCTGCAATCCTGACAACGGCCTATCAAGAATTGGGCTTTCTGCCGTTTCCGAACCTGCACTTTCCAACGAAAGTCGATAGTTTCCGTGACGGAAGCTAGTGATAGAGTAGTTTTGCGGATGAACATCGTATCTGTGGCTGGGTTGATCTTCATCCTCCCATTCATCAACCATTTCCCAGTTTCCGTGCTCGGGAGACGAGTCAGGCGTGATTAGGGCCTGCTGTGGCGAGCTCAGAGTCTGTTCTGGCTGGTTATTTTCAGACTGGAAGGAAATACCAGGCTCAAGCACAGGTTCGTTGTCTTCGCTCTCAAGATGGAAATCGGTGTCTATTTGAAGATCGTCATCGCCAAATTGAATCATGTTGTATATATCGCTGAGCTCCTCGTCCTGCAATCCGAGCCCAAAGAGAGGTTCTTGGCTCTTTTTTAAGATGCCAGCCTGTCTTCTGCTAGAAGACGACTTCGCAGAAACAGGAGATCTCGGAGACCTTGCAGACTGAGATGGCCTCTTCACCGTCATACCGTCGGACGTCACAAAAGGTGCATCAACTTGACTGTTGTTAAGCATTTCAACAATGGAGCTGCTTACAGACTGAGAGTGGGCTATAGATGATCTTGCGGACTTGATGGACTTCATTGATCTTGACCGCTCCAGAGTTACAATGCTCTGCACTTCGTCGGCAGCGAGACTCTTGGGAAACAAGGCTTCTCCTGCCAGGAGTCTAGTGTAGTTGTTATCTCGTTTGCCTGGCAACAAGTTTTTGTCTCTGGCAGGAGCCAGAGTTCGTCTTTCGGGACTGAAAAAGTTTCCGTTGATCGGAGAAGGCGTGTCGAGACGGTACATATCCGATTCTGCCTGGATCTCTTCCGACGACACGTCGGCATTCTCGTGATACGTGGATTTGCGGTGATCGGCTGGAGAAATATATTTCGGCGACTCCAGAGTCAAAGGACTCTGGTCCACAAATTCTGACTGTGTTTCCAGTGGAGTCGAAAGCACAACGCCGACCTCGGAGCCAGAAGTCTGGCCGTTGAAGCCGTATGTGTCCAACAAGGACTTTTGTTCGCTAGAGGTCTGCGACTCGGCCTTCTTGACTGCTGCTGGGCGGTTTTCCTTATCGCTTTCCTCTGCCTTGTCAATACCACTATGTGCAGGCATAGGAGCAACAGCACCTTGAGTTTTGTTTCTTCCGAAAAGGCTCTTTCTCTTGGCCTTTTCGGTCTCTGCTCCCAGGCTTTTTCTTTTCCACCCACTCAAAAGACTCTTCCGACGGTCCTTCAATTGATCTGCTTTCTTTTCCTTTCGAGATTCTTCGAACCCAGCGAAACTCTTTGGTCGCAATGGTTTTGCTGCCTTGGTGGGCTCTGGCTCCTGCTCGGGAGTGGCCAGCGGTAGAGTAGAGGAGAGATGCTTTTTGTTCCTAAAAAGTCCCCTGAATGAGAGCCTTTTGTTGTTCTTGGGAAGCGCGGGCAAGTCTTTCTCTTGCGACACACTCTGTGGCGTCTCCTGAGCCGTCTGACGTGTAAACACTTTTTCGGGCTCTGCGACAGGTGTGGAAGCTTCAGGCTCTGCTCCCTTTGGTACGTCAACTTCCACCGCGGATAGGTTCTGTGGCGTGGATATAGGGGTAGGAAATGCCTCCTGAATAGCCACCGGTGTCTGGATTTCTGGGGACTCATCTACCAGCCTCATAGAATATCTTTGCTCGGCACGCGGGCTAGCAATTGGGGCCACGAACGATTCCTGCTCGTCGTAGCCAATTTCGTGAATTACAGAGGTCTCTTGTCTTGGAATGTTGAATGAGCTAGAGTTGGGGATCGCGGCCGAATCATCAAACATTTTGAATGTTTCAGCAGGCTCGTTAAATATCATCGATGGTGAAAAAAGGTTTGGCGTCATAAGGGTCGGTGTGTCATTTGCAGGCTTCTCTTTGATCGTGCTGGATAGCGAGATGAGATCGGAAGCGTCTGGAGCGCTGGTGGAGCTGTGGGCGGTGAAAAAAGATGCATACGATTGGTTGACAGGGTGTCTATAGATCACGGTGTCATCCTCTGCGGTGGTTTCTGGGATACGCTCTGTGGGTTCTGGCTCCTCCTGGATCGACGTGAAGGCCGCGGGGGACTTCGTTTGCATTTTAGCGTTGAGTATATCTCCCAAAGCCTGCAAACTGGGGCTGTTTGTCATACCAATTTTCTTGGTCGGCTCCTCTTTGTAACTCTCCTCGATAGTGGTTGAATCGTTCACACTCAAGGTTATGGTGCTCATGGAGGGCGACACAACTATGGAACGCCGAACATGGGTTGCATGCTTACTGTTGTTCAAAGCCATGTCGTCGAGACTAGGACCCGAGTAGAACCCTAGACTGGCAACATCCGCGCTCATTTTCGGGCCTATGTTCCCAGGGAAGTCTCTAATTGAGGATGACGTACTTGTCTGAAAAGAAGAAGACCTGTCAATGTTCTTGAAATCGTCTTCGTCTTGCACGGTGCTCATCGAGTTTGAGTCTTGAGTATACGGAGGAGAACAATGCTGTATTATCTTGGCTCTTGGAAAACTGGCTCTATCTGTATTGTGATTACCAGACTCAGACATATATCTATCCAGCGTAGAGACCATTGCTATCAACCTCGCGTCTATACCAGGTTGAAAATCTGGGGCTCTAGAATTTTAGACAGGGATGAAAATCACGCTTTCAACGCGAAACGCGTGTGAAAAAAAAAGTTTCCAAATCAATATAAATGAAAGGTACAGCGACGATCGTCGCAATAGGCGTCTAAAGCCCTTTTTTGTATCCCAACTATTCTCCCTCACTAATTACGACCCCATGGATACCTCGTCCGACAGCTCAGACCCTGATGTTGCATACGAAACAGTCACGCCAAATGAAGTTGAACGGCTAGTGGGCTTCCCCAAACATGCTTCTTCTACTGATTCGGAAGATGGAAGCGATCTTTCATTTCAAAATCACTATAGCCTTGAGAATGGCCTTCCTCCCCTTAAGCTTACCTCCAACTCTGATCAGATGAGTAGTCCTATTATTTACCGGGACAAGCAGATAGGAGAGCAACACTTATCTTTACGCTCCAAAAAGTCTCCTTTACAGGATAAAACCAATGTATATGCAAACGAGCAAAATCCGTTTAAAGATGATGGGCACAAATCAAGCATGGGCAAAAGGTTGCTGGTATCAGAATTGGTCAACCACTTTGATAAAGAGGCATTTGCGGATCCCCAAGTCAAGTTCAGAAGCCAGAGAAATCAGGCTCCTCCGCTATCGCGCATGCCGCCTGCGCTGAAATTTGATATAAGCGATGATTCTTCGCCAAGCAGCAATTATAAATCATTTCCTGCATACGGTCCACCTGCTACCTCGTTTCATCCAGAAGCGCTTCAACACCCAGCCCCCAATGAAGATAGTGGAGACATCAGCAGCGATGTCAGTTCGGAAAGATCACGGCAACCATCTCAAGAATATCATCCAAACTACCATCAAAAAGTGAATTTCTGTCATCTCAGTACTCCCACCACCAAATATCCCGTGACATCAACCTTAGAAAAGCATCAGGACAGTGAGCTGCAACCCTCATCCGAATACTACCATTTGCTTGTGGAAAAAGACAAAGTTGATCTGCGCTACCAGAACTTGCTCTCCGAGCACAACAGACTCAAAGAAAGATTCCTGTGTATGCAAGAGGAGAGCGAGAAGCTCAAAGGTCTTGCACATGCACTCAATGAGGAAAGAATTCGTGAACTGAAACGGTATCAAGACGAAAAAGGCTTCCACCAATCGCTAGAAAAGAAGCATGATGATGAATTCAAATTGCTAGCTAAATTCATCAGGAATGCCTTCGAAGATATAATAGGGGTACCGATTGATGACTATGATACACCGACAAACAATAAATCTCACCATACCCAGTGCGTCAAACTTTTGGAGATGCTGCGAGTTGCAATCAGGACAAAAGAACGCATGGAAGTGAAAAGTCACGCTTCTGACATACAGATGCTCAGAAGAAGAATGGAACATATGGAGCTGGATTCCAGTGAGATAAAGCAGCAGCTTCGATATGCTAGTAAATGGCTGGAGGCAACTTATTGTTCTCTCATAGGAATGCTGGGAGGCAGTGTATTTGTACCCGACAAAGAAGTTCTGCTCACCGCGAACAATATCCAGCAGAAAATACAGAACAGCGCAGACAGAGATGCCGAGTGGATACACAACGGAGTCATTGCTGCGTTGATGCGCGAGTTGAATGATAGATAGCTTCACATAATGATACAATCTGCCGAAGATCTTGAGTCTGTTTTCGAATTCCCTGGTTTGTGCAGCTTTCTTTTCGTGACATTCAAATACGATTGTTTAGAGATATTCGGAGATTTCTTAGGCAACGGAAGGGAATTGGATGCCAGTGTGGATCCCGATAATGAATCCAAAGTTGTGCTACTCTGCTTCTTCTTGATTTGAGAAGAGACAGGGGAACTTTGTTCGCTTTTATCCGCCTCATAATTGATAATCGGATCAATTCCTCCTTGAATTATGGAGTTCGCAAGGAAGCAGTACAGTTTAATCCAGGCCTCTTCTGTTTCAAGCGAGAACCCATCCGCCATGTCGCTAGAAAATCTGTCCCTAAAAGTCTTGATTAGCACCTCGCCCATTGTTTGGAAATACTCTGGCTCGATTCCCAAAATTCGTGAGTGTAGCCTTCCAAGACTTTCCAAGGATTCGTTCATTCGGCTGAGATCATCCAATGTTGACATGGCAACATTGATCACACCTGCAAAAGCAGATGCCTGGTGTTTAATTGAGGGAATTAGCTTTTCAATCAAGGGATCACGAGCGATGAAGTTTTCATATAGCTGAATACAAAATAACGATGATGCGAACGAGGACCCTGAATTTGTGGTTCCAATATTTATCGAACGGCTCTGTTTTTGTGGGGTGCCGCGTAGAGAGCCCTTGGCTGAAGGAATATGAGATAGTGTGCTTACCCTTGGAGTGTCGGATCCAGATGGCGAGGAGCTGATGACTTTGCTCCAGGAGGTTTTCAACAGATCAATTTCTCGTGGAGTCAATGTCAAAGAGACCTTTATGCGTGGCTGGTTCTCTACCACGGCGTTAGGAAGCCAATTAGAATCCAGCGTACTGTAATGGGAAGTTATCGAGCTGGTGGAAGCTGATGTTGCTGTTCTCGAGAGCGATAAATCAGACGTCCGAGAGGACGACAGAGATGTTTCGGGCACCAAAGAATGAACTTTCGATGGGGTTCTTGATATGGAGCTCCTCGACATAGTGAGCTTGACTGAAGATGTACTTTGGGGGAAAAAAAAAGTCAGTGCTCTTTTTTAATTATCAAAATCGGGAAAGATGCATGGGATTTGTCAAAAAAGTATAAATGTAATCATTATGTCCAAGGATTTTACACAAGAGTTACAGAATCAGGTTTAGTGATGCACATGATCTAGTATTCAAACACTTGCAAAAAATAGACATGTATCGTCAAAACGTGAATTGTCTGAAATACTCGTGTAGCTGAGGTTCATTAACTGCAAGATCCTATCGTGGGAGATCACATATTAGCCCACGCTCCGCCACAGAAGCAAATTCGCTGATAATGCTGGTACACCGGGTTGACAATAAACGTAGGCGAGCTGAAGTACACGTCGGTGTCATTCACCGAAGAAACAGCACCACATCGAATACATTTGCGTATCATAAATGTATGTGTAGTTGAGGCATTCGAGCCATTGACTCCATGTCTACTTCCGGAGCCATTCGCCTGCTGTGCTGAGGGGTTCGCAATAAACTCAGAGGGTTTGAGTAGTTGTCTGCGCAGCATGTCGAGGATGAGGCCATCATAGGTATTCATTTGAATGAGTTTTCTGTTGTAGGTGTTTGAGAATTTGTGGTCCGTCTGCTCAATCAGTGCAGGGCGCTTTTCTCTTGCTTTTGAATCTGTCGTATCTGCCTCTCTAGTTCCAAGATTGAGCCAGCTCACGTCGTAGAAGTATAACTCCACGAGGTCGACACTGCCGTTGGTTAGCACAACGCGATCATACACTTCGCACAACTTTCTGAGGGGCTCAACAAACGTTTTTGAAACATGTCCTTGGCATATGAGCTGCTGTTCGACTGCCAGCGCCGTCACCTGATCCAGTCTCATATTTCTGAGCGGCCCGTCTGCTTCCAAAAGGAATCTTTCGAAAGCATGTAATGTGATCGGCGAGTTGTTGATTAGCGAGCCCAATCGAGCATAGGCCTCAATCGTTGGGTGTGCTACAATAGCTTTCCCCAACTGGCTCTGGTTAACTGATGGGGCAGTCAGCGTCCACTGCGAATCAGCAAAGAGCTGGCTTTCAAGAGACTTGAAAGTACCCATCGGATTATCTGGCGTCACCAAAGCTGCCAGCGAAGGATCGTTCTTCTCAATGAATTTTTGCACAAAAGAAAACAGTCTTCTTATGTTGGAGATTGCAAAAATCAAAAACGATCGTGGTACTTTCCCTAACACAAGAGGAATTGCAACCGACTTGCTCAGAAACTGCTCAACGTCCTTCGGATTGTTGCTCTTGAAGACGCCGTGCAGCTCAACCAGCTCTTGATTCAGCCATACGATATAGTCGACACACCATCTGATAACCCCAAGCACGGCAATGATACTCTCTTCACGGGCACGGGCGTTTGCAAGAGTGTCAGAAACATGAAGTCCTTTTTTCGCAAATCTCTGCATGTTTGAATAAATCGTGTGAATGGTGTACATGATAGAAGATGTGACAAACTTCAAGTTTACGAGTGCCCAGGCTATCATTCCGCTCTTGTTCCGCAGCCAGTTCAGTTCGGTGCCGAGCGACAGTTGCAGTGTGAGTATTCGTTGAAGAGGCTGGTTCTGGAGCATTTTATCCGTCTGCTCGCTGGACACATCGACATTCAGGTTAATCGCTCTCTGGCTTTCTTGTACAATTGACATCAAAAGTCTATAGGCATACTCGTCTCCACGAGTGTTCTTGGCATTTTCAAGCTCGCAGCGAATTGTTGCAACCAGATCATCTGTTGAGTACCCATAGTAGCAAGCATTTGTATGACGGAAAGCAATGGCCGCTGCTGTGGCCAGAAGAAGCCCTTTTCGATTGGGAGGCGCGTCTGATTGCGACGCGTTCGTACACGCAGAATGAATATGGAGTGTCGTTTCGTTCCATGGTAGAGCCACACAGCAGCAAACATTGGGCGAGATACAGGTATATTGTGGTTGGAACTGTATTCTGGGAAACTCGAATCCTGCATCAGTGAGGCATGACACAGTGTCTGGGAGAAGAGGGCCAGTTGGCCCGAAATCATCTCTCGCTTCATCCGAATTGTAAATATTTTGGGCAATCTTGAATGTTTGTCTATCAATTAGTTTGATGTCACCGTTTGCTAATGTGACTGCAATGGTTAGCTCTAGGTTTAACAACTCGAGACACACAATTGCCTCGTCAAAGGTCAATTTCTTCTTGAATATGCATTGATAAGTTTTGCGGGACTCAAAAACGCTGTTCTGATCAGATGCTATCTGTCCAAACATAGGATGAATAACAGAAGCCATGTCGAGGTTGCGCAATTGATATCTGTAAATGGTGGATATGGGAGACTTACTCCCGAGAGCTCTATCGTTGTCAAAAAGCAATAGCAGCTCTAATTCCGTCGATTGGCTGAAATCTGGTGAAACTAATTGTATACCAGTACAAAAAGATGCATTCTCATCGACAGAGCATAGACCCATACTCGCCACCGTGCGGATATCTAGTTTCGGAGGTGTTCTATTTTCATCGGGCACTCTGTATGTTGGTGTTTTGGTCAGTTGTTTGGCCGCTTCAATCAGGAATCCCCAATTAATGACTACCTCAAATAGTTTCAAACTCTTTCCGACTTGAACAGCCACAATGACTTCCCCATCTCTGGCAAAGCCAATCGCAGCATGTTGAAGTAGAGCATCTCCAATAGGGAGCTGTCCCACAGCTCTCTTATACTCTATTCCGTGGTCCTCTTGGTACCAGAGACAAATCTCTCCAGTTTTTCGCACGCCAATACAGGCCTGCTTCGTTGCTAAAGGGTGCATTGTCCCGTATGGCTTGTATTGGTGAGCTGTGTAAGTGTAGTAGTAGCCCTGAGCATCTTGCGCTGCAGCTCCCAATTTTGACGCGCAGCCATTCGTCACGGGGGCCTCCTGCGTCGCCTGTGTTTTAACTGCCGGAGAATTGACAATCACAGGCTTGTCTATGTTGAGCCATTTGACTGACAAAATCTGATTTCCCTCCCTTTTAGAGGCAGTCGAAAGATCTGGAAATGGAGCAAACGAGCTGTCTGAGTACAGGAGCTCAAACGAATTAAAAGAGGTGCGGGAATATTGCGCAGCCTGTACTCCTTGGTTTTGTGATGGCGGAGACTGATTGATCGAGGGAGTAGCCATAGGATAGGCCGAGGCATGCCCAGGGGCGTTGGAAGGCACTCTCTTGATTCCAGTTACACAAATTGACACGTGACCGACCGAGTCGCTGAGAAACAGGTCCCAGCCAGTATTACTGAACTGAACAGTCGTCAGCTTAGATAAATTATCAGCTCCCGGAATTTGTTCATCCTCATGGTCATAGTGATACTTTTTGGTTCCCACCACTCTACCAAACGATCCTATTTGGAATCCCGTGGGTGGCGCTAATTGCCAGGTCTGGCCATCAACGCACTCCAGATATGTCATTAACAAATTATGTTTTCCGACGTGAGGAGCCGCATAGGCAAGGTGTCCTTGTCTTGACCAGGATATTTGATTGTTTAGCACATTGTTCTGTGCCCTGCGTACGAGAACGTCACTTATTTTCGGGCCCTCCATCTCAATCGATCGCTCTTGTTGGGGCCATACAGTAGAATATTCCAAGGAGTTTTTTCGCGGCACGGTTTTCGCTTAGGTCAGCTTTACATACGAACTAAAAACAACTTTCGTTTCAGCTACACTCCGCCTATGCAATGAGCCTAGACCTGGCGACCGTTTCTGGTTGGCTTTACGCAATATGTTGGAGCGTCTCGTTTTATCCCACAATTTTGTTGAATTTGAGAATTCGAAGCGCCGATTCCATCTCTTTCGACTTTGCTATTCTTAACCTGCTTGGCTACTCGTGTTACACAGCGTCTATCTATCTTCAACTATTCAACAATACGGTAAGGAAGCAGTTTTCAAATGTATTTGGTGGCAACATGCCGCTACTCTCCATCATTGATCTCGCTTACTCTATGCATGGCTGGATTTTAACCGTTGTACTATTATCACAGATCATTTTGGGAAACCGGTGGTGGGGTTTTAAAAACACGAGAACCCTGTTCAAGTTCAGTAAGCTTGTCAAAGGCTACTATGCTGCATTCGTTCTTCTTTTGCTGTATAATATCTATTACAGGAATGAGAAAAACCAGCTCCTGAACTTCACGTTGAACCTTTCCTACTGCAAAATCCTTGTTAGCTGTACGAAGTACATCCCACAAGTTATACACAATGCAAAGCGAAAGTCCATGTTTGGTATATCGAAGATGCAGATTCTACTGGACCTTTCTGGTTGTTTCTTCTCTATCGTTGAGCTTTTGCTGAGAAATAAAACAACCTTATGGAAGCTCTTAGAGGCGAATAGAAGCAAGCTGGGACTTATATTGGTCACAATGGTATTTGATTTGATCTTCCTGGCCCAATTTCAAATGTATAGGTCGCCTCGCAGAGAGAAGCCCAGTATGATCGAGAAGACTCCAGTTTAGTCATATCGACGCGTCGATGCCAAATTCAGATAGCAAAAAGTGGAGTTTAAAAATAATTTCCTTTTAACTATGTTCGCCTCCCGTTATACCTCCCGTCGCCTTGGATTGATCGGCCAGCTCCGAAGCCTGTTTATACAAACACAGTCGACCCCCAACGAGAATGCGCTTAAATTTGTGCCCTCAGAGTTCAAGTTTTTGCCATCTCCTAATACTCCTACATTGGAGATCACAGGTATAAAAGACGCACTGAACAAATCTGAACTAGCATTCAAGCTTTTAAGCGTAAATGACAAATCCATCAAGTCGATTTTGTTTGGCTACAATTTCATAACAGTTATCAAGGGAGAGAAGCACAGTTGGTCGTTGCTGAAACCAGAGATCTTTTCGATTTTAACTGAACATTTAACTTCAGGACAAGCAGTGATAAATCAGAAATACATTGACCTACTGGGACAGCAGTCGGCAGAAAACGAGGATCTTGATGGATACGAAGATGAAGACGAAGTTGTTGCCTTGATCAACGAACTTCTGATTACAAGAATTCAGCCTGCTATACAGGAAGACGGAGGTGACATCAAATTTGTCAGCTTTGATGCGGACACGGGAACGGTATTCTTGAAGCTAATCGGGGCTTGTAAGAGTTGTTCTTCGAGCGAGATCACATTGAAAAATGGCATTGAAGAGATGCTCAAATTTTACATCGACGAGGTTAAAAGTGTGCAGCAAGTTGCGGACGACGAAGAGCCGATCATGGAAAATTACCAGCGCGTTAAAGAAGAGTATCCTCCAAGTTTATGAGTGTCATGAGTGTTTATTAAAGAGATATAAGATTATACAAGTTTTATAAGTTCCGATTTTGGTATGTGTGTATGTGTTCATTTCTATTGGTCTAAGCTTGGTCTTGTGGGCCTTCTGCTCCCTCTTCTTCCCTTTCGCCTTCTTTGACGAAAGGCGAAGCAGGAGGCATTGGGTATGGATAGTAGTAGTATGGATTGTAAGAGATGTATGGCACCGACATTGTTCGAGAACCAGGCTGTGGTACTCCCGGACTGTCAACAAGAGGATAAGAAACCTGAGATGGGGAAGGTGCTGTCATTGGAACGAACGCTCCACTGTGCATGCTTGCTGGAAGGCTGAAGCTTCGCTTGGTGAAATTCTGATTCAGATAGTTGTAAAAGTTGCCAAGGTGATTTTGATTATAATGATGCAACCTTCCCTTCTCAAATTTGTTCTCTTTTCTTTGAGCAAAGGAGACTTCCAGAACATGGGAATCATCCACACGATATCCGTTCATCGACACCAATGCTTTTGATGCATCTAGAGGTTTATTAAAACAGACAAACCCAAATCCTCTAGAGCGTCCCTCACGGGACTTGTTTTCTGTGTTTTCTTCCCCTTCATCAATCACTGCCGAATCATCTGGTGGGTATGTCATAATTTTGGCTGACATGATTTGGCCAAAAGGTGCAAATAATTCGTAAAGGTCTTGATCTTTGAATTCCAACGGCAGGTGTATTATGTACAAGTTTGAATCCTGGTATTGTGGACCTGCTATTGGAAGGCCAGTTGCAGTCGAAATGAGGTTTGAATCTGGCGAAACAATGAAAGAGGGGTAAAGATTGTTGGAATGCTCTGGCTGAGGAGGCATATACTGTGGCTGGAACGGAAGATAGTTTGGTTTATAACTATTCATCTGGTTGTGCATCCGATCCTTCCTTCGCTCAGCCTTTCCGAGTTGTAGTCTATATCCCGGAGCGATCTCGAATCCATCTAAGTGTTGTTGTGCTTTGACTGCATCTTCGTGGCTTTTAAAGTTAATGAATGCGTAGCCTCTATTATGATTTCCGGTTCCTTGAGGGAGAAAAACAGACTCGACGTCTCCATAGCGCCCGAAAACCTGTGCCAACTTTTCTTTCGTTAAGTCGTCTGGAAAGTTCTTCACATAAAGATTAGTGTATTTGAGTTTCCTCATCTCTAGCTCTTTCAGTCTATCCCTTTTGGAGATGTGATGGTTGACAAATAGATGATTGCCATCCACGTTAACGCCGTTGAGATTATCGATGGCTTTCTGAGCCTCAATCCGATCCGTAAAATTGATAAAACCGTAGCCTTTGGATACTCCAAAATCATCGTATATGATCTTACACGATACAAGTGATCCGTATCTGCTGAATATCCTGACTAAATCGTCGGTCGTCGTTGTAGGGAGTAAACCTCTAACATAAAGATTTCCAGGTAATTGTTTTTTGAGCTCGTGCTCTGTGGCAACATGCTCGCACTCTATATCACGCTGTTCAAGGAACTCCTTGAACTTCTCGAAATGCTCCTTTTCCTCGAATTTAGCGAAGACAGTCTTCGGAGATTCCGAGTTGCCCTTCAACACTTCGCAGTTGACTTCGGGATAGTTGTAGGTATTCTTAAAGACTGCCAAGAGATTCTCTAACACAGCTGAGTCTTCGTACATTTTGATGACATTTAGAGGATTGACTGATTCCGTCAGTTCCGACGACGTCATTATTGAGATACTCTCTCTTTTGCGATGCTCAGTTCAGTTGCAAATAAATTAAACTTTTAAGATGATTAAGAGTTAAATCGGGGAAAAGTTTTTGATTTAGAGTCCGGCCTAAGTTATGTTGATGGTATAGATCGGTTTGATGGGGATGCAGAGACAATAAAGGGAAAATTAAATACGGTCTGGAGACTGAACAAGAGATAAAATTATCTAGAATAAGAAGGATGTTACTAGACAAAATATGTCGTGCAAGGATTTTTATGTATGCGCACTACCTACTTCTTAACTGCCCTTTTTTTTTCTATTGTGCTGTCCAGGAGCAATATAATAACATTATCTACAATAGCCACATACTCAGGTGGCCATGAAAAAAACCTGATGTTGTCCACAGGACTTGGAAACATCTAAGTGAAACGTAGCCAACACAGAATTATTGACATCAGCTGATATTCAAATTTTGGTGAAAAATGATCATTTTACCCGGATCTTGAGTTATTGCTCCGAATATTTGCGTTTCGAGTCATCCTAGCCTCGTGCCGATAAAAAAAAAAACCTTGAAAAAAAAAAAAAAAAAAAAAAAAAAAAAAAATAACATGTCTAGTATTCGCCACCAACAACAGGTTTTCACTTAGTATACAGATATTAAGCAACAATAAGAAAGTAATCATAACACAAGCTCCTAAAAATACAAAGGGAGTTCACAAAAAGGTTCAATTCTTGGAGTTTTTCGATGTTTTAGTCGAAGAAGCTTTCTTGGAAGCAGATTTTTTGGTGGTTGTACCCTTTTTAGCAGCGCTCTGGGGCTTAGCAACTTTTGACGCTGTTGTGACCTTCATGTTCGTCTTTGTAGATTTTGCAGGAAGGCTTTTCTTAGCAGAAGGCTTAGGCTTAGCTGAAGCTCTAACCTTACCAGACTCGGTAGAGTTAGCTTTTTTAGATGCCTTCGGGGTGCTGACACTCTTGGCTAATTTTGAGGACTTGCTTGCCTTTGAAGTAGCTTTGGCAGAGGATCCTGCAGTTTTCAGTGGGACTGATTTTTTTCCAGCAGTCTTCTTTGGCGAAACTTTACTCGGAGCTGCCTTCTTAATGGACGTTCTAGTGGCTGGCTTTGTGACCTTAGTGACAGCCTTCGTCGTAGACTTGGAAGATGTTTTGGTAGCCTGTTTCTTGTCAGCAGCCTTTGTGACCAGCTTTTTAGCAGCTACCCTGATCAGCTTGATAGGGCCTGCGGGGCCTTTTGGCTGCCTAAAGTAGCCGGAAATGACTCCTTTCTTGATGGCCAGATTGAAGGCAGTATCAAAACTCGTTGATTCGCCCGCAGGATAGTTCTCTTGAATAAATTTCTTGATTGCCTGACGACTGAATTATTAGACAGTTGTTTGCTCTTTCAACTTACCTGGACCCATTTCTGCCTTTCAGAGAAGTAATGGCATTGATAATTAAATCTGAGTGTTAGATGTTGAAGCATACAATACTCACCCTTATATGACAGCTTGGATGCCGACGATTTGGATGTTTTGGCAATCATTTAGATAAAGCAAGAAAGAAATGTTAAAACAGTCAAGCTTCCTTTTGTTTATTTTTTTTTAACCTCTGCGCCTAGGTGGGAAGAGGGTGAATTTTGAACGCGTCGCCCTCATCTTATCGTTTGACAGGTCGTGTGCGTCGATCGACGCATTCTTTTTTTTTCTTTGTTTATACAAGTCTATTGGGAAGATGGATGTTGACGCAACATCTGCCCAGCAGTTACCATTTGCTGTGGCATCAAGCAAAAATTTTCTCTGGTGCCCCACCATGGACCTGGTGTCCTTTCAACTGAGCAAAAATACGCTTTGGGTTTATAGATTAGGAAACCAGCGGGTCTGGACAATCGAATTGGATGATGATCAAGAGATCGAGTGTCTCTGCTGGAGGCCTGATGGCAACGTATTTGCTATAATTACCACAAAAGGGCAGGCAAATCTGTTTGACTCGAGTAGCGGTAAGCTGATGCTCAAATTTCAAATCGGGAGTTCAATAGAAACCTGCAGCTGGTTCAATAGACTCAGCACATTCGATACATCTAACAAATATGAGCAGATGTTCAACATCAGCCTTACCAACTCGCTTCCAAAACTCACATCGTCACATAGCTCAAAGAAACTGGTTAACGATGACCAATTAATAAAGTGTGAAGACTCCTCTCTTGATTTCCTCATCATCGGATCTGAGCATGGCATGATCTCTCTGGTTCTTTATGGCATTTTCATCATTGAGAATTTTCAGATTTCCCAGCTGCAGGGCACGTACTCAACATTCCTGGGCATTTGCTCGTCCAAAAACCTTGTTTCGCATTACATTCTAACAGAAAAGGAAGATGGCCTGTTTGTTATCAAGCTGACAACTTCATTCGTGGAAATATACGGTACTTTACTTCCTCGTGTGTGTCTTGCTTGCTCCAAGCTTGTGGGTCTACTCACATATGTCAAGGAACTGATTGATGATTTGGCTTCCGAGTGCAAGCCTTTTGAAGATTACACAGTGCGCATAGTCGGTCTCTTGAAAAGCGAAATCGAAGCTCTACCGGAACTGAAAAATACCACTGTCGACCCTATTTATGACCTTTACGATCTTTTGTTGACCGGAGTCATGACAGAGCCGACTAGGGCCTGGATTAGTGATTATTTGGGAGACCGAGGACTCAAAAGGTGGACAAAGCTAGGCAAACAGTACTTCGAAAGCTCTAGAAAGAACATTTTCTACAGTTTGATTCCTGCATTGGAACACATGCTTGTATATCTCACAGATTTACATGGGCTTTCCAATTGGAGAGAAAATGAGGGGAAATTAGGCCTTCAAAGTCATCTTCTGGATTCCGCTATTGAGCTAACTTCAAAACTACTCCGCCTGCTTTACCAAAGCATGTTGAGACTGAACGAGCAACAACAATGTTTCGAAAGTTTTATTCAATGGCTCAACGCAATTCTGGTTGAAATTACAGCGGACGAGAAGAGCAGTGACATCATCAAGACCAGAGAAGTCATTAAATTCCTTACAACAGGCTTACAAAAATCAACTAATGACGAATCGTCGCAATTGTTCTTTGAGCTCAAGCACACCTGTGAGCAATTCTTTGATGCGATCAAGAGCAATATGAAGACTAAAATGGATTCCGTGATGGTTAGAAGAATTGGAGACGTTGGTTGCGTCAACGCAAAACTCTCAGTACACAGCGAGGGCGAGAAGGAATTTGGGCTTGTGATCATGCAACAAGAAAGAAAAGCTGCCGTCGTGAAGTTTGACTGCTCCACGTTAGATCACTCGATTTATCCATTCTCGGATCTGCTTTTTAATGGGTCCGTGGAGATTCAGGGATATTTTCTAAATCCGAGTGAGTTAGTCATTTTAGTGGTGTTCAAGGATGATATGATCAAAAGTGACCTTTTAGTCTTGAACACCGGCGACATCATGATTGGAGCTTCATCTGAACTGTCTCGCAAAGATATCATGGAACACACGGAGTTCAGGGGGGAATTTATCCCGAAATATATTGCTATCAACCCATTGCGAAGAATCGGATGCTTGCTTGATTCAAACAAGAAAAGCTACATGATTGTAGAAATCTAGTGCACATATTTATTTTACATTTACATAGTAATTAAGGAGCTCTTTTGGTGGTGGAATTGATACATTTCTAATCTCAGACAATCTAAACTTTACGTTCTCACTCAACGAAAACGAGTCTCGGGTGAACCGTTTGTATGCGAAGCTCATTGGATGATTTTCAAACGTTTCAGACTTGACAAATTTGTTCAAGTGTTCCATATCTTCCATCTTCATCGGAGGATACTCATTGATGAAGCGTTTTATTTGAAGCAACCTTGCAAGGATCTTATTTCTTCTCACTGACGGTGAGAGTGGTAAGCCTGCCGAATTTGGGGATAGTTTAAGATTTAGTTGCGGCAACGACCAATCATGGTCTATATGGTCCTTATACTGCGTCCGCAACTGATTAAACAGGGAGGATAAAGGGCTTTTAAACCCATGGCTTGAGCTTTGTACTGCGGGTTTAACTCCGTTCAAAATGTCAGTGATGCTATGATTTGAGGGAAGAGACTTTGTTTCTGATTGTCGCAGGTTAGCCATGTATTTGTCTATCAAGCCTGGAATGCTTTTGAAGTCGTGTATATCATGTGTTATCTTTAGTATGCCTGCATACTCGTTGATGAATTGGTCTTTTTGAGCCCTAGAGTAAACTTTGGCCTTCGCAAAATCGGACAACCATTTTGGTGCTCGTGCATCAAAAGAGATCAGATCGTAATAGGCCATCCGCAGTAGTTTGACGCCCGATTTGTAGTGACCGTTTAGGGAGTTATCTAAAGTGAGGTCAAAGCGCTTTCCCTTTTGAAGTTTACGATGAAGCGGCGTCGCAGTGTCCTTGAATTGGGACCGAAGCCAAAGCTTCAACCGATTATTGGCAACTGCATCAAGCTGGAGCTTTGAAAGTTTGCGGTTCAGCGATCGGTAAAACTCCAGTATGGCCTGCTTCTTATTTGGTGGCATTCAAAAAAAATGGCGGAATAAATATGCCTTGTCGCGACTAATTTATTTTATTTACAATCGCTATGTCCTCCCTTTCCCAATCGAAAGTGAACCAAAATAAGGAGAACGCGCTACATTCTAAAAGTAACGATTTGCGTTCCGATAAGAGTATCTCACGGAAGTCATCGAAGAGCGTGTTGCGAACCAAATCCTCAAATGCTATCGTGAAACCACAGGAGTATGGAAATTACAATAAGGTTAGGAAGACCTCGACGCTAAACGACTTGCATTTGTTTGATAATGATCCGAATGCTGTCGCTGTTCGAAAGTTCAAAGTTCAACGCGATTCACCCCAATTTAAAACTAAGCATAAGCTATCGGCAAAAGAGGAATTTGATGATGATGATGATGCCATTGAGATTGTCCCAGCAGCGGAAGACGAGCTTCCCTACGTTCCGAACACGTTAACGCCGATTCCGGATGACCTTCTTGATGATATACTGAACAACAAACGCAAGTCAACAAAAAGCATCGATGACCCGCTTGAACTAGATCTGTCATATTTGAAAGACATGGAAGAACAAGATTCTCTAGAAGGTGCCTTCAAATCGAACGAATTGGTGTTGGAATTCCCAGAAGAAGGGGAAGAGACAGAATCCAAGAAGCTTGACAAAATACGAGAGGAAACAGAGTTGCATCACCCCTACAAACCAAAGAGACTTTAATAGCGCTGAGACTCTTTACTTCGTCATATACAGGAAAACTATGTTCAAGAAAACCAGCTAAACCACCCTTTCTTCTGTTCTGGCTCTTCCACCCCAATATGAGTGACATCAGTGTCACTGAAATAGGAGTTGAATGATTTTGGCAGTTCGTGCTTTGATTGTATTTTGAATGCCACGTTGGTTACAATTTCTCCGTCCTCGATCTCACCAGCCGCCGTCTGAGGTTGTCCACCATAACTTATATCCAAAATTGATTTGAGCTTGCTGATGTCGTTCTTCTCCAAAAACCAGTTGTCCTTGGGGAATTGAATCTCGACTCCAATATAAAGATCTCCATTTTTGTTCGAATTGTCATCTAGCGGCATTCCCTCATTTGGAACTACAATCGAGTCCCCTGGCCGCAGAACTTTCCCAGCAGGCACAGAAATTGATATCCATCTATTATCCAGTGTTTTCACTAACTTCCGATTTTCAAACCCGCACAAAGCGTCGACCAACGAAATCGACACTTTCGTGTACAGGTTTTGGTTTTGTCGCTTGAATATTGGATGCTTTTTCGTTTTATATTGCAATATCACATCCCCAGGCTTCAGTCCTGGCTCTTCGTCGGCTTCACCTTCTAAGATAACTGACCCCACCTCGGGAGCTCCCCTTGGGATATTGAATTCCAGAATTTTGGACTCCTCCACCACTCCTTTGCCTTTGCATTTTTTACAATTATCTTTGTCTTTGTGGATAGTTCTTTTTCCCTTGCATCTCCAACATGGAACAGCCTGCTGGGTTACCAGTCCTGGCGCCAACTGTCGGATCTTCATGACATATCCATCACCATGACAAGTGGTGCATTTTATTGGAATTGCCGACTTACGTGCTCCGCTGCCCTTGCAGTGCTTGCACAACTTATTCCGCGTAGAGGAGGTTTTTATCACCTTACCGTTGTAGATTTCTTCCAAGGTTACTTCGACATTCAAAACTGCATCCTCCGTTTTCGTTTTAGGTGGTGGTCCTCTCCCATAAGAGCCTCCCATCCCATTGAAGAAATTGGCAAAGTCCTGAGGATCAAAATCGAAGTCACCTTCTCCAAATGCAGCGTTTGCAAATCCTGAATCATGGTAGCCAAACCCGTTAGGAACACCATCTGTGGTTCCGTATGTGTCGTATGCGTTTCTTTTCTCTTCGTCTATAAGGACTTCGTAGGCACTGCTGATCTCTTTGAATTTGATCTCTGCCTGTTCTCTCTCTTCCTCTGGGACTTTGTCAGGATGGTGTTGCAAAGCCAATTTTCTATAAGCTTTACGAATCTCGACCGAGGAGGCAGAAGAGTCCACTCCCAGAATATCATAAAGAGACATTATGGTTCCACACAATTGTACTTTTTTTTATCATAAAAAAACTTTACTCCGTTTATGTAAATTTTAAAAAAGTCAAATCGCTGAAACACAAAGACGCACATTTAACGGAGGAAACCCTTTCTGGTTTTGGTTGGCGCAGTACTAGGCAATGGAGCAGGGTCATGGTGGATTGGCTTAGCCATCTCCAGCTCCCTCTTCTTCTCCTCTAGTAGTTTGATTTGTTTCAACAGCTTGTCTCTCATTTCCTTGTGCTTGGCAAAGAGATCGGCTTCAGTCTCCTGTAACTTCTTCTCCTCTTTGCTGACCTTAGACTGGAATATCGATCTAAGCTGTGCCTCCATATTAGCCAACTTGGCCTCGTGCAGCTGTTTCTCCTCCTCCTGCTTCAGGACGGGATCAAATTCACGGAAAACAGAGTCGTCTTGCTCGATTCCCAGCTTTTTCAACTTAGACGTTCTATAATTCTCGTAGAGAACGTTGGCAGTAGTCTCCTTTAGCTCCTCCATGAAATTTCTGATCAACAGTTGTCTTAATTTAATAAAGTCACAGTGGTCCTCATTGTCGATCTCAATGATGCCCCACGGATAAGATCTGCCTCTGACTATTCTTCCGTCTGGAGTTTGAATTTGGTTAGTGGACCCAACAATTGCGAATGGGGCCTTGGCCATGATTTCCCGGGAAGCGACCTTGGTTTCCTCGTCATCGTTGTCGTATTCTGGAGGAGTGAAAAGCTTGATGCCTTGGTTCATTATATCGTCCATGATTCTCTGCTTGAATTCCTGGATCTCCTTCTCGGTAAGCGTATCCGACTTGGCAATCACGGGAATCAGATTCACTTTCTCGTGGACCTGCTTCATGAATGTGATATCCAACGGCTTCAAAGAGTGACCAGTTGGTTCAATAAAGTACAGGCAGGCATGAACTCTGTTGTCTACAACAGTGGCTCTGTTGATCTTGGTCTCGGCCTCCAGATACATGTCGAATCTATTGTTGATCTCGTCGACAATAGGTTTCCAAGAGTCAGTGTTGTTGATGCCTTCTCCAAAGCCTGGACAATCAATAACGGTCAAGCTTAGCTTGACATTGTTCTCCTCAATATCGGCACTGACGGTCTCCACGGTAACAGGCGTTGGGTCCTCTGGATTTGGAAATTCTGGTTTGTTGAATGTCTCGACAGGGTACAGCTCCTTATTGAACAGAGTGTTGATCAGTGTAGATTTACCAAGTCCCCTTCCACCAACAACCATAAGGTTCAGGCTAAAACCCCTTCTGATCGATTTTCTGTGCCATTGCTTTGGCAAGTTGGCGAAGCCAACATATCCATTCAACTTGCGCCGAATGATTTTGACCTCTGACTTGGGGACGTCTGGTTCGCTGGGGCCTGGCACTACAAGTTCCGGCTCCTGTGTAGAGGAAACGTTCTCTTCGGGTTCTAAGCCTGTTAGATTTCATCTTCGATGTGACCAGCTGGCGCGTACCGCCCATAGTAAGCGACACCTCATGAGTGCCGTTTTAAATGTGATGGCCCGCCTAAACCAGTCCAATGATGATACTCACTTTCAACAGTCATGATAGCGCTTGTCTTCTAGGTCTTGTCCGTCTTCGAATTATTCAAAGATAAACCTGAAAGAAGCTTTTTATTAAAATTAGAGATATTTGTATTTATTTTTCGAGATTCAACGCTATAATCGATATTGGAACGCGTAATTCGAAATAGCTAAAGAATTTCTTTGAAAGCGAAATTAATTTGAAACATGACCGAAGAGTCGAGTTATTCACAGGAGCTAGTAAAACTGCTTGAAAAGGGTGCTCAGGCATTTGCTGAAAAGCAGTATGAGAAGTCTGTCGAGTACTATTCTGAGGCGTGCGAGAAATCCAATCTGTTGACAGGCAATGATGACCCTGATTTGCTCTTTTTGTACGCAAAATCTTTGTTCGAGAATGCTGTGTCCAAGTCTGAGGTACTAGGTGGCCAGAATAACCAGGACGAAAAAGCTGAAGAGACTGAGGACGATAATGGAATGTTTCATTTTAACGAGCAGCTTGCTGAAAATGAAGAAGACGAAGAATCTGAGCAAGAACCAGAACAAGGACAAAAAGAACAGTCTCATGAGCAAGAAAAGGAGCAGGGAGAGGAGAGCGAAGAGCAGACTGATTTTGAGGTATCGTGGGAAATTCTGGATTTAACGAGGACTTTGTACGAAGAGAAGCTCAGTTCCCTACAGGATGAACATTTGAAAACACCATACCTGGATTCAGATAAGAAGGACATAAAGGAAATCAGCTCGCCATTTGTCGCAATTAAGAAGAAACTGAGCGAGGTGTACGATTTGCTGGGAGAGATCTCGTTGGAAACGGAAAACTTCAGCCAGGCAGCTCAAGATTTTACCACCTTGGCCAATTTAAGAACAGAATTATATCCATTCTCTTCCAGGCTTGTTTCTGAAGCCTATTATAAGCTTTCGCTGGCGTCCGAGTTCAACACAGGAGAAGCAGGATCCAGTACAACGGCCGTAGAGGCTATGGAAAAATCTTTGAAATCCATTAAAGAAAGATATGAACTTCCGGACGAAGAAAGAGACGAGAGTCTGCTTCAAGAAATGGAACAAAGATTGGATGATTTGAGGAAAGGTGATGCAGCGATTCAGGAAGAGAAAAAGAGGATTATGATGGGCATACTGGGCGAAAGCGATGGTACAGAAATCAAGGCTACTCCTAAAACGGTTCCTGTGAACGATTTGACGGGGATGGTTAAGAAACGAAAACAGCCTGGAGGAAAAGTTGTCACTAAAAAGACTAAAATCAGTAAATAGGCGATTCATCATATACAACAATTTACATGTTGCGATTTCAAAAATTTCCAATAATTAAAAATATTGTTCTTTCTGTTGATGGCAACTAGTTAGTCGACTGGGAATCATTGCAGATCTCATTTTGACTAGGCTTTGAGATAAGAACAGAAAGAACTTGGGGACATTTTGGTTAGCAAAAGCCTGGCTAGCTCAATCGGTAGAGCGTGTGACTCTTAATCACAAGGCTGCGGGTTCGAGCCCCGCGTCGGGCTTATTTTTTTATACTCCTAAGATACGATTTGTTTTGAAGACTTGCTTCTCAGGAGAACCGCCGTATGTAACAACACGAGTTCCTCTGGGAACGCCAATTGCTGCCCAAAAATCGGTCTCCTACTCTATGTTTTTTGATTTCCTATCCAGCCTCATAATGAACTTCGGCAAGTAGGCCAAAATATTTAAATTTCTACTCGGTCGCATATAATTTATTAACTCGGACAATGAATTCAACATCAAGGTTAGCACTTGCCTATGTAACAGGTGGTTTAACTTTATGGCCATTGATTCTGTTTGTGAATAGCGTGGTGTCTGACCTAAAACTTCTCAGCTTTGATGATTCCTTGCACAAATTATGTCAGCTAGCAATCACTTACATAGTGGGAGGATTGACTTTCTTGCCCATCACACTTATTATTGGATGGCACTTTCTACCACGGGCTCCGGAGGGCCCTGGACAAGAGAGAGAGCTTGAGCAAGCAAGGCTTAGGGAAGAAAGCAGAGCTAAGGGGGAACCTGAAGGCTATAGAAGTTTAATGGCTGGACAGGTTCTGGAGAGAGAAAGCTCGGATCTTAAGACGTACCACGAAGGATGGCTTACTGTTACACGCGAATACTACCAATTCCCACAAATTGACTGGAGTGAATCCCAGACACAAGCATCATCTGGTAGTTCATTGGGTTCCGAGCAGGTCAGCAACCAACAGGCTCCGAAAAGTGGTAGCTTTCTCAAAATGGTTAAAGGAAACAAATCTGTACCTGCAAATGCGGAAGAATCTAAGCAAGATACAACAACACTTGATGCCAAGAAGTTGAAAGCAATCAGGAAGAAAAACAGATATTTTGCGGTTCTGAAACATGGCAATTTATTTCTATATGATGATGAAGCAAAGAGGAACGTCCAGCACGTTATAGTTTTGTCAAACCATGTGATAGGAATCTGGCCTAGAGAGCTGAAGGATGGCCAGCTTTTCACAAAAAAAGCTGCAATTTGTATATTCAAGAAAGATCCAGAGTTCAATTCTACTGCTCCTAATGCCACGTCTCCTGAGCCCGAAAATTTGCTGGATGTTCTGCAAGGAAAAGTGACCCTGGACACTCCACCAAAAGACACCTTTTTTCTCTATGCAGACCGCAACACTCAAAAGGAAGACTGGTACTTTGCATTACTCAGAGCGACTACTAAAGACGTGCCTAAGTCAGGCACTGCCAAAGACCTACTAGAACCGTCTTTTATGGCTCGCACATTGCATTTCATGACCGCAGATATGATTGATTTGATTCAAACCATCAATTCCTCGGAGGGCCAGCTGACGACGCAGTGGTTGAATGCGCTCATAGGACGGCTTTTCCTGAGCTATTATAGAACAGAGGAATTCAAGGAGCTCATAAAAAATAAGATCGATGAACGTCTCAAGAAGATCAGAACGCCAGACTTTCTGGACGACCTGCAAATTAAAAAGATTGACGTTGGACACTCTGCCCCTTTTTTGACGTTTCCCAAATTGCAAAACTTGACTCCGGAGGGAGACCTTAGTCTTCAATGTCATGTGCTTTATCAAGGTGGTCTAGTGCTAGAGGTTGCCTCTAAAGTCTTCTTAAACCTTGGAACGAGGTTCAAGCAGAGGGAGTTCGATATCAACTTGAAAATCGTCATGAAAAAGCTGGAAGGTGATATTTTGCTTAGGATGAAACCCCCTCCAACGAACAGAGTGTGGTATGGGTTTACAAAATTGCCTGAGTTCGACATGGTGATTGAACCTGTGGTCAGTTCCCGTGCTCTGAACTACAATCTCATTACCAACATCATCACTAACAGGTTCAAGGAAGCATTGGGAAAGACTCTCGTGCTACCATTTATGGATGATCTTGTGTTTTATAGAACAGAAGGTGAGATCTTTAAGGGAGGTATTTGGGACAAATCAGTACGTCCTATTGTAACTGCCACCTCGCCACAGCAATCTCATCCTGTTCCACCACCATTACCATCAAGAGATCTTAAGGCGGAGGAACTTGACATAGAAGACATAGCCTTAGAAGAAGATGACAACTCCTCTCTCGGCAATTCACTCAGAGGAATCACCAAAGAGTCTACCAGGGATGACAACACGTTTGAAGCAGCCCAGTCAGTGACAAATGATTACGCTCCAGATAGCAGTTCTGTATTGACCACAGGATCTGGGGGGTCGTCCTCTTCTGCGGCAAATGCAACCAAATACAAGGACAGAGCGTCAATGCTCTCTAAGAAGTTTATGTCGATCAACAAAGGACTGTCGCCGGATAGCAGTGTTTCAGATACCGTTTCTGAAGGTGCCCATGGAGACGACCAATCCAAGTCACTGTCTGCGTCCTATTCCAAGCTCAAAGGGCTTTACTCATCAACAAAACAGAAATTAGTCGAAAAACAATCCACGACAAGTGTCAAAGAAATCAACTACTCTCCTCCTGAAATGATTTCCAACCGTCGTATCATAAGAAAAACATTGCGTGCGACAGATGATCAACCAGAAGCTGATAACCGAAAATCATCTGCCGACATGTTTGCCAAAACGGAGAAAACAAGCATAGAGTCAATTGGTTCGCTCGGCTATGACGAGCAGCAACCAAAGTCTCCAACGAATCCAACCATGTTTATTAACGAGAGATACAGAAGCAGTTCGCTTAGTAAACATGTTCCACCATCGCCTTTGGCAACCCCCCAAAAACTGAGAGCTGGTGATCAAGACTGGGAAAAAGAAGCTGAAGAGAGGTTGCCTGCTGACAAAGACGTGGATTCAGGACCATCGACTGAAAGCGCGATCACAGATGCTGACCATGAGACCGTGGATTCTCCATCAGGCACCAGTTTGAATGATACTGCCACAGCACTACGAAGGGTGCCTCCACCACTTCCAGAACGGCGATAGTATACATTATGTTTATAATACATAGTACACGCTATTTCAGTTTGAGCTTAATCTTTGGCAGTGAAGGTGTTGCCGAGCGACTTTGCGTAGACTTCCTCTCAGAATTAGTCGAGGCTTCAATTTCTATGCCGGAAGTTTCTGGCTCGGTCTTTAATGGGGGAATTCCATTGACAGAACTACTCCTTGAGTTACCAGGATTAGATGCGACGTCATCACCAGCTTCTATTTTTTCCGAAGTATCCTCTGCTCGGCTTCCTGGAGTATAATTGTTCTGGACATCCTCTCCATGCTGAGAGTAACCGTTTGACTCTGGAGCTGACTCTGGAGCTGACTCTGGAGCTGACTCTGGAGCGGAAAGAGTGGTACTAGGTTCTGTCTTGACTGGATTAAGCTGGCGCAGTTTCTCAGGATTGATTTTCAATTTCACCGGCAAGCTCTTTAATTCACCAAAGTTCTCGTCGTCGGACACCAAAACCTTCTTTTCAGACAATTGGAAACGCACGTAGCGAAGAGGTGATTGTTTATCGGTTTGAATGATATCGTATGCCACACGCCTTCTGTTGGAAAGTTTTCTATACTTGAATTTGACTTCGAACTTTTCCCTTGGAGCCCTTGGATCTGAAGATGGCTCTGAAACAGAGGAGCGTTTTTGCTTCTGCGTGGAGCGAGAGCTGCTATTATCAGTGACCTTGAGCTTGATAGTTGGAATCTGTATTTTAAGTCTCCCTTGTCTTTTGAATGTCACCTTGTACGTCTCAGAATGAGGCTCAATACTAACATCAGTGACCTTAGCAACCAATTTCCTCTCGTTCGGAAGCTTCGTGGTGACCTTGAAAGAGTCAATCGCTTCGAAGACGACTTCTATAACATCAAATAAATTTCGTTTCGCGCTCACAGACAGCAAGCACGAATGAATTGCCAGCCAGAGTTCTTTGCGAAGTCCCGTGCCTATGCTCAAGTCCCTGCGAAGAATCTCCAATGCTCCTTTCATGGTGAGTCGAGACAGCTGGTCACGTCGGGTTTTCATTTCATTACCTGCTCCACTGTCCTCGACAATTACGAGGGTGTTGTTCTTTTCGTCGGAATCACCCTTTTTCGCTCTGAAGAATTCATCGTCTTCGAGGTTAGGAAACACTCCGTCCACGGCAGCCGCGCCCACTGCTCGCATCAAAGCAAGGATCAAATGGTGACGAAGGTAATGGGAAGTCTCAAGCTTTAAAGTTGTGAAGAGTAGCGACAGGACGTGCGAGTTTCTCAGACCACCTAACAGCAGAAGACTTTCAAAGGCTTTGAGTCTAATATCCGAATCGTAAAAGGGTCTAGTGTATGGAATCAAGTCAATATAGGAGAGGTCAACAAGACCCAGTAGGGCCAAACGCACTTTCTCATGAAGCATTGTCACTGTAACAATATGATGATAGGAGGGAGACCATTGGTCCATCTTCGCGGCTCTGTTTATCTCCACAATGGACTCGATCAGGAACTTTTCGGTAGGGTCTGTAAGATTTCTTTTGTCCATCTCAACATGGGATTCATTGTGGTTCGGGATCTTTTTATTCGAGCTGACTATCAAATTTGACAAACAAGTGATGAAGTTGGCAAGATAAAAGGAATCATCAAAATAGTTATTATTATTGTCATTGAATTTTAGAATATTGAGCATGATTCTCTTCAATTCAATCGGACTGTCGCCATTCTTATTTGTCACGGTTGACAGACCAGTCACAATGGCTTTCATAACAAAGTAGTCACTGAATTCCGAAAAGTCGTTAGGCAGCGGTAAATATTCATTAGGCTCCAGCTCAGGATATCCTTTCGATATAATGTTGTTGTAACAATAAAAGTACTTGTAAGCTTTGAGCAAAAATCTCATTCCTAGATGGTCGTTATCCTCCTTTGAAAGCTTGGCCAGTCCTAAAGCCGCTTGGGCCCTAACGCCATAGAAATACCGTTTATCAAGTATGGTTCTCATTAAAACCGTTGCAAAATAGATTGATGGGTGCAACGATTCCGAAAAAAACTTGACACTTTCTAACTGTGCTTCCACATCTCGGTCTTGTCTCAACTGGGATTCAAACATGTTTTCATTCAAATTGATATAGACCTTGCAAATCCATTCAAAGTCTGCATCCACACGCAGCCATTCGAAGGCGTCTCCAAGGATTTCGTAGTCATTTTCTTCAATTTTTTGTTTTTCAGCGAAACCCCAATCTTCTAGATCCTTAGGTTTCATGAACACGTCTCCCAACTTCTTCACCGTCGGTTCATCATCGTCACCACGCAATTTATCCTTTTCTCGTTCTTTCCTCAATTTATCTCTTTCTCTTTTTTCCCTTTCTCTTTCCTTTCTTTCAGCTTCTTCTTGATCTTCTTCCTTTCTTCTTTTAGATCTTCTATACTTTGTGTTATATTGTATATCCAATTTGGTGACGGGATCCTTGATGTCAACAATATGCTCATACGGCGTACCATCTGCTTCGTGAATACGGATAGTTATAGGCCCAGTAAACACATTGGGCGCAGAGAAAGTCTCCTCTTCAGATAAAAACATATTAGCCTCATCGACGAAATGTTCTCTCTGATACTGCTTCCTCAAAGTTTCTTTAGAGTTTATGTCCATTTGCAGTTCGTCGTTTGCTTCCAGCTTACTATTCTTTTGTATCTGGCGAATGCTCATCTCGATGAACATTCTTTTCTTATTGAATCTTTGCGTCACTTGAAAAATTGGAACTCCACAACTATGGATCCAGTTTTGGAAAAATGACTCAAGCTTATGATGAGCCACCTTCTCGCAAACATGGTGAAAGTGGGCGGTTGACAAACAATTTCCGTTAAGCAAATCCCCTGACATAGCCTGGAGAAAAATCTTGGGGATGACACGAGACAGCCCAAATGACTTATCAGTCTTAGTCATACGGCGATCCAGAATGAACATTATCAAAGGAGCTTTTAGCCTTATGAATTCCATATCTTGGGAGAGATTTATCGGAAAGCGAAACAACTGATTGGCCAAAGGCCTTTTCCCGACATCGATTTCACAGAGGTAATCGGTGCGCAGCTTGACTTCGTATCTGTATCGGTTGACTCCAAAAAGCTTTTTCAGAAACTGACCTGCCATGAAGTACGAAATACCAATTACCAACCAGAAATCATTCAACGATTTCGGAAGAACGTTGATTCCGGAATATTGCTCAGACAGAGCAACTGCCAGCTTTTCTGTCACATCAAAGATAGGTTCTATCAACTTTGGGCTGTACAGCAATTTCGAAGACATGATTGTCATACCAGCAAATGCACAAGAGTCACAAGCCATGTCATCGACGTAGACCATCGTGTAGCTAGGGAATGGGAATGAGCCAAATTCTTTTGAGTAGAAGTCAAACATTTTGTACATTGCAACTGTTGTGTTCAGAACTTCCTCCTTCCGACCAGGCAAGAAGTAAAGCATAGTCGGCACCTTATTAGAGTTGGATTCAGCAGAGAAGTTCGTGGCGTTGTTAATGTCCTTGTCTGCAAAATTTGCCAGGGCATTGGAAGGAACCAACTCATCAGTACCTGGCTTAACGTCCAAGATTGGGCAGCTTTCGAACGCGCCCACGGCAAAGCCGAGGTGATGAGCAGGAACTGGATTGTAAAATTGAAAGTTGATCACCTTTTTGCCGACATCCAGAGGAGAGGGCGATTCTTTGACACCGATCAAATCCGGAACTGCCACTATTAATGGAGTATCATCGCGCTCTTCTTGTTCTTCATCCATTTCGTCTTCAGTTTCCATTCTTCTTAAAGCCTTCTTAGCTTCATCGGAGCCAACCAATTTGGTCTCTCCTATGTCACCCACCGTTTCAGGCACAATTATGTTTATGTCCCACGCAGGTTTTTCGTAAAAGTTGTCTATACATGGAACCCATGAGCTGGCACTGCATCCCAGATCATTGTTCGAGGTGTAGCAGAACCACCTGTTCTTTGGGATAGTTGTGCCATTTCCTCCATGGAATAGCAATCCATTTTTTGAGTTCCTGATCAGGTAGCTAATTCTGATATTCAACGGAGTGTATACTTTATCAGAGCTCATCATAGCATTGGTAGTCAAAGGTGTGTGCGACCGGGTAGAACTGACGTTGGGTGAAAACGTTTGTTTTGATGTTGGATCGTGAAGCCTTAGTTTGATAGAATCTGGAATGTATATTACCAATTCCGATGTGTTCTCAGGGTATGACGAAGAAGGATTCCCTTGATTATTCTGATCTGAAAACAATGGATAGAACCTGGCTCTGTAAAAGTGATGCTGTTGTAGCTTTACCACTTCGGAATGTGTGTCATAATTTGGGTTGTATTCATAGTTGGCCAGCACTGGGTTTTCTGTGTCATTGAGATACTCATCGTTTTGGAAGAAGTCACCATAATGGTAGCTTGCCTTTTTGCCATTCACTGTAATGTCCTTTATCTGCATTCCTCTACAGTCTAGTTTAACCTGCCTGACACTAGCATTGAGCGGAAGAACGGTCAATTCAGTCTCTCCAAGCACTGACTGCTCTGCTAAATCAATGTCTAAAGTGACTTTTTGATACCCAATTTTGATAGGCTGTGACGGTAAATCATCGGTATCATATTTATGATGCCTCCTTGGTGTCGCATATGACTTCGGTGTAAAACGCGAGGTTGCCGACGGATGATCCTGCGACATGGTATTGGAAAACAGTTGAAAACGACTTTAGTTTTTGTTTTCTTTAGCTGGCTCCAAAACTCTACGGTGCAAAGATGTACATAAGATCGAATTTATTTACATGTTCTTTTAATCCGGGCAACAAATACTTTTGTTTTAAGACTCACGATCAATACTATATTATAAAGTAGGGATTAAGACACTATCAGGAGAACCCAAGTGTCACTATCTGTCAATTGGATACCCGTTTACGGTTTATGCGGAAATAAATAGATCCAGGACAATTTACTCTTTGATAGCTTAACTATGGACAGTCCAGACAGCGAAAGTAATTACGAGCTGCTCTTGGAGTTGGTCAATTCTCCAGATTTTGATTTGTATCAGTGTCTAAGCTACCTTCAAAAGTACGCCGACAACATTGGAATACATTACTTTTTATGCCAGAGAGCATCTAGATATCCCATCGGCGAGCTCAGGTTTTTCATCCCTCAATTTCTTCAACTGCTGATCACGGTGGAGACGGAATCGGTGGCTCTCGAAGAGATGTTGCGAACTTTATGTTCAAGAGATGTGCACTGCAGCTTGATCACATTTTGGCACTTACAGGCTTTGCTCCAGGACCTCAGCAAACAACCTGAAAGCGTTGGTTTCCAAACTTGCAAAAGAATGCTCAATGATCTACAATATCAATTATTTAACTTCTCCAACAATCAGCATACGATTACCTCCTCTACTACTTCGTCATCTGGCGTTGTCACCAAGCACGAACTTCATAAATCTTTCAAGGAAAATGTTGCACCCTCCATAATTTTAGCGACTTCCTTGATATCAGGAGCAAGTGTTCCTAGAAGCACCAAATATGTGGCGCCGATAGTAAGAATACAGGGAAAGCGACTCAAGTCATTTGTATTTGAAGTGGTTAAGGACATCAAGAAAAGCTTGAACGAAAACCTGACAAAGAAGAACACAATTAATAATGCGCTCTTGGGAAGATCAAGAGAAGAGGTGGAAGGTTTAAGAAATGGGAAACCTGTGAGTCGCGGGAAACGAAGCATCTCGTCATCGTCTGTGCATTCTAATGACTCTCATAGAGATCAGCTTAACTTTGACATGATAGACTCGTACGCCGATATTAACATGCCAAGTCTCAGCAGACCGTCTTTGAAAGCAAAGAAAACATCTTTGTCCTTGCTCAAAGCGCAAAGCGATCATTTTGACTACTCCAATACCCACCACAGCGAAAGGTTACATGATAATGCGGTTTCTTCGATGCCCAATCTTCATATGTTCAACAACGATAACTCAAACACTGAAATCCCGTACTCTTCAGACGGATCATATGCTTCTTCGATAAGGAACTCATTTGATTTTAGAGATAGCAGCGAGATTGAGAGTTTGTATGGTGACGAGCCGGCCTCCCCTAATTTGCCTCAATCTTCCAAACTGTCTTATAAAGTTCCCCTATCAGAATTACAACAGGTCAAACTTCTCAAATCAAACTATTTTAAAAACGAAACCCAATTCGTAATAGCGTTACAGAATATCTCAATTAGGCTTGCCAAGGTTCCGAAAGATGCTCGATTATCTACCTTGAAAGCTGAATTAGCAACGCTGAACAAAGATTTACCTTGTGAAGTTGACATTCCCGGTCTTTTGCCGAAGAATAAAAAAGGAAAACTCCACAGACTTTGCAAGATTGCAGTCAATGAGGCCGCTGTTCTAAACTCGGCAGAGCGTGTTCCATACTTGCTTCTTGTTGAATATCTTGCTGACGACATTGACTTCAACCCGGAATCGGCTCATAACAAACTACTCTTGAACAAGTTAGAAGATAACAAAGGAGCGAACGATACCTTCAAGTTGAGTGATAAAAAATACAGATTTGACCTAGCTTATCCACATGCTCCTTCGTCCTCTGTTTCGTTGAACTCTCTTGATATGAAAGCCAATACCCCCTCCAGGGATCAATTTGTGGAAACTAGGGAGGCAGAGGAATCTGACTTAGCTGACTTCTCGGTTGTGAGCTTGAGCAACAAAATGGATAAATATGCATATAAATCAAAAAGGTCTGTGAAACCAAAGACAAGCAATTTGAAGCTTGAACTAAGTTCTCCGTCCACTGATGTGATTGAAGAGAAAATAAAAAAACTAGAACTTTCGTTCAAGTCTCAATACGAGGGAGGGCTGGATAACGAAAGTGAATTGGCCAACCAGATGAGGATTGCTGCAGTGATGCTTACTCAGTTAGAGTCACCTGCTTCCACAATGCCAGTTTCACAAGCAGCTGAGATTAAAGCTCGCATTATAGATTCAATGAAAGCAATGCAACATGGATTTGGGGTGGAAGGCATGAACGAAATTCGCGGTGAAGCGGGTGAACGTAAACTTTCAAACGATTTGAAAGTTGCCGGACTCAGCTACTTGGGAGAGGACTGGAATAGCAAGAAAGCTCGAATCAGGGCAGAGTCAAAGTACGGTCATCTTGAAAACTGGGATTTGTTTTCAGTGATTGCCAAAACAGGGGATGATCTGACTCAGGAGGCTTTTGCATGTCAGCTGATCCACGCTATGGCTCGCATCTGGTACCGTGATAACGTAAAAGTCTGGGTGAAAAGGATGAAAATTTTGGTCACTTCTTCCACCACGGGTTTGGTGGAAACCATCACCAACGCTTTATCGATACATTCCATCAAAAAATCTCTGACTCAGTACATGTCATTGAACAACGAAAACCCTCGTGGGGAGATTGCGACTTTGAAAGACCATTTTATACGCATGTTCGGTGACGAGAACAGTCCACGATACAGGCTTGCTCAGGAGAACTTTTGCATTTCACTTGCCGCGTATTCTGTCATCTGTTACATTTTACAAATCAAGGATCGTCACAACGGTAACATCATGCTGGATTCGGAAGGACACATTATACACATTGACTTTGGCTATCTCCTCTCCAATTCTCCTGGGTCAGTTGGATTTGAAGCCGCTCCTTTCAAGCTGACTATGGAATACGTTGATCTTCTTGGAGGTGTGGACTCTTTCTACTTTCAGAAATTCAGAGCTTTAATGAAACAGGCGTTCAAGTCGCTCAGGAGAAATGCTGACTCCCTAGTCAATCTCGTGGAGCTCATGCAGAAAGATTCGACGCTTCCATGTTTTAAAGCAGGCGTGAATACTAGCATTCAGCTGAGACAGCGTTTCCAGCTTCATTTGAGCGACGATGAGTTGGATTTATTCATTGACAATGTCTTGATTAACAAGAGCTTGGGAAGTATGTACACAAGGCTCTACGATCAGTACCAGCTTCTGACCCAAGGTATTTACATATAGAAAATGACGCATTTGCATAATTATAACAATTTCTAATTGGATACATGTAGTAAAAAGTACATCAGAGTTTCATGGAGTGAAACATGCCATTTGTGTTGTGGATTCGAGTTGTTACGGTGCGCACACGCACCTGATATTCTTCCGTATCCATAGATGAACGACTCGTTCCGTTTTGTTCAGTACTACTGAACATGCTAAGTCTACCAGGCTGATCTATGACCGATGATGAGTTATTGGAGCTCCTGGATAAAGTGGTTTCCGACGGCAGAGCCAAATAAATGTAAGATTCCAGAGACCACTCATACCAAACCCTGTCTGGCGCCGTGTCCCGCTTCACAAACACAGCCAGCTCCTGATCGTCAGTCAATTGCATTGGCTGCTCTAGAGGCATGAAAAATGGTAGCCAGGATACTAGGTTGTGGGGGCTGGGGCCGGATCCGGTAGGGCAGTTGGAGATAATGATACCATTGTACAGCTCTGCCTGGAAAAATCCGAGAAGACCATGAATCGTACCTTTGCGATGACAGTGCAATGTCGTATGTGCTTGACGTTTCATGTTGCCATTTCTAAGAGGATGCTGGAATGTCCAGAGCTTGGAGTATTTTGACGACAAAGTGTCGTATTCGTCGCATAGTGGAACGTAGCAAGCATGAAATTTCGACAGGTCGTTGCTTTCAAGTAGCTTGGTGTAAATGGATGGGGAGATCGCAGGAGCGACGAAAGAGGTGTACTCCTTAGGGATAAAAATGATATTGTCAGGATCGCAGTACTGTTCCACGGAATACAAACATTCTGGGGACAGCTCGTTGCATCCAAAGCTACCAAGTAGCTCACTAATGACCAAATGGAATCCAGACTGTGTTGGAAGCTGAGGCTTCCATGACCTCACATCCGCATTCACGACGTCTACTTTTCCGTTCCAGAAATCCTGATTTCGCTGAGACAAGTACACCATGACTGTTGGACTTTTCTCGATAGCTGTAATGTGCACCTTATCTAGATCCAGATTGAGAAATTTAATGGCAGCAAAAAGTCGCTCAATAAGAGGGCCTCTTCCAGGGCCGATCACCAATATTTTGAGATACTCAGAGATTTGCTGAACATCCGCGTCGGGTCCCTTTTCAGTCACGGTTAAAGATGAAGTGTTGAACGCAGTTGCTCCAAAATTTGGTAAATTCCTTACATGCTGGAATCTAGGCAAATTTATAAGGTCCATCAGTGATGAAATCATTGCTCGCTCGTAGCACTCATATTTCGCCTGGTCTTGCTCAAAGACTTTATAGGTGGCATTGTTGAGGTTTTCGGACAATGGCTGTAAGGGTGTCTGTAAAGATTTTATCGACCTCAATTCGGAACGATCGAGGTTTGCCATTGCCAGATTTTTCAAAGTAAACTCCTCGATCGGCAAAAGCTGGTTATGGCTCGAGCTTGATTTAATGAGATATTTCAGGTATTCCAAATATGATAGATCTCCAAGATAAACTTTGTTACCGTCAACGCTGATATAGGCCTGGCTCGATTTGTCATCAAGACTTGAGTTTCTAAGGTTCGCAATAAGATCACTTTCCTTGTCAACTCCGTGCAGAAGTAAAATAGGAGGATCTAGTACTTTTTTCTGAATAATCTTCCAGATGATGAGCTGGTTGTATTTATTAAGCACGGGGTAACCTTTTGAATTTGGAATGAAGCGGGAGCTGGAGATAAGGTAAAATCGAATTGGCTCCAACAGCCACCTATTAACCACATGTTCGGGAATGTTTTGTTTGGGCGATGCTAGACTAACAGTTAAGTTTCTATGATAGTTGCAGTGGATGCGTATGGTATTCCACATATCCCACGTCGATAGCGGATCAATGATAGGGATAAGCTCGCCTGTGGCGGGGTTTGTCTGGGGATCTTCACATATAGGCAAAGAAATAGAAATCTCAATATCAGAAAACTTGTGCAGAATGGAATTTAAGCTGTTGGTGAACACAGCAAGATGATTCAAATCTTTGGGCGGAGCCAGCAGCAACTTGCGAACCCCCAAAAATTGAGCATATGCTATTTCGTTGGAGAGCACCTGAAGAGAAAACTCGTTGATCAACGGATCATTGGCCCCGAGCTCAATCCAAGGAGACAACAAGCCGATTGTGGTCTCGGTATGAGGCCCTGTAAAAATATTAACTTCATTTGATCTGGGGAATGGGACTTTGAGTCCCCCCGGAACCGCCCCGAAACCACCTTCTTTGATGCTGTCTTTGAAAGACTGGAAGTAGCTTTTACAATTCTCTCGGTATCTTGGATTTGTGATGGCTAGAAGCACGCAGCTATAGCCGTTCTTACTTAAAGTTTGTACCAGCAACCGATCGCTCTTCACCAAAGCCAAGGTGAACGGCAGAGGCTTGATTCCGATTCTCACAATTTGAGGTTCCATGGGGTCGCTGCCTGTCTTGTCATGTACCAGTTTGTAAAAAACAAGATTATTTGGCAAGCTAATATTTATCTCGTTTCATAATGCCTTGCATATATAGTATGCGCCAATATGTGAGATTGAAATTTCAGCCATAATTCTTTTCGCGTTGGTAGGCGGTAGGCACGACCGACCAATCGACGCGACGAGGTCGGCACAGAATTTTTGTAGAAAATTAATCGACAAAAACACAAGCACACGAGTCTTTCTCAATGTCTCACTCACAGCCAAGGCCAAGAGAGCTGACGCCACAGGAGAAGGAGCGTATTTTCTCATTCAGGGAGAAGTACTACTACTCTCCTAGGTACTCGGATGATCACTACGAATATCGTCACGTCGCACTACCTAGGGAATTGTTGAAGCTCATCCCTAGTGATTATTTCACAGAAAATGGAACCTTCAAGATTCTGACAGAAGAGGAATGGCGTGGGCAGCTTGGGATCACTCAAAGTTTGGGCTGGACCCACTATGATTGCCATGCGCCAGAACCTCATATCTTACTTTTCAGAAGAGCCAAGGACTAGCTCTTTGTTCCGCCATTTTGCATCGATACCGCTATGAATGACTAGCAAAATACCACCATGTATTTAATAAAGCTACAGTTGTAGATCCTACATTTTAATTTCTTCATTAAAACGCGTAGCTTATTTTTTTTCTTGGATATCCGTTTACAAAAAGGGATCCATGAAATGTCCCATCAGACTCGACAACTGTCTTCAGTCTTAGATACGCTGCTACGTCAGCAATCGGAGGGTAAGATTCAGGACTCAAATTCGTTAAATGCACTCCTCAATAGCGTTCTGCCGGCATACTCGAAAAGATCTCTATCCCATGAAGAACAAGAGGTGGTGATCAAGATTTTTCAAGCAATCCATTTGCTCACATCAAGAAGTCCATCCTTACTTTTTGAGAACAACAGGTACAAGGCAGTCGTGAATGGTTTCATGTATTTTTACGATGCGCGATACCACGATTCGGAGTTAGCACAGAAGGCGACTGAGTCATTGAAACGGATCATCAACGATCAGTACAGAGGAAGGCTTGCTTCCAGCATGCACTTGGACCTAATAAAGGTAGAACTGATTGAAACACTTAATGACAATTTGAACTACGTGCTTGAGAGCATAACCAACTCGACGGCGTCAAAGCCAGTTGATTTGAACTATATCACCACTACCAACGATTACAGATTCTCCAGATTGAGCATTTCCACACGCATTCTTCAAGTACTTCTTGATGTTTCACTTGAAAATGCTTTGTTACTGCACTCGCAAAACCCGTTCATGATGGAAACGTTTATTGGTCGGCTTTGGTTCTGTATGGATAATGTGGTTGTGAATCTGAAGTTTAGCAGCGATGAATCTGGAGACACATCATATATTCTGTCACAGACCTCAGTGGACATGATCGCTGCTAAGTTTGATGTACTATACGCCACTCTGTTACAATCTACCGGAAGCTACACTTTTGTTGATGAGTGTTTACAACACACTCGTCTGGAACAATTACTGTTCAAGTGTAGGGATTTACTCAATTGGCCTTTACTTTCGCGGTTTCCTAAACTACAGTCGAGTCTTGCTGAAATTTTGATGAAGCTATTTATCAAATGCAAAGAAATGGACACTTTGTGTTATTTCTGGAATAAGCTGGCAATCACTACCGAAAAGTTGGCGTACGTTGACAAGATGCTATCCAATCTTGGCCCTGACTTATTTATTGTGATCAACATACTCCTCATATTGAATGTGAAAGTTGGCAAGATACCCACCATGCGAAGCCGCTCTACATTCGAAGCCCATTATTTGAGGTCTTACGAAATAGCATTCAGACCTTTCTCAAATGAGAAGCTACACCTGCTTCGAAACAAGGTTCTTCTTTGCGCCTTAGAAGATGTACTAGAGCCCGATGTGGATATGTTATTATCATTGACAAACTCCAAGTCAATGGTCAATTTGGTCGATTCGAGTGACCGAAATTTAAAGGGAAAGGAGACACTGGCTTTAGATCACGAAAAAAACCTTGAGATTGTTGATTTGACTTCGAGCTCTTACGTTTCGCAAAGCACCATTTCCGATTCTAAACTAAAGAAATGGATCTCCAAACTTGAGAGCGCCAAAAAAAATGGCCAGTTTGATGCAATTATCAGCACACAGCTGGGAAAAATCTGCATGGTTACTGCGATTGGTAGGTATGCTTGTTTGGTAGCTGAAGACTATGATTTCAAAAGCAAAATATGCCGCAAATGTGATTATGCTCCAGATAAAACCATATATTTGCTTGATTCAGTCGATCCGAAAAGGCCATCTATTGATTCTCGTCCAGAAATCGAATCTGCATTCACCATACTTATTGACACTTTTATTTCAGACCCAGCATCATTGAATGATGAACAGCTGATTGTGTCCATACTCATCGCTCTTCGCCGTATATTTAGCTCGTTCCGTCCACCTTCGCTGAAACATTCTGTCAAACTATGGAGATTTCTTGAGGCTAGCTTTATTAGCGTGGTTCGAGAGATTCGTCTTCTAACTGTTAAAATATTCCCGCTTCTTCTCTTATCCACTGAGGATGATCAATATGAGTCTGATTTTGACATCTTGTTGAAATACTTGAGCATGTTCAAGATATCGAGAAAAACGGCATATCTTTTCGAAGGTATCATCATGTCATGGGGCGAGCTTATAATGATCAGTCATCTCGAGGGAAAGCAATATGTCATGCTTAACCACTTAATACAGTACATGGGCGACAGTGACCAATTTAGATCAAACCTTTCCTTTCACGAATTACGCCTTGTCGCTTCCACCAAAAAACTAACAGCTTGGAAACTGGTTGAGCCTTTCATCCCACTGATAAGCTATGAACTAATCCAAAAAAGGAACACACACCCAAACATGCTCAGAATTTTTTGCGACTGTATCAAGATGGATGTCGATGTATTCCTCAACAGGGTGATGGAATTTACTGTTCCGCTTTTCATTCAATCCTTTTCCGAAGATCACATAGGATTCATTGCTGGACAGGTCGGCAAGACTAGATCGCAACTTGTAACAAGTCACATTGAAAAGGTGCTGGCTATATTGTTGACTGCTGATGAGAATATTGATGCTAGTAAGATCATCAAAATAGTGGCCTTATCAAATCCAAAATATAAAGGAATGAATTTACGAATACTCATCAGCGAGTGCCGCGTCATGGATCTCATCTGGGAGTTGTTGAGTCTCTACAATTCAGAAAAAATGAAACCGCGAATCAGAAATGCCATACTTTATGCATGTATGTCTCGCCACATTGGAGACATGTCTTTGAGCGATGATGATAACTTTCTGAACAAAGAGATGGACTTAATGATTTTGGGTATTGCTCAATCGTTTTCGGCGATCATATATGATCATAGGGGTAGCAGGCCTTACTTGCTTAAAATCCAGGCAATTCGTGCTATCCGTTGCATTGCGGAAATATCAACCAGTTTCCAAACATGCCTCTCTCAAATAATGACCTGCTTGCAAATTGCTCTTGAATCTCCAGAGCTCCAACTAGAAAGTCTGGAGTGCCTGCATGTTCTTGTTTCTAACCTGGACTACTCTCCGTTATCCATCATTGTTGACTTGCTGATCTCCTATCTGATTCAGAAATACAGGTTCTTTAACATCAAATGTAAGAATATTGCACGAAACATTCTTATGACGATTCTGGAAAAGGATCCTAAAGTCATAAAGGAGCATCCTTCTTATATCTATTCTCTCTCATTGATCAGCGATTTTGATAATATTACGAACAAATATGATATCAAGAACCATAATATTCTTGTCGAATTTGATAGGAGATTTCAGGCAGATAACAAGTGGGTCGTGTTACAGGTGCTTGATGACTTCAAGAATTTCCTTGACTCTCATCAACTGGAAATTCACAAAACTTATCTCAACGACTCTCGGTTATTGCCGTTGTTTTCATCTCTTCTAGCACATATTATGGCTGTTTCCAACAAATTCTCTATGACTAACACCGAGATTCCGCGCAAATGTGCTGATGTTCTGGCGTGCTTGGGTGCACTGGATCTCACAAAGGTTGGACATAGTTTTAACAGGGCCTACAAGAGAATAATTCTTGTGTCCAATTTGGGCAATCACAGAGAGATGGCCGAATTCTCTGTGTATTTCTTGAACAATATCCTTGTCAAAGCTTTTGTTGCCTCTACAGATCCCCAAAAACAGCTATTTCTGGCATACTCGATGCAGGAATACTTGAAAATTCTTGACTTCACTCCTGAAAACATTCAAGTCAAGGACGCCCCTGAAAGTCTTGTTTGGGCGAAATTGAACAACCTATCTCAAACAGTTCTTCGTCCCCTACTGGTTTCGCGTTATATGAAAAACTCCTATGGCTATATGGCGCTAACTTATCCTTGCTATAAGAATACCAAAAAACATTCATTCTGGATTCGTGAGTTTACAGAGGACCTGCTTCATAGATCCGAGGATGTTCGAAAGTTACCGAAATATGCCAAGGCTATATTTGCAACTTGTTCCATTATTATCAAAGACCAGGATCTATCCATTGCAGAGTTCTTGCTGCCTTATACAGCCCTCATGATGATTGTGTATGGCGATGATAGGATCAAGGCTGATATCGAAATCGAGATGATGACAGTGCTGAATGAAGATTTGGATCTTCTTTCCAATGATTCGGCCATTGAGAGCCTTAAATCATGTTATAGGACAGTATTTTCCATTGTTGACTACTTTCGAGAGTGGGTTTCTGAAAGGAAAAGAGATAAGAAATACCTTCAAAATAACTATGTGGAAGAACGGAAGAAGATTGAAAGCTTTCTTGCTTTGCTGCCATCTGAACTTTTGGCCAAACGCACAGCCCAGTGCAATTCCTATGAACGCGCAATATTCAACTTGGAGCAGAGTTACGCTCACAACAAAATGGATAAAGATGAATTTTTCACCACGATTCGACACATGTATGCCGAAATAAACGATACGGATGCTTTACAGGGAGTTCTCAAAAAGTTTTCGACGGAAAGTCTGAATGATAAGCTTCTTCAGTTTCAGTATTCTGAGGACTGGAGAGTCACGCAAGAATCTCTAGCTGCACTCACAGAAATTGATTATGGGGACAACAATGATCGGCAACTGGATTCAATTATCTCTTTTCTGAGATGTCTTGATGATCATTGTGAATATGATCAGGTGCTTTCCAAGCTTCGTGAAGTCGAGTCATCAATACAAGAATTCGAGCCTACAAAGGATTGGGTTGTATGCGGATTACAAGCCTCCATCTTCAGCGGTCAGCTCGAGGAACTCAAGAGATGGGTTTCTCATTCACAAGAATTTTCCTCCATAACATCTCCTGGTTCTTCATTGTCTATTTATTATGAGTTTGCTCGAGGCTTAATTACCTTAAGTGAAAACAACTTGCGGGCTTGCGATGAGCATATCTCTAATGCTATCACGCACCTTGGAACTTCATTGTCAGTTTCACGTGAGATATCCCCTTCGAAAATCTCAAGTTACATGGTCATGCTTCATTGCTTGTATGACTTCAGATCACTAGTTTTTGTGGAGAACAAGCAGAGATTACAGAATTGTATGGATTTGCTACAATTAAGGGCTAAGAACTCCACCAAAGATTTTAAAATCAATTGGAAGATTCACTCGCTTCGCCAATCGATAGAGAAATTGCATCCTCAGGCTGTTGTTCGCGCTTTTCTGGGCGATACGATGGTGCAGGGATCTCAATTTCTGCGAGAAGCTGGAAAATACGATCTCGCAACGAAAAGTATTACAAACGCATTATTCATTGGTACCTCGTCGGAATTAATGGTTAACTTGGAATTTGCTAAATTGCTTTGGGCTCAAGGTGACCACAGCCAAGCGCTGAAAATAATCAAAAGCCTGCTAGAAATGGCGAAGCCTCGCAATTCACCGGAGATTCAACTCACATACACGGATTGGCTCGAACAATCGGCTAATGGAAGCTCTGATGAAATTATAAAAGGATACGAGGCTGCTGCTGCTCTGGACCATGTTAGTGGAAAGCCACAATACTACTTAGGCCGTTATTACAACAAACTCCTTGATGCTCAAGCTGTGGAGACCCCAGGATTGAAAAAACCAGAGAAAGATTTTTATGGAGACCTGGAATTCAACATCATAAAAGCATACATTCGATCTGCTGCTTTTTCTAATGATTATGTGTTTGAGGTTCTTCCTAAGGCGGTTACAATTTGGTTAGACTATTTTGCCAAGTATCAGAACGCAAGTGAGCTGACAGGGTACTCCCATGAAACCATATATGCTAGGAGGAGGGATAATTACTCGAGTATTCTCAAATTTGTCAAGGTGGCAGCATCTAAGAACGAGCTACCAATTTACAAGTGGTATACTGTTCTTTCGCAGCTCATCTCTCGGATGGTCCACGGTGACTCCGAAACAGAACTTGTAATCTTGAATGTTATTACCCAATTGGCCAAAGCATATCCAGAGGTTGTCCTATACTCAGTCTATGCACAGGTTCAATCTACTTCACCAGAAAGGGCCCAACGTGGGAAACAGATATGCGAAACACTTCAAAATAACAAGAATGCGACGCTGTCGAAGCAAGTGTACTCAGCATTCCAACTTCTCGAGGCGCTTAAAGGAGTATGTCAAGCAGACATCAGCAGACAGAAAAGAACAAAAATGCACTTGTACTCAGAATTAAGATTTTCATACCCAGAGCACCAGGAGTGCAGAGCGTTGGCAATCCCAATTAGAGTCAACTTCCAGAAACTGCTTGCCACAGGACTGAATAACAATGTGCTGAGAAAGTCAAACAATTACCAAGTCGATAAATTCATTGCGTTTAGAAATTTCGACGCCAAAGTGAGCATCCTATCTTCCATGCAGCGACCTAGAAGGTTGTACATCACGGGTACAGATGGTCGTAGGTACAGTATTCTTTGCAAACCTCATGACGACTTGCGGAAAGACGCCAAACTTATGGAGTTCACAACCGTGATGGAGAGATTGCTGAAGCTTGATGCTGAAGCAGACAAAAGAAATCTCACCATCAAAAACTATGCAGTCGTGCCGTTGAATGAGACAATGGGTCTGATTGAATGGGTTGATAACGTACGGACTATGAGGGATATCATGTTGACTTACCTTCAAAGACAGGGAATAACCGTGGACTTTGGTAAGATTAAGCAGTTATTGAAGGAGGATCTTTCTGTTGGTGAGAAAATGCACAATTTCCAGAAACTGTTGCGCATGTACCAACCAGTGCTCCAAATTTGGTTCCAGGATCAATTTCCTAATCCTGTGAATTGGTATCAATGTCGCAACGATTATGTCAAAACTTGTGCAGTAATGTCAATTGTCGGATACCTGGTGGGAATGGGTGACAGACATGGTGACAACATTATGTTGAGCGAGTTATCGGGTCAAATTCTGCATGTGGATTTCGATTGTTTGTTCGACAAAGGAAAGAAACTTGCCGTTCCAGAGCGTGTACCGTTCCGTCTTACGCAGAACATGACGGCAGCTATGGGGGTTACTGGATATGAAGGGACTTTTAGGAAGACTTGTGAGGTGACAATGAAGATCATTCGACAAAACGAGAATAGCCTTATGAACGTCCTCGAAACCTTCTTATACGATCCAATCATGGACTGGAAGGTGAAACATAAAAAACGCAGGTCCACAGAAGAGACCGATTCAAAGGGCTTGCAACCCCAAGTTGCTATGGATACCATCAGAAGAAAAATCAAAGGAATTCTTGATCCAAAAGATTTGGACACGGGCGCGAAAGACAGCGGAGGGCTGTCAGTTTCGATAGTGGCCCATGTTGACGCAGTGATCCAACAAGCAACGTCCGTGGAAAACCTGTCACAGATGTATATTGGCTGGATGCCATTTTTATGATCGCATAATATACTGATTTAATGTTACTTAATCGCTAAACTCCTCTTCAGAGACGTTGTCACTTTCGGCAATACTTTCTTCGTCATCATCCTCGAAATCGCTCTCATTATCACCTTCTTCTTCTGCACTGTAGTCCTCTTCGGAATCGACATCTTCGTCCTCAGGATTGTCGTCGGAAGGATTAAAGTCAGACTCTTGCTCATCTTCCTCGCTATCATTGTCCGAATCACCACTTCCCGTCAAGAACGACCACCCTCCGTCCACAAAGAATTGGTAAGGATCAGCTTGGATGGTCTTCATAATTGTGGTCCAGTTCAAATTAACAGTACCTTCGCTGTACGGGATATCGACGTCAGTAAGCCAAGCCTTGACATCTTCAAGCAACTCCATTGGGATTGTTGAGATATGAACGACGGGTCTGCTAAAGTCTTTGAAGACGAACACTAGATCGAAATTCTTGAGACCGAATTGAACTCTCTCCAAGTGTGCAATTTCGATCTCCTCTAAAGTGATGACCAAAAACGGTAGATCAATCAGTTGCACTAAACAGTCTCTGGTTGGGAGACACATCACAGCGGATCTCGAAGGTACACCTTGGAACCCAAGCTCTCTGAAAGGAATGTCTAGATCAACCAAACCATTGGATGCATCTGCAATTTGCTCGGCAAACCCTTTAAATTCCTTGTCCAAAGCAGCTTTCCGTCTCCGCTCTTCCTGCTCCTGTTCTAACTCATCTTCGTCTCCATAACGGTACTTTCTCTTTCTGTTACCTGTCTCGTCAACGGTGATATCAGAAGCTTCCCTGTAGAACTGAACATCATAAGTCTTCTTCTTTCCAATCATGATTGGTGTTTTCAAATGACAGTGAATGATGACCAACAATTCTCCTTTACAGGATTGGAAAAACAGATGCTTGATGTTGGAGAAGAGAACATCCACCCTCTGGTCGCTTCTGCCAAGAGATTGGTACCTAATACCATTTTGGTGGATGGTGATGTTTCCAGGCAATCTCTTAGTGTCTGGAGTAGGTCTGACAAAAACGTTATCCAATCTTTTTGGACGATTGACCTCAATCAGAGAAGCTTGAGTCACAACATCCGCCTGCTCTCTCTTCTCTGACTCTCTCTTAACCGCATCCTTCTTCATTTCAGTAATTTTCTTCAGAACTTCGCTCATTCTCTCGTTGTCCTTGGAGCGGAAAGTCAAACTCCTAATGAATTGTTTGTCCTCACCCGGTTCATAAGGAAGCTCCTCTTTTTTTGTGACTGCGACACCTGGAGAGTTGAAATTCAATTTCAAGTGTGTATATTCTCCTTCCTCAGTTTTCAAGCCATTTTTGAAAGCGTTAATGTGGAAAGGCACCGGTCTTCCACAAATAGGAAGTATAATTGTCTGATTCTTAGAATCGATATGGATTTTGAGATCTCTAACATTGCTTGGAATCTGGGACTCACGAACATATGATTCGTACTTTTTGAAAATTACTCTCTTATCAGACCCATCCTGTGCGTCTTCTGGATTGAACCTATCCAAGCCTTCTTTCTGTCTTTTAGCATGCAGCTCCTTTTGAATTTCCTGCTGTATTTGAGTTTGATCTTCATCGGAGTTCTTTTGTTCCGACCTCATTTTCGCCTTGAGCACACGAGTGTTAACGCCATTGTTGTTGATCTTCAAATCAGGCTTTTCGGGCTTTTCAGACTTCACCTTAATATCATCAAGCTCTTTCTTCACTTGGTTGCTTTCGTCGTCATCGAAATAAAATGCAACCTCTTTTCTAAGTTTAGGAGAATCAGTTAGGACGATAGGGTCTTCATCTGTGACTTTCACAGTGTCTGCCAACATGAGTGCGTAGCTTCCAAGCTTCGGATCGGACAAACCGCTGAAACCAACAACCAAGTTGTAGACAGAATTCTCACTCAATGGTCTTTCATTCTTAGCACTAAGAATACCGGTAGAGTCTCTAAAATCAATACCCATCAGGGAGCCCATATTTCTCATGAAATTCTCCACAAGATCTGGCCTTTCGGCCTCAATAAACGCGAGAGTTTTATTGTAAACATCTTTTGCAATTGCTCCACGTTTCATAAGCGAAAGAGCTTTGGCTTGCACTTTGAGCAGGAAGTCGTAGTTGTGCTCCATTTCTTTCGATGGGCCAATAAGGAAAGTACGAGTAACATTAGAACAGTAGCTTCTGTATCTCAAACCAAGCGAAGCCATGATCACAGACCCTCCGAGCTTGTCGTCAGTCGACTCGACCGAGAACTTAAGTTCATACTTCCCATTGCTTTGAATAATAGGCTTGTAGCACCAGTCCAGATTGTTCAGATCGAAGTCAGAACCGAGTTTCTTCATCGATTTGTCCGTCTCCATATTTTTGAAGAATTTAGCATCATCGATCTTATTTTCGATTCGGTCCACCAGCTTGGAGTTGGAAATGTCCAGTTCCTCATCAATGATCTTGCTCATCTCGTCGGAAAAATAACTCATCATATTAGTTGAGGCTCTAGACGCAGTTCTCAAGCATCTTTGTTCATCCTCATCCTTGGATTCAAGTGTAGACGAAACTCCAACAGCGCAATCAACGAGCTCAAAGTCGTTTTTCGCTCCCTCCCAGATCGCGTTCCATTCGTCCATAAATTTACCAGCATACTTGTCCTTCACCAGCACACCAAGCTTCTTACCGCTTTCTTTCATCTCTTGCACAAATTGCTCGAACAATTTCTTGTTGTGCTCGGGGTCTTTGGTACGCGCAAGGATATTCAAATTGACACTGGAGCTTTTCAAGGGCTCCAAATACTTAGATTTTCCAACAGACGTCAACACTGTAACTTTCTTTCCAGTAATGAAGATCAAGGTGGCCGGGAACTCATATCCCAAAAGCCAGGTATGTAGAACGGTCGACTTTTGGTACGGATTGGTATCGTCACTAGATCCAACAGCGATCAGCAAACCAGCAACGGAACCAAATTGAGGTGCATTGGCAATGTTCCTTTGCAAGAGGTGGAGTCTCTTGCGGAACACCGATTGATCAATTTGAACCTCGGACATGGTACAACGAAGAAGAACAAGTTAAGGAAATCGCGTACGGTTTTTTTCCCACGAGAGCAAAAGACGGCGACGCGACGGTTAGGCCCCGGGTAACCTGGTTTTTAATGTTTTCACAGCGGTCAGTAAAAACTGAAACGTAAGAAAAACAAACTAAACGAGGAAAACCTGAAAAGCTAAGTTAACTCAATACAGGTTCAGGTTTTTCAAACACATAATTACTAATATCATGGCGGATACTGCAGAGGATTACTCATACGACTACGAATACCTTTTTAAAAGTGAGTTTCAACAAATTGCTTTCATACTAACTCAAAATAGTTGTTCTCATCGGAGATTCTTCGGTCGGAAAAACCAACCTTTTGTCTAGATTCACAAGAGACGAGTTCAACCCGGACTCCCGGGCCACTATAGGCGTCGAATTTGCCACGAGAACGGTGGAGATCGATGGTAAAAGAGTTAAGGCTCAGATCTGGGATACTGCGGGACAGGAAAGATACAGAGCAATCACTGCTGCGTACTATAGAGGAGCGGTGGGGGCGCTTGTTGTTTATGACATATCCAGCTCGAACTCATACGAATCGGTCTCTAGATGGCTCAGAGAAATGAAAGAACATGCCGACGCAAACATAGTGATAGCTCTTGTTGGCAACAAATCCGATTTGGATCATCTGAGGGCAGTCCCCACTGAAGAAGCTAAAGAATTCGCTGCTGAGAATAATCTGTTATTTACTGAAGCTTCTGCATTGAACGCCGAAAACGTCGAGCTTACCTTCCATCAACTTATCAAAAACATCTACGAAATGGTTTCAAAAAGAAAATTCGATATGGATGGCATGGATTCTTCTGCTAACAAAAACCTTGGAGGACAAACCATTACGCTCACACCCGCTCCTAAGGATCAGAAGATTTCAAAAAATTCTGGCTGTTGCTAAACATAACTCCCTTGATTCTAATATCATGTATATTGATTGACTCGTTAATACCATCATGTTGTTTATTGATCTTTTGTCTCAGGCTCTTTAAAATCTCCATCTTCCTCACCATCATCGTCGTTGAGAGAGGTGTTTTCCTCTTTGCTCAATTGCTCGCTGACTTTGCTGTAGTCGACGACCCTGCCACGAGTTCTTCTTCCAGTGGTGATGATGTTGGCAGTGTCAATCTCCTGCAGGTCATCTTCCTCTTCTTCTTCAGCAACGAGATTGTCATCGTCGACTTCTTCTTCCTCCTCCTCGTCGGAGTCTTTATCATCTGCAGGTGGAACATCGTCGTACTTGCGCCTAGAGTGTTTTCTCTTCTTCTTTTTCTCCTGAGACTCATCCTCATTCTTCCGCTTTGCAGGTTCTTCAGGCTTTTCTTCCTTTCCGGATAACTCTTCCTTTTTATCACCCTCTGTTCTGGCCTCAACCTCTTCCTGACGAGCAGGTTTTTCTTCTTGCAATTGCTCAGACATGAGTATTACTCTCTTATATAAAAGTTTCACTTACAAGGTAGTCTTCATGTAATAGATGACATAATCATAAAAAACGTAACGCCGAGAGGCTTGACTGCGAGAATTCTCGGCCTTGAAGCATCTAGACAGAATAAATTATCCAGGCCCGCGCCTCAGTGGCTCAAAAACTGCTGTGGCTAGAATTTCCATTGGCTTCTTGCGGAGAAAATTTCCTATATCTAGGGGCGAAATCACACTTAGATATTTAAAGCTGTTCATTGATTCTTCTGAAGCAAACCAACTATTAGTATTTGATACCGGAGTCAGTCACATGAGTTGTTAAGCTGATTTATTTGAGAAATATTCATCGAAATCAAAAATGTTGGCTTTAAGAACAAGAAGCTCGAGAATGATGTGTCGTCAGGGCCCTTTGCGTTTTAACTCGTCCAAAAGCCCTGATGGGAAGTCCTCCAATTCCGGCTCATACATTTCTACGAGCGAAATTGATCCTGTGCTGTTGGATAAGCTGTTTCGGAACAATAAGCCCCAGACATCGATCTTACCTCAACACGGTTCATTTGCGCTTCGACAGCGGCTCGCTAACATTCAGCAGAAGGATAAGTTCAAGGTCTTGGATGAAAATTTGTTGAAGTTGCAGTCCACACCGATCAACTTTAATTACTACTTGAGAAATTTAAAAGATTTGAAGAATGCTAATCAGTTACCATATAAATTCGGTGCAAATCAACTGGTTTCTAAGGATTCCGATGTTAATGATTTGTTGCGGAAAGTTGTTTGGGAATTTAACGCACCGATAAGGTATGCCTTTGGGTACGGATCTAAAGTTTTTGATCAAGGTTCAACGAAGTCTTCGAATTCTCAAGTTGACATGATATATGCAGTTTCATATCCTGATCACTGGCACTCGCTGAACATCGCCCAGAATCCTGATCATTATTCCAGCCTGAGACACTTGGGTTCAAGTATAGTATCTCAAATTGGTGAGTTAGGAGCAGGGGTGTATTTCAATCCTTTTGTTAAGCTCAATTTCAAACGAAGCAAGGTAGACACGAATTTCGAGCTCAAGTATGGGGTCACTTCTATGAACACGTTGATCAATGATCTCATAAACTGGGACACCATGTATCTTAGTGGAAGATTGCACAAGCCTGTTGCTGTGGTGAGAAACGCTCCTAAAATTTGTCTATTGAATCAGTATAATCTGACAAATGCTATCAAATTGTCACTGCTCTTGACCAACAAAACTGAGATTTCAGAATACGGACTGTATCATCAAATTGCGGAGCTAAGCTACTTGGGGGATCCAAGGTTAAAGGCAAGGGGCGAGGATGTTCGCAAAGTGGACAAAATTGTTACTAACCAGTTCGAGCAATTCAGAGAAATGTACCTTCCACTTCTCAGAAACTATTTTCCAAAGGTTGTCCAACAAATTACTGCTCCAGAAAGTGCTGAACATCGCTTCAAAGTGAACTTGGACTCGCAAAGCATTGCCGAAATAATCGCTGATTTGCCAAGTACGTTTAGAAGACGTCTATTGTCCAAGTATAGCTCCAAATACGAGTCTAGCCTTGCTTCGGATTTATTTGCAAAAAGAATCATTGCTCCAAATCAACAGCTTGCTGACTTGAAGCCGGTGAAAGCAGCCGCAGAGCTGTCGTTCTTGGATCTTCAGCAGCTTTCCGAAGAGGCGAGCTTGAATCAGATACCAGTAGAGGACTGGAATTATCTCCCAAACACATATAAGGTGAAAAACTCACCATTTATTCGAAACGTTGCGAATGATGATTTGCTCGTCGATTCTCTCAAAGACACAGTTAAGGAGACCGTTCTGAGGCCGGCCTTGATTCAAAGCCTCAAGGGGGTTTTGACAGCAGGAGTGCTCAGATCGTGGAAATATGCCACAGAGAAGAGGAGAAAATTCAATCAGAGTATAAATAATCAATCATAAACAATAAGGTACGATAATATGTACACTCAAATATTACAATGCTCACACGAGAACGCGGACTGTTATACAATCTTGACAACACAACTTGAAGTTCCACTATATCCGACGGATATTTGGGTGCTAGTGGAGTTCCAGTCGATGGTAGATACGAAATTGGAGTTTTCAACCTCACCAGGCTGATAATAGCTCAATTGCTTAAATTTCCTCGTGGCGGTAATAGCCCAGAACATTATGTTACCATCAGAGTCTCCAGTAGCCAGCTTAGTGCTATCAGGAGACAAAGAGGCCACTAATATTGGGGAGCCATTGTCAACTATCCGAGAGTCCAGTACCTTATTCCTGAAAAAGTCCCAAATTTTGAGAGACCCGTCTAGTGAACAGGTGACAACACACCAATTTCCATCTTCCAGTTTGCACCAGCTGACATAAGTGAGAGGTTGCGAATGACCCGTCAACACTTGTAAGGAATTGATGGAGTTTCCTTTCCATATTCTTACCGTTTGGTCGTCGGATGCGGAGCATAAAAGGCGGAGCTCGCTATTGTACATTATAAGAGAGACAGTATCAGTATGTCCCGCGAGGACACCGATCGGTTGGCTATCTCCCAGTTGGTAAACATATAACGAATAATCTAAGCCCGGTAGCACGAACTTGGTATCGTCTATCCAACATGCATCGGTCCCTAAACATTTGTCTGTATTATCTGTTGACAGGTCAGCAATATGCTGAATTGATTGTCCAGTTTGAGAGTCCCACACCACTGCTTTGTTAGTGATATCGAGGGTTAGTAGATATGCGGAATTAGGCGACCATCGTATTGTCAGCACTGGAGAACGATGTAGCGCCATAATAAATCTTATTGAACCATTGGAGTCCCACAGACGAAGCTCTCCATTTTCAGACGCAGTCATTAACGTATTGCCTTTGGGGCTCCAAGAGATAGAGACAGTTTCTTTGCAGGATGGTGGATGTGGAAGCGGTTGCGATTGTGGGATAAGAGCTTTACTAGAGTCATCCCAGGTGAGACTGCATATAATAGAGGTAGAATCTCGCTGTCCCCAAGCCAACATGTTCGGCTGTTGGGGATGCCAGCTGCTCGCCAGACTAGCTGGAAAAACAAAGCTGTTTTTCAGCACCACGGTGAAATCATTATCGTCCTCCATCCTCCCATTCTTCGCGATCAATGGAACTGGTTGTGAAGTATTATTAGCGATCGCTGAGGTAGGCTCAATTCTGCGTTCTTCAACTCCATCAGACGACTGGGATATTGAATTCAAAAGATTGAAATTCATGTTTATGATATCTTCAGAGGCAATCTCACCACCTTTTTGAATCATATCATTCACCTTGTAATACAAAATGCCCTTCTGAACGAGGTCCACCAAACACCCAAGTGGAATTCTATCGCCGTACCTATCGTCGTATTCGTTTATTTTGGTCTCATCTTGCAAAGCATACGCGCTCACTTCCAATCCACCCTCTTGAAGATACCTCCAAATGAGGTAATTCAATTCTGTTGCTGTAAGCGACATTGAACATATACCTGTACAAGTTCTGACAACGACAACAAAATTACCCACTAATTTTTTTTCCAAACTTTAATAAGCTGGCCTTGTTTCTATCTGGCAGAATAATTTATGGGTGATTTAATTTAGCACAATCGAAGCACAGCAAACGATCGTATCATGACATTGGTAAACACAGACTCCAATGTAATGGAAACAAAACTGGCTACATTCAAGACAGCTAAGTTCTACAAAATTCCACCGCCAGAGGTGATTCCAGACACTACATACACCGTGGATGAAAATAATGGTTCAAAAGGATACAAGGAGACCCAAATAATACGATACAGGTTTCAGCCGGAGAATTGGCGGTTGAAGCGCTCAAACTACCTGTTCAAAGGATCTATAGAGTTACACGAACTACAAAGCTTAGATGCGTTGGAGTCCAGTAAGGATCTCTCCTCGGAATTGAAATGTCGCCTGACTATTAATGCCCCTGGAATAGACCACTGGGGAACTGCCTATTACGAGAGAATTTACCACGATGGTCTCCCGGTAACTAATTACAAACAATCGAGTCCCTTCATGACAATTCAGAAGATAATACATCAGCACTACGTTGTGATACTAACAGAGGAGGACAAAAAGATAGCTATAGGGATGATCTTACTAGATTTCTTTGACGATTTACGACTTACATCGAACCTCAAGGATTTCGAGGAAAGGTTCAGAAAATTGCTTGCATTCAAAGACAACTTTGTCAACGAGTCTCCGAAGACAACAAAGGAGGAAAAATCAGAAGGATCACCCAATAAATTTAATATCGATGAGGATGACGAATTCGGGGATTTTGTGTCCAACTAACTAATTACGAAAATAATGAATACTAATGTTTCCTATCTACATCGTAATTACATATCTCTCTTCCACAACACTTCTTGTTTCAACTTGATCAACTTTGCGTTCTTTGTTCTGCTGTCCCATCTTCTCACCGCTTGTTCTAATTTCTTTTGATGTTTCGCAATGGTTTCTGGATTAGGAGTCGTGGAGATATTGATGAAATGGTCTGACACTTTAAACTTGGCTTTGATCTCGCGTCTTGGAATTCCTTTGTTTCTCATTTCCTGGATCTCCTGGATCTCTTTGTTGCTCAATGCGTAACTTTTCGGGGTGCTTGTCTTGAAAATTATTGGCATGTTGTCCAGATTGGAGCTTATGCGTGTTTTTTCCTCAGGATAGTACAGCTCTGAGCTCTTTCTTGGGTCAGTGTCAGGGAGGAAAGCCTTAGGCGTCACCTCCGGATCTAAAGCCGATGGTGCTGGATGGTAGAAAAGACCATCTGGAAGCTGTGGTTTGATATTGAAGGCGGATGATTTTGCGTTGTATTTGTTTGGAACATGAGTCAGCTTCGGAGGTATCGAGGAAGATTTGAACCTCGCCAACGGAAAACGCAAGCCTTTACAGCAGGCTCCCAATGAATGCATCGCTGATTTTTCACAATTTTCTTTTACTTTTTGAAACAAAACATCATGGTGCAAGGATGTGCACACTCACTAGTCAGCGGTTTTTGATGCCAAAATGTATCTGCAAATAAAAAAACCTCATTGGCTCTCTTGGTGAAAAAAAAAAATCAGATGGGTGGTGTACGGGGTCTGAATTAGTTTTTCCATCCAAACACAAACATCGTTTCTTCATCATGTATATCAGGGCCGCAAATAGAACCAGAATCTCACGCTCCATATTCTCGACCACGTTCTTAGTGGCCTTCAGCATCGTTGCTGCCAATAGCGTTGTGTCTTGCCCCGTGGACAGAAGCGTTAACAGTGAAAGCGAGGTTCCAGGCCATCTCAGAGAACAGATGCTCAAAAGAGAGAAAGAACTGAAACAATAAGGCAGCGATCAGACACCTGATTGTGTGCTATTTGTCATATCACAGATGAACAACACTAGTATATATCGACATTGGCGCAACGCCAATTACGGAGCGATGACAACGGTTTCTCATAGAAAGTGACCCAATACCACTGTTTCATTGCTATATGGTCATGAGTACCAAGCACCACAAACAGTCGGAACATGGACCTTCAACTTAACCGCTACATTCGGCAAGCGTCTTAACCTCTTGGAAGCTACGCTTTCACAAAGACGTATTTCTCATCAAATGGACAGATGTGGGTCTGATCCAAAGTATATATGGGTAGTTGCAATCCCTCGCAACTCAATTATGGACAATTTGTGTATAATCTGCGTACATAATTGCGATTGTATAGTAAGTCTATTACACGTTTATTGTCTTAGCTCTTACTGGCTATACAGAATTTCAGGTGTAAAGTTTTTTTTTTTTCTCTGAGACAACCATACTTATTTATTGATGGGCGACGAAGAAGCCCAATCGGACTACTCCCCGGAGGCTAACTTTAATGACCCGGAAACCTCTGAGGAAAAATCAAACCTGCATGATGGTTCCGATAGTGAGCACTTGAATTCGGGAACAGAGGTAGACAACGTTACCGAAGATGATGGAGCAACTGATCGAGGCAAAGCAGACAACGAGAACATGAACACTACAATACAGCAGGATGCCCCTGAAAAGCCTTCAGTAAGCTCACCCGAGGAAGATGAGTATAATCCGGAGTCGATATATGAAGAAGACGCAAAAGAGGATTCTACCACTACGTCCGAAATTAATCAAGAGGCCACCCAAAAATCAGTTCTTGAGCCAGTTGTAGTAGCAAAGATAAACGAAGACCCTCAACCAGAAGACAAAGCGAGTATTGAAGAGAAGAAAGATGATGAAGAAGAAGAAGAAGAAGAAGAAGAAGAAAAAGAGGAAGTAGAAGAAGAAGTGGAAACGAAGACGGAGAATTGGCCTGAAGATGCCAGACCCGATTCGCCGCCTACGTCGGCAAATGGCGAAGACATGGACGTCCAGCTATTTAACGACGTGATCAAATTTTTCCTGAACAGCTCCTTACTGAACGATGCTGAGTTCCAACAGTTGTCCCCTGCTGACAAAGAACTGAGATTACTTGACGAGTACAACAAAGCCAACAATACGCATGTAAATGTTCGAGTGAACTTCGGAGCAACAACGTCTTATAATAAGCCCCAGATGCGTCCTGGTGAGACATTCCAGGTATTGGTGCCTATCAATCCGTTTTGCCTAAGACCTGACATCACTCAGCCAATGTCCCCAGATGAGAGATCAAGTTACGAACAATATTTGCGCGACGAAGATACCGCCTTGAGCAGCGGCAAATGGGATAATTTTCCTATTGGTTCGCGACTGTTTATCGGAAACCTTGCTGTTAACACGTTAAGCAAAGAGGATGTTTACAGGATTTTCCACCCATATGGAGAAGTGAAACAAGTCAATCTTAAACAAGGTTTTGGCTTTGTACAATATGCCAAGGCGGAAGAGTGTTCGCGGGCCATCGAAGGAGAAAAAAATGTTCCGCTTCATAACAGGTTTATGCACTTGCAGGTTTCGAAGCATCAGGTCCAGAGAGCCATGGAGCAGCAAGGAAAAAATACCGGCTCATCAAAGAACAACAGAGGGAGATCGAGATCTCCGGATGGTGGTCACAATAAAAATCGGTCTAGGTCTCCGATCAACGAAACGGAAGTCAAGGTCATTACTTCGAACGATTCGACGCCAGAGTTCAATAACAGATTACTGAAAAGACTCAAACAGGATGGATTGTTTTTAGAAACTGAACATTTTGATTTGCCTGTGTCGGAAGTTCCCCAAGAAGCAAGTACGTCTGCCGCTTATAGGGGCGTCCTGGCTGTTGTGATTCCTCACCATGATAAGCTAGACATGATGATTTACGAGAAAACTTCCGATGGTGGCATTAGATTCGATGAGTACTCCGAAATCTCCATCAATGAGGCCATCGAACTAATTTTAAGTGCAAAAGCGAAGCGTTTTGCTTCTACCTCGCGGGAGCATCAATCGAGAGGCCGCTCCAGACAAAACAACGGTGGCCAAAATCGCCAGTCAAAAACTAGCAACCAAGCTCTGTACAGCTCGCGCAACGGTAAACAACAACAACAGAACTCTGGATCTGGAAGGTACGGCAACTCCAGATACAACCATCAGTATCCTACTGCTTATGCCACTGGAAGCAACGCACAACCTTTTGTGCCCCGTCCAGGGTATGGCACGCCTACTCCGCCGCCCGCACCGTATGGCATACCAAGTAACGTGGGGTTTGCTCCTTCCTATCCAGGTTATCAGCAGCAATTGTATCAGCCGATGGGTATGCCTCAAGTTTCTCCACCTCAACCACAGGGAAATCAGGCGCAACTACTACAAACCATGCAAAGCATGGACCCTGCAACCTTGCAAAATGTCTTGTCCTTGATGCAGCAAATGCAAACTCAACAACCTGGAAGTAACCAACAAACCTCGATGCCGCAAGGAAACGCCTTATCCGGCCTCTTGAATCAGTTGCAAAACTCTGCACCGGGTAACGCCCCACCTGCACCATCATACTCTAGTTCGCTGAATCAGCCTTCTCAGCCTAGTAATTCCAGCACTTCCGGCAGTTCGAGCAACAATAGTCAGGATCAGACTAACGACTTGTTTGAAACCTTGGCCAGACTTAAGAATAATATGTGACGCCTTGATATCTGCATATTTCTTCAATTGTTATACTTTCACGGTTGTAGGATTACAGTTATTTGCTAAAATATCAGGACACCTCCCTTGACACGAGAATCGTAGACGAACTCTGGATTAATTCTAGCATGCCACCATAATCAGATCAAAAGTCGATCGACGGCAAAATCGACGTCACCGAAGATCTTGATATTATTTTTTTGGATCTGTATTTTGCGGGAACGCTCTGTTTACAAACATTAATTTGCCGTGGTTTTTTTGTTGGAGTTCACGATCTGTGCCTGCTGGTAGGTAGCAAATCGTTTTGATAATAGCAGAAGTACGTCTATTTCAAAAGAATTAGCGATATCGTTGCCACTTGCTTAGTCATACAAGAAGACAGAGATAATGAGTGTTGCGGATCAAACAATACGACAACTTCGAGCCAATATATTGTACTCGCTAGACTATGACCTTCTATCAACTGCTGAATTCACATCTGAACGGCTAATAGCTCAAAATCCAAATAATCTAGACAGCATTCATTTGTATGCGCTGGTGCTGTACAAACGCAAACGCTACAAAACGGCCTACAATCTGACAGCCAGCTATAGTGTACAGCATGTTGGCTGCTCATATATATTTGCCAAATCGTGCCTGGACCTCAAATGCGAATCCGATGGCATATCAGCGCTGACGAGGACCTTGCCCCTCTGGTCTCAGCTTAGTCGAGCGGACGATGCTGATTCAAGATACATGCCAGACAACGTTGCCTGCTACATTCTTTTAGCCAAGCTTTATGCATCTGTTGGAGACGTGAGACGTAGTGCACTGAACTATTCCCAGGTCCTCAATATCAATCCCTACATGTTCGAAGCGTTTGAAGAATTGTGCAAGATGGGCGTGAAAGTTAAAGTGAACTCCATTTACAAAGTGAACACCATTGATGAAATCTCAGGATCTTTGTTCAAAAATGTACAGCCCACTTCTGCAGATGAGAAAAAGGGAGGCTTTGGTTTCTCTGATCAAAAATCCGACAGCAGACATTTTTTCAAAACCCCAGCACATTCAAGCACTGGGCCAGCAAACGGTGGAAGTGTTGCTCAGACACCAGAGCAACAAAGTCACACTATATTGGCTACTCCCAGGGTAAAACAACTGCAAATGCCAGACGCACCAAATCGAAAAGCCGCAAAGAGCTCGAGTTTTGATGGATTTAAACATCCATCAGCCCCAACGGATTCCATACGCCGCAAGACTTCGAGAAATTCAACTTCTATCACCTCAAGGCTTTTAGGACATCCATTGAACACACTCACAGATTCGAACTTCACCGCGACAAGTGGAGTACCGGGGGCTTCTTCAGCAGGATCACAGAATTCCAAACGTGAGGGAGCCGGAATGAAGCGTGTCATCGGTTCGACGTTCTCAAATTCTGGTATGGTAGGAAACGAGTCAAGACCAGAGATTTTTCAAAGATCAAATGACCAACATCTTCTTGGAATTTACGCTAAGCTTGCAAAAGGTTTCAAAGCAATGTGCTTTTATGATTGTTTTAAGGCAATCAGAATATTCGACTCGCTTCCAGAAAATGAACGGAATACTCCCTGGGTTCTAGGAAAACTAGGACGTTTACATTTTGAGATTGTGAATTACGAGGAAGCCGAGAATTATTTCATCAAATTGCGCCAGCTTGACAGAACGCGGATCGAAGAAATGGAGTATTACTCTACATTATTATGGCATTTACATAAGGAAATGGATTTAAGTTTCCTATCGCACGAACTCCATGAAATTTCCAAAGACTCACCCGAGGCCTGGATTGCCGTGGGAAATTTGTTTTCACTGAACCGTGAACCGGATGAAGCAATAAAATGTTTCCAGAAAGCTAATCAGGTGGACAAGAATTTCGCATACTCTTATACTCTACAAGGCCATGAATATTTGTCGAATGATGCATTTGAGAATGCATTGGAATGTTTTAGACACGCGATTCTCCTCGACAAACGACATTATAATGCATTCTATGGAATTGGAATGGTTTATTTGAAACTAGGTGATTTCCGAAAAGCAGAGTTTCATTTCCGGAAAGCAGTTGAAATAAATCCGGTGAATGTAATTCTCATATGTTGTGTGGGAATGGTTCTCGAAAAATTGGGCAAGAAAGAGCAAGCTTTAAGACAATATATCTTTGCATCTCGTCTGCAGCCTTTGTCGATGCTGGCATTGTTCAAAAAGGCTCAAGCATTGATTTCACTGAAAAGATACGATCTGGCTCTCAAGGATTTTGAAAAGCTTGAGAATTTGGCTCCAGATGAGGCTTCCGTCCATTTCTTGCTCGGAAAACTCTACAGGATCTACGGACGGAAAAATGATGCTATTAAGCAATTCACTATAGCTTTGAACCTGGATCCTAAGGGCTCACATTTAATTAAAGAAGCTCTAGAAAGCTTAGAAGACGAGGAAGATGTTGACACTACGGGCCATGATTCCTAAAAGCATGGGATTAGCTTAGTTATTGTAACATGAAATTGTAATTGCCTAGCTCGATCAATGAGTCGCACCCAAGAAAAGAGTAGCAGACAAGCAGATTGTCATCACGATGAAGCCCCATATAAGCAACAACAATCCAGCGTATTTTAGAATCCATTCCTTGGTAGAAAGTGATGCGCTACCATCTCCTATCAATTTGTATGCAAAAAATCCTGGCAGGATAAATGAGATGGATGTCGAACCTGTAGAACCCACAATTGCTAGCACATGAGCAAGCGACTTCACTGTGATGGCAACAATGTAGGATGACACGACGATAATAGTTGTGATCACCACTAGTTTTGTGTTTGTAAGTTCCACATAATGGACACCTTCATTTTCCTCGTCGTCGGCAAAAGAATCATCGAAAAGAGTAGTCCCATTAAGAGGTGGAGCCTGAGATATCAAAATTCGACGCTCTTCAGTGGTCATGAGCGTCGAGCTAGTTGTTGATCTTGAGAGAGATCGTATGGAATCTGCTAGATTTGACTCATTAATGTAATACGCGACGTGATTTATAGATGCCCTAGCCGGATTTGATTGCAAGGGGTAGCTTAGAGTGACCAGAATCACAATGGCAATCCTTCCAATTGTTGATGAAATTGAATTTGGGTACATGGCAATAATATTCCCAGAGACGGTGTCGCCAAAAGTAAGATAACCAGAAAGACCAACAATGATGTAGAGAGCACAAGCTGACCCAATTGAAATAACATTCATTTTCGTGACACTTGCCAACGATCTGTCGTGAAGCTCGTTAATAATCCCTAGTTGATTTTGATGGCAGGTAAACCCAAACACAAGGATCGGAAATGAAGACAGAACCGCAACCACTGAGTTTGGCTTCAGCAAATGAACAGGTCCTTTGACAATATCTTCCTTTCCTCCACTCCATAGGTGCAAAAAATGGACCACGATTAATATCACCAAGTACCCCACTGAAGAAAGAGCAACAAGCGATGCGGTCTTGAGGGAATCCAATTTTCTTTTGTAGACAAGCGGTAATATGGTGGCCAGAAATAGGGTGATCCACAATGTTCGGCTTATTAGCCACGGGTGATTTTGAAGTGTACGGTCAGGGCAAATCGAGTCTACGATTTGAGGCATGAGATCCCCTACCACAATCAAATAGGAGCATGCTACACCAAAACATTTGATGGCAATCGCAAGGTCGAAAACAATCCCAAGCTGGGGAACCGTTAGCTTCGACAAAGAGAAAAATGAAGCATGCCCTGGAATCGTATATGAAGCTGATATCGCCAATAGGTATAAACCAAGACCAGAGGTGAACGCTGAAAACAAAACGAACAATATTCCCAATAAAACACCATCGCATTTGATGGCATAGGGCACACTAAGAAGACCAGCTCCCAAGATAGTGTTCATGAGGTTAATGATACCGGAACGCATTGTAGCACTTCCGTGTGAGTGATTCACCTGAGCCATAATTTAAATAGATAATTTTGATAAGATTTTTTATATGTATATACAATGTTTAATATCCTCTTCTAACAGCGTTCCGCACCACACCCAGTAATTTTCTGATACCGGCATCGAAGCGTGTTTTCTTAGTTTTGATTCTTTGTTGTAATTTTCTCTTACTTGGTTTCAAGTAGAATTTCTGTTCGTAGTATGTGCTTCTGAGCTTTGTAGACTGAGCCATCATTTCCAATCGTTTGATGCTTCTCATGAGATCTCCTTTCTTGACCAGAATAGAGCGTCCTGCGTGGGCTCCATCGAGAGGAAGCTTCGTAGCATATTCAAGGCAGTTTGGCTCTTTAAAAGCTGCGCTCACGGAAAAACTGCTCTCTCCCAAAAACGATGTCTTGGTGCTAGAGCCGGCTTGTTCTTTTTTATTGATTCCGCTTAGTATCGACAAAAGATCTGTTTTCGAATCCGAGGAGTTATATCTGAGCGAGCAGGGTGCTCTGTCAAGTATTTTAGGCCGCAAAATGCTGAACATCGTTGCAAAAGGATTGGTAGTTTTTTTTTTATACCTCTGTGGATGGTAGTGCGAGCAAGAAGAAATATAGCAAAAAAATATTTCAGTCTCATATTTTAGACAGTCATGAGTACAGAGCCAAATAATTTAGCCGAACAAATCGAAAAGGTGGCTCTTGAGGAAACTGCGGAGGAAACCTCCGTCAATGAGGCAACCGCAGAGGGCAACAACGGGGAAAAGAAAAAGAAAAAGAAGAAGAAGAATAACAAGAAAAAGAAGGGCGGTATCAATCAGTTCTTCCCCGACGGTGTGTTCCCTGAAGGAGAATGGCAGGAGTATACCGGAAGCGAAGAGAATTTGAAGAGAGTAACTGACGAGGAGAAAAGATATTTAGATCGTCAGGCTAACAACAAATGGAATGAGTTTAGAAAAGGAGCAGAGATTCATAGACGAGTGAGACAAACTGCCCAAAAGAACATCAAACCTGGAATGACAATGACTGAAGTTGCAGAGTCAATTGAGAATAGTGTCAGAGCCTACAGCGGTACAGACGATAGTTTAAAAGGTGGTATGGGATTTCCTTGCGGTGTGTCTCTCAACCATTGTGCGGCTCATTATACACCGAATGCTGGAGACAAAGTTGTTCTTCAATACGACGACGTGATGAAGGTTGATTTTGGTGTTCATGTTAACGGACATATCATTGATTGTGCTTGGACTCAGACTTTCAACGAGAGATACGATCCTCTGCTGAATGCAGTGAAGGAGGCCACAAACACCGGCATTAAGACCGCCGGAATCGATGTGAGAATGACAGATGTTGGTGAAGCCGTTGAAGAAGTGATGGAAAGCTACGAGGTTGAACTTGACGGCAAAGTTTATCCTGTTAAGTGCATACGGAATTTACAAGGACACAACATTAAACCGTACCAAATCCATGGTGGAAAGTCTGTACCAATTGTGAAAAACGGTGACACAACTAAGATGGAAGAAGGAGAGACATTTGCCATTGAGACATTCGGATCAACAGGTAAAGGCTATGTTGTTCATGGTGGTGAGTGTTCGCACTATATGAAAAACCTGGATGCACCTCCTAATGCGCCTATTAGACTCGATAGGGCCAAGAAGTTGATGCAGACGATAGACAAAAACTTCGGCTCTTTGCCATTTTGTCGCAGATATCTTGATCGGATCGGCGAAGAGAAATATTTATTAGCATTGAACCAATTGTGCAGAGCAGGACTGATCACAGAGCATCCTCCACTTGTTGACGTCAAAGGTTGTTATACGGCACAATACGAGCATACAATTCTGCTGCATCCAACTAGAAAAGAAGTTGTTTCGAGAGGCGATGACTATTAAAGCTCGTCTTTGAGCATAGATGGGATAGTTGATGTTGCAGTTTCCAGTAGGACTGATTTGCCCGGATCCAAGGCCGTGGCACTGACTGCCATTATCGTGTCGCTCATAGACGCTGTCAGTTCCACAGCTGAATTTCTTGTTTTGAGTGAAGAGGCTCCCCAGACCATTACAGTCAAGGACTTGTATAGTAGCCAGATGAACAATCTGATAGGTTTTCGAAAGATTCTCTTGTATAGTATCCAAATGCAGACTGTACAGAAGAAATACAAGGAGCTGTAAATCTGCTTTCTCTCTCTAGAACTTGACTCATTTATAGTCCTCACCAGTTTGTTTGATCTAACAAGAACATCTGTGAAATAACTGTACTTATTTGATAAGTTTGTGAGGGAATTTGTTGAATGCGCAAGATCTGATATATTCATTTCGCTTGCCAAAAGCGATGACTGTAGCAATTCATTTACACTTTGCAGTTTCCTCGTGAGAAGCGAGTTTTTGTTCAGCAGCTGCTCTTCCTTTGTAAGTTTTTTAAGATTATGATCATCGAGGATCGGCTCATCTGTAAGCTCATCAGTTTGCTCTTCTTCCTCTTGCGCTGTCCAAGATTTTGAGGACAGCAATAATTCTCTGAAGTCCACTCTCACATCGAAAAAACGCTCTTTGAGTAGTGCAAACTGGTATTCCATGTCCTCCTGCGTATCTCCAGATACGCAATCAAGTTTCGCTGTTATAATGTTTGCGAGTTCTTCAAGTTTTTCGTAGAGGTCTGTGCTCTGGGCCTGAGTATTCAGACGGATGAGCTCAAAGTCAATGTCAGTTTTGTTCTTTGAATGCTTAAACTCATATAAAGCAACCTGAAGGTCATTGAGCAAATGCTGGAAGTCTTGAAGATCACGATTGAGGTCCAAATCCATGCTCAGAACAAAGATCAAAGAATTTCGGGTACCAAAAAGATGTAAGGATGTCAATGATTTCGAAAAATAAATACCGGTGGCGAACAAAAAAAGGATCCTAAAGATATGATTATCGATACATTGTCGTCTGGAGTTCGCAGAATTCCGGATTTTGAGGTTGCACAAAACGTTTATCTTCTTCAGCAGGGCTTTGGGAATGATGAGCTTGTGTACCGAATCCTTGAACAGATCAAGGAACAACAGATGGCACCCTACTATGACTACATAACTAATGAATTGAAAATACCAGGACTCAAGTTTGACAAAGGACTATATGATAAATTGGCTCAGCAGAACACCGAGAAAATTGCTGAGTTAAAGAAACAGCTAGAGAAGCTTGCAGAGGATGATGAAGGAGAATTGGAGATATTGAAAGTTTGGACAGACCTTCTAGAGTATTATGCCGCGATTGGCGACAAAACCAATGCGTTGGCTACCTACCAAAAAACTTTTGAGCTGGCACCGTCCACAGGCTCGAAAATTGATCTGGTGTTAACCATTGCAAGAATCGGATTCTTTCTCGATGATAAATTGTTCACTAAGAAATACCTTGATGAAGCGAACATTTTAATTGAGAAAGGTGGAGATTGGGAGAGGCGAAACCGGTACAAGACGTATCTCGGAATTTACCTGATGTCCACTAGAAAATTTGAGGAAGCATCTAAACTTTTGATTGATTCACTGGCTACCTTCACATCGACTGAGATATCAACATATGAGCAGGTGGCTCAATACTCACTGATTTGCGGTGCCATTTCACTAGAAAGACCCGATTTGCGTAAGAAACTGATCGAGTCTCCAGAGATTCTAACTATTGGCTCTGATTCACCTGAGCTAGTCTCAATCTACAATCTGATCAAGTCGCTGTATTACTGTGAGTATCAAGATTTCTTTCCAAATTTGATTAAGACCCATGACGAGATTTTGGTTAAAAACAAATTCTTGCGTCCTCACACCAACTTCTACATGAGAGAAATCAGATGTAAGGCATATTCTCAATTGCTAGAGAGCTACAAATCTTTATCCCTCAAGTCGATGGCCGAGAGTTTTGGGGTCTCCGAGGACTTTTTGGATCAAGATCTTTGCAAATTCATTCCGAATAAAAAAATCAATTGCATCATAGACAAAGTGAATGGAATCGTCGAAACGAATAGGCCTGACAACAAAAACAACCAATATCATGCTCTCATCAAAAATGGAGATTCATTGTTGACGAAACTCCAAAAATACGGTGCAGCGGTGCGTTTGAGTGGTGCAGAAAAGGTGTAGTAGAATTACTGATAACACAATAATAAAAATGCGGTATAAATAAAACGTACACTCTATCATCTTGATCTTTGAGCCAATCTTTTTGAGCTTGGTGGTCCATCTTCGGTGCCTAAAACTCTGTTGTCGCTAATTTTGCCCAAATTTTTAGGCCTCCTAGAATTAGCCTTGGTCTGTTTCTTCGCAGGTTCCGGTTGCGACTCAGACTTTGGGCCTGATTGATAGTCTTCGTTACGATCATTTGAGTTGTGACTTCTTTCTGACGTAAAGGAGGTATCTTCGGGTTTTTCGTAGGCCGAAAGTGGCTTTCCCTCAGACTCTTCCTTTTTTGAAACAGGCTCATCAAACACCTTTACATGCTCGTCGACGGCATTTGTTTCCTCTTCTTTCACAACTAGTCTGCCCTTTGTATCACTTGTAGCGTCCACCTCCTCCAACTTGTCATTGAAGTGACTTTTTTCTTTGTTCACCTCCACCGATCCGGCGCCTTCATTATCCAGTTTCGATAGCTCCCTTGAAATGGCCTTGATCGCCTCGCGATCCTCTATCTCTTGTTCTTCTTTTGTCGGACTGATAATCTCTTGTGGAACTATATCTCCTGGTTGATTGCTTGCGAGAACGAATTCAGAGTCCGGTTCGGTATCTGGGTTGTTGCCACGGCCCAGGGCCTTTCCGATCTCTGAACCAGTCAAATGCTTGATCTGATGGGTTCCAACGTTCGGTTGTGTAGGAATCATGAACATGACGCCCAAGACGATCAGACAGGCTAGAGTAAGGAGTAAAACCTTAGTTTTTGAGTGACTAAAGAGTGAACTCATCTTTGAAACGAAACTTGAGATTACCCCGGCTATTAGTCTAATTTGAGAAAATACGTGTTCTGCCAAATTTTATTTTCCGGGCAGCTTGGTTGCAACCGGAATTTACAAAATTGTTGATGCTGGTTTCCAAACTTGGACAGAATTGTCATCGGAACAACTCACTAGCGTCCTGGAGTCGTGCAGGTTCCAATCAATATCATTAACGCCAAGCATGTGCCCCCCATGAACGAAACGCAATTCGTCACCTGGGTCACAAGACCAGTCCCATAGTTTGACAGTTCCGTCCGATGATCCCGTTGCAAGTAGTGAGCCACGCTCCGGGTTCCAAGACGCACAAGTGAGCGCTCCATTGTGCGACTGGTTGACAATCCTCACTGGCTCCTCAATGTGACGTAGATCGTGGAGAGAGATGTTTCCTGTTTCCGTGCCTATGACACATCCAAACTCATTGACACGACTGAACGATACCACGTTGATTGGCGACTCGGACAACTGGTCCTCTTTGACGCTACTCATGCGAGCCCTGCTATCAAAGATCTTCAACTTCTTATCGTCCCCCACCGTTCCTATAAGATTTTGGTGAAAATAGAGATACTCTAAACAATTGACTCCGTAATCATGGGCAGCAGCCGTTTCCATCGGCTGAAGGATTGAAGTCTTGTATTTGCGTTTTTGAAACTCGAGTCCAGTGGCAGTCGTCTGGGCTGGTTTTTTATCACTAGTGTTTTTCTTGAACTTGGTCAGGTCCCATAAAGCGATCGTCCCGTCTGAAGAGGCAGAAGCCAATTCTCCTTCTTTATATCTATTCCAATCAAGACCCCAGCCCTCACTTTGGTGGAAATCCAGCTTGATATCAGACAAGTCAGCGCTGTCATCGATTTCGTCCTCCGTATAGTTATTGGGCTTCTTGGTGCGATCAAACACATATAAATGTCCCCTGTTAGTGACAGTCGCTATCAAGTCTGGATTCTGCGGCATGTAGCGTGCCCTATTAATATCCCCTCTGTGAGGTATCTTTTGTATCAGCGACATTTTAGTGTCATGCCAGTCATTGCGCTTGACAATAAACTCATTTTTCAGTGGATCATAGTCTGAGGCGATGTCTACAAGCTTGGCTGTCTTCCTGAGTGTTTTCAGTCCGTACAAGTTGAGACTTTCGCATTTACTGAAACCGCTCGAATGCGATCCAAGTAACAGTCGGTGCTGCTGGTATTCTGTATCGGCTATCTCCTCTAAATCGGGAAACCATTGGACTGTAAGACTGGGCCACAACAGAGAGGTGGTCTGAATATAGTCATACAGTAGTGGCGCATTCTTTTTCCATATGAAGTACTTTTCGCGTCTCTCTTCACCTATAGGGTCACTGTCAGACATGTTCACTTGCTTGGACGAGCCCTGCGAAGACTCATTCCAGACAAAGCTAGCTTGGGCCATATTTAATTTTTCAGAACGCGCCTGTATTTTTATCGCGTTGTTGGTGCACGGGCGCGACAGGAATAGTATGGATACCAAGATTGAAGACGAACTACTGGGATGTCGTGAGAGATTCTACGAAACATTCATCAAAGACTCTGCTAACATGAGTTTAAAGGACTTAGATATCTGGCGGACGGAGACTATGCCAGATATACTTGAAACACGATTCACAAAAAAACGTCAAATGTGGCTCGAAAAGGCTGAACTACAGAGGCTCATGGAGTGGAAACTGACCAGGGGAAAGTTTCGTCCCACATTACCTAAACTGATTCAAAGTAATGATCCTGTCAGAGTTCGAGAATATACCGAGCAGGCATTTGGCGTGTTAATTGATTACTGCGACGCGAGCAAAGATAACGACAACGAATTCACTGCTGCAGTAAAAAAGTCAATGGAGCTTGCTTGCCAACTTAGGGGCGTGGGACCAGCCACATCCACGTTGATCCTGTCACTAGCAGGTCCGACTTTGAGGAAAACTCTTAATAATAATTTACGGGACATCCCGTTTTTCTCAGATGAGGTGTTCGAGATCCTCAATCCTGGATATGGCAAAATCAGGTACTCTACAAAAGAATACCTTGAGCTTGTCCTGCCCAAGTTACTGTTGTTCAAAAACAGGGAACTTCAGAAAATTGAAGAATCTCTATGGTGTCTCCACAGAGCGGACAAGATGTATGGAAAACTAGATGGCGCTCTGGCCAATATATTGACCTCGGTTCATGAGTTAACACGAGACCACCAACTAGTGGCCGCACGCCCATCAAAACGCCGCAAAAAATAGCTAGATAATCTTGCCAAACTCACTATAAATCGTTTTCCTCGTTCTCCTTGAGCACCGTTGCCCATGTACTTTTTTAGGCTGCTGCAGCCCCTGAGAATTTTTTGGGGACCTTGAAAATAAATATTGGATCAAAAAAAATAAACACGCTCATTATTAGACCACGATGGGAAGATCAAATCCGGTGTCATTATTCAACCCATTCGCTCTCAGCACCTTTGGATTTTCCTCCATAGGATGGATCATCACTTTTGCAGGATGCATTGCTACAAACACCCAAAATAGCGGTTTCCCAAAGTTCGCATGGTGGGCAGTCGTTTTCCAACTGTTGCTCTTGATCGTTATTGTTGTTCTGTACATTACAAACACCTTCCATTATCATAGATTTTTCCTGACCTGTGCCATCGGTGTCGCATTCGTGTACAACTCCAACGCGACCAACAACTTGGTTTACGACACGAACTCAGCCCCAGCAGCTGCCAGCGCCGGCTTCATCATCCAGTGTATTGTCAATATACTGTGGCTATTTTATTTCGGATCCGAACCTAGTTCACCTATTATCTCCTATATCGATTCATTCGGAAGCAGCGAAAACGTGATGTTGTCTTCCAAACGGTCGAAATCCAACAGAAATACCGCCGGGCAGTCTCAGATTCCGCTTGACGAACCATACAAGGACGAGACTATGGGATATGCTGAGAGAAACTCCGTTTCCAACGATAACTCGGGCTTACATGAAAATCCTTTTAATACTCAAAGCTATACTGCACAACTCAATGGACTAGAAAACGCTTCCACTACGAATAGGGCTTCCGCCTTGCCGGAAGATGATTATCCTATCACTGTTAGAGGATTGTTTGATTATGATGCAAGCCCTGACGATATCAACGAACTGTCGTTTAAAAAAGGCGATATTTTCCGTGTCAAAGACACCGTTGGAAACTGGTGGCAAGGTAAGAACTCGAAAGGTGAAATCGGTATGTGTCCAAGCAACTATCTCGAAGTTATTGGGTAATCTCTATATTCTGTATAGTCGTATAATAATCGTGTTTAGTATTTTGGACGATCGACGCGCGTCACGAACCTAGATCCATTCAAAGGGTCGAATTTTTTCTTGTTTACAATTTAAAACAAAATAAGGTCTAGTGCTTCCAGACTTTAATACATCAGGCTAATAGACAAACGCGGCACATTGCCGTTATCCAGATTTCATTCCTTGTCAAGCTGAAGTTTCATTCTTTGGTTGTCACTCAGTTAGAAAATATTGCGCTCGATATTAATTTACATCCACGCTTACAACTACACACCGCCTAAACAGCGATATCCCTTTCTTCTGTTTTCGGCTCAAATTTTGACTCTAAAGCTGTACTGTTTGTTTATGGTGCCTGACCCTGGACTGATTCGCAAAAGTATACAACAATGGCCGAGTTGCATCGAAAAATAAGCAATCTCTCATCGCCGTCCTCAATAAACAGACTTACGCCGTCGAACTCTTCAAATATAACAACTATTCCACCCACATCGCGAGGACACTTAAACAGCCAACTTTTCACGCATAGCGCTGAGGAACAGAAACTCTTATATGATAGTCATGCGTTTGTGGATGAAGATGACTCTGATGACGGAATAAATGAGCATCCGCCTGTGCTCAGTTCATACGCGATGTCACTGCTCGAACAGATCACAAACAAGAGCCACACGATAGAACAAAGGCGCGACTTTGTCGACTACAAAACCGTTTTTGATGAACAGCAGAATCAGACAAATGAATCTGCAAGTGAACTACTGCAGCCTGAGACAAGCAGACCTTCCAGTCGTCGATTTAGTTCTTTCAACTCAAATGCAAGCCAGCAGCCTTATTCTCTTCTTAATTCGAAGCGCCTTGGGATGGGAATGAATAACGTTGACCCTAGCGCTACCAAATCTCGCCAGTCTCTGAGATCGGCACGATCGCTGTCTAAATTTGGACTTGGAGCTCCTAAACGCCTTTCCGAAACTGAGCTCAATGGGCTAGCTCAAACGTCATATCAGCAAAGCATGTCACCAACGTTGAATGCTGCAATACACAATGACGAGGCCAAACACACGATAACTACTAATATGTTTACTACCTCCATGAAGACCAATACTGCTCCCACATATTACGATCCGGAACAGAATGAAGAGAACTTGGTGATAGGAAGCAAACACACCTACGTTCAAACGCCTAAACAAGAGAGAATCAGACCCGTTTCATCATGTTCTCCGAGGATAAAAAGGAACAATCTCAGTGAGACTCCTTACAGATCCACTCTGCAGATGAATCATGCGACCAAAATGACAAATAATCAACACATTGGTGTCGATCAACGTACACCTACCAAATCGCCTCCTATAGATCATTATGCAACTCCGGAGCAGGCTCGAAAGGTGTTGACTCCGCTTTCACAGTCTCGCTGGAATCAAGAAAAGAACGGTGTTTTCAATTTGCATGAAATGAAGGAAAGACTTACTCCACCAAAGAAATCGTTTGAAAACAGTAATACAATGGATGATCCGATGAGGGTATCTCGAAGCAGCATTTCCGATGAACACAAAGAACTGTCCGCTTCAAGAAGAACATGGGGGACAGGTCCAAGTCGGAGTACAAATCACCAAAATCATGCATATGACATCGAGAAAGCAAGCAATATCCTCACAATCAATAAACAAGATTTCGAGTGTTTGGAACAAATCGGTAAGGGAGGTTCCTCAAGAGTTTACAAGGCCCGTGCTGTCAATGGTAAAAGAGACTATGCGATCAAAGTTGTCACGTTTGACCAATTTGATGAGGGTGCCATTGCAAGTTTCAAGGGAGAAATTGAGATTTTGAAGAAGCTTAGGGATCAAGAACGAGTCGTCAAACTAATAGATCACAGTCTGAAGGATGGTTCACTCATGCTTGTGATGGAATGTGGTGATATAGATCTTGCCCATGTTCTTGCAAATCGTTCTAATACCCCTTTTGATCCAAGTTTTACGAGGTATCATGCTGTTGAGATGATAAAGTGTGTGAAAGCAGTTCACGACGCGGGAATCGTTCATTCCGATCTAAAACCTGCGAATTTCTTATTTGTCAAGGGGACATTGAAACTTATTGACTTTGGAATCTCCAACTCGCTCTCCGATCATACGGTCAATATATATCGTGAATGCCAAATAGGCACTCCGAATTATATGGCCCCTGAGACTCTTATCGAGGTCAATAATACTCTGAAAGGAGATGGCCTAAATGGAACCTGGAAGGTCGGAAAGCCTGCTGATATATGGTCATGTGGGTGTATTATCTACCAAATGGTCTACGGAAAGCCACCGTATGCGAATTATACTGGCAACAAACGAATCTTGGCAATTACAAATCCCAAAGTTGAGATACAGTATCCGCGAGTTACCGCAGATGGAACAAGGGTTAATGGGCTGGTGATTGATACAATTCAGCGATGTTTAAAAAGAAATCCGTCTTTGAGATCCAATGCAGATCAATTACTGGAAACGGACTTTCTCAAACCCAAGGTGGTGACCCATAAGTTCATTAATGATCTAGTTCGCAATGCAGTCAAGTATGGGAGCACGCATCCGAATGTTTCTGAGCACAAGCTTGATATCCTTGTTGAGGATGTATGGAAAAAAGTTAACGAGTATAGTTGATTGTATAATATGACTACGGCATCACTAAATTTTCTTTCATGAAATAATTTACAACATACCCTTTATCTTGGGCCCAGTTTCTCCAAAACTCTTGGACCTTGTTCTTCCCACTCCTGTTTGCTGATCCACATGTGGTCTTTGTCTGCCATGATGTTTGCCAAGACGGCACCACCAATAAAGACCATGTGTTTCCTTCTCGGTGGATCCTCAATTCTGACTTTGAACTTGTCGAGTCTGGAAGCATCACCTTTCAAAACCTTCGTAAACCATTGTTGTTTCAGTTCTTTCTCGAGTCTTGAAGGTAGACCGGGATACATCGATGACCCTCCACTGAGGACGATAGATTTGAAAAGCGTTGATCTAATGTCAACATCACAAGACTGAATTGTGTTGAACAAACATTCTCCAACACCAGGTTGTTCTATATCTGTCAAAGATGGTTGGAACAAACACTCCGGAGCCTCAAATCTCTCGGAGCCAATCTTGATCACTCTTCCATCTGGTAGTTCAAAATTCTCCACCAAAACTGTGGTTTCATTGGCTAGTTTTGTATCGAAATCCAGATCGTACGAGACATAGCAGAGCTTCTCCTTGATCTGTCTAACGGTTTCAAAGTCTGCCGTTCGGTTAAAGGCGTATCCCCTTCTAAGCAGTAGGTTAATGAGGTTTCTGGTGACATCTCTACCGGCAACGTCTAGCCTTCTAGTTAGATGGTTCAAAACAACTGACTCGTACACGGGAACAATGTGTGTGACACCATCGCCCGAGTCGACCACAACTCCGGAAGAGAGACCCTGAGCATATAAAGCAAGAACCGCTTGGATAGCAACGTAGACTCCGCCAAAATTGTATTTCTCAAACATAACATCGCACATAGTTTCCCTGTTCTTGAGTGGGTTCATGGGTGGCTCGGTCAATAGCACTTTTTGTCCTGTAGTGTCAATCTTCATTCGTTCATAAAATGCATAATCCCATAGGTGTTCCATGTCTTCCCAATTTTTGATGATTCCGTTCTCCATTGGGTAAGATATTTGCAGAGCAGATCTCACAGCAGACGCTTCGTCTCCGCACATGATATCCTTGATTTCAATATCTCCCGTGCGCTCCTCAGCCCTTAAAATTGGTCTTCCAACTATCGAAGGAAAGGTATGGTCTGGAAAGTTCTTTCCAGCCCTTCCAATCTTAACAAAACCGGTACCCTGGTCGAGAACGATTGGCTGATCCATAGTCATTTACTGGCAATTCTTTTTGGGCAATGCCTAGCTCTGAATCCTCCAATTCTTACAACACACAAATTAAAAGACCAGACTTTTTGAGTACCGATATTTTTGTGTCATACACACGACCTCTATATATTAACCTAGCCGAGCATTGATCTCTTTCGTCCTCTAAGTCTAACATCCTCAAGACGTTTACTTACCTCGGTGTATTTGCGTTTGTTGTTTGTTTTGTTGCAGTATGTTTCTTCGTAACCTTGAAGCAGCCATTCGTTGTACGTTTTTGAATAAACTGGATGAGTGGAAGTTAGTGCCCGTTCTAGGACGTAAAGATCCACAGCCTTGTCTTCTGCCAAAGACGAATACGCAGAGAGCCCAAAATCTATGAGTGTAGGTTGCAATTTTTCCATCTTCTGCTCAAGCAGTATGTTGGAGCTCGTGAGGTCTCCGTGAACTATGTTTTGCAAATGAAGCTTTGCTATGGCTTGTCCAACTAGAATCAGGACTTGCTTAACAGAGTCTGCCAAAGCAATAGTGGCAGTAGAGTCATCCTCCTGTCGTTTCTCCAGATACCACAACCAATTCTTTAAGGAGCTGATATGACCATTGGCAAGTTCGAAGCCCAGAAATTCCATCCATATTATGCCATGTGGTGCGTCAAGAGCAATCAGTTTAGGGGCTGGAATTTCCAGGCTATACAGTTTGCTAAGAAGTCTAGCTTCCGCAGCTGTGCGAGATTTTGTTAGTTGTTTGTCTAGGACCTCGTGTCTATATGCTTTTGGCGGCCTGTATTTAATGATGTACTTGGATGGGTTTTGTATGTCTGAAGGATGCATGGATGCTGAAAGATACGGATGCACTGTTGTTAGAAAAACAACAGCCTCGGCGCCCTGGGATATCACTTCCAACGGAATCCCCAAAAGGTATGACTGAGCTTGAGCCACAATGGCGGAGCTCATTTTGAGGTGCGAATTTTTTTAAATCTATTTAACTGAATAAACTAATTTTTGAAGTGCGCTTGCCCACATTTTTCTTTTCGTTGTGAACTAACATGTGACGGAAATATGCTAAAAACTTGTTTCCCTCTTTATCGCAGTCCAGCTGCTGAATCTTGACAGTTTCGTGACATTTCTCGCATTCGACGCTATGAACTCGGCGCTCTGTTCTCCCGCGAGTCTTGAGATGCTTAATCTCCAAAGCTTCGCCAATCATTCGAGGAAAAGGCATCTCCATTCCGTTAGAATAGACACCATGTAGTTTAGTGACGTGATGGAGGTAATTCGAATCTTTTCGTTCAAAAAATAGCTCGCTCAAATCGTCAGATTGGCAATATGGGCACAGCCCCTCGCCGTCTCCTTGACCTCGCTCCTGGTGTGACTTTCTGTATCTCACCACCAATGGCTCGTAGTAGTTAGCACTGGAATTTGAGTACCGTGGTGGAAGGCAAATCTCAGCTTTGGGGTTTCTCTTGTAGATATACTCATCGTTTTCTGGCACTTTGCGAAATCTGGCATATGTGATACCATTGGGCTGAATATATGGATAAAAGTGCTGATTGAGCCAGTGATTAAGCATCTCTGGAATAGTCTCGTTAAAGGAAACCTGCAGGTTTGTGTACTTGGTTTTCTTACCACCCTTATGGTGTCCTCCACTTAGACATTCTTCTTTTTGCTCTTCAGGAAATGGCGATGAGTCCATTTTTGATGCTTCTGCGGTCACTAAATCCCATTCGCGAAATGTTTTCGGTTCTTCGGTTGCCATTGAGACCAGCATCGCCGTGCTTTCTCCAATCGGCCAGTCTTTAGAGTAGATGTAGTCATTATCATGCGCTAGGCTAGAAGTAGGGGTGATTTCCAGTGACAAAGCAGACTCTCCAAAGTCATTAAAAGTCTGAAACTCAAATATGTGATTGTCAGGTGTAGGAACAGAATCGTGCTCTTGGGGCGATGCTTGCGGAAACGATGTGAAACTATCCATGATATCAAGCATCTCTTGATCAGCATTCTCGTTTTGTGACACCATATCCAGAAGTGAGAATTCTGAATCATTTAAACTTGAAAAAGAGGACGGAAAATCTAACACTTGCAATATCATTCCCTTGCCTTCGTGATCATCTTGGTAGCTTCCCGGTAGATAGACAATTTCCTCGAGACTCATTGGATTCTGCATTCTTTTAGTTCTATTGTCAAGATAAGTGGATCAGATGCCCGTATAGCAAGAAAGCATAGTACTCTTATACTTTTATCTTTGAAGGCAAACTGCTGTGAAAGGCAAACAGCAGCTCTGATTAAATCTCAACGGCCATGCCCTCAAAATCATGATCTGTTTCCCGAATAGGCAATTCCTCGGGGAAGTGAGATGGTTTTAGATTCCAACTACAGTATAAGCTGCCGTTAGTATACGTCAACGGAGCAGGTCATGTCTGGGGCTGGTGGCAAATGCATTTGCCACCAGCCCCAGAGCCATCTAATATTTGCAATCTGCCTACCGCGTTAAAATATAATTTGGGCGATTAAACGTTACTATTTCATTTTTGCTGTTGACCTCCATACAAATTTCTCCACTCATCAATCTTTTTCTCATCAATTCTCTTGAACAGGTATTGGGCCTTTCCAATACAGTGTCCAGGTTGGATCCACAAACCAAACTCATCCGGAATTTTAAGCTCGGGAACCCTCAAAATTTCCTCTATTTGCTTGCTTGTCTCAGGCATATATGGAGCGATCACAGCAGAAACCAAATACACAATGTTGAGTCCAATAGCAACAACTGCATCACTCTTCTCTGGGAAATCGTTGTATAAAGAGTTATCCAGTTTGTTTTCTTGCAAAAACAGGTTGCCTCTAGCGGAGATCATCATAGCGGTCTCCAAGCCTTTTCGGAGATGTACTGTCTCCATGTCATCGACATATGTTTTCACAAGAGAGTTCAAATCCTTTAAAAGCTCAGGGTACACTGGACAGTCCTCAGTCCTGAAAGAGGGCACCACGCCGTTGTATTTGGCGATAACAAATTTGGCCAGTCTGTTGACAAAGTTTCCCAAGTTTGCTAAAAGCTCGCTGTTGTTTCTGGTGACGAACTCATACCAAGAGAATTGAGAGTCTTGGTTTTCTGGTCTCACAGATGCCAAGTAGTATCTCCAGACAGAAGGAGACACACCAGTAGCCTCGGCATTGTTACCGAAAACACCAATACCTCTAGATTTGGAAAACTTGCCTCCTTCATACTGCAAATACTCGGTTGTGTTCAGATGGTGCAGCATAGTCCACTTTTGCTTGGTACCAATCTCGGTAGATGGAAACACAACCGTGTGGAATGGCACATTATCCTTGCCCATGAACTGGTAAAGCTGAACGTGCTCTGGGTTTTGCCACCAATCCCTCCATTCATCGGTGTAGTTCGCCGTGATAGAGACATAGCCGATTGGAGCATCGAACCAAACGTAAAGAACCTTGTTCTCAAATCCTTTGAGTGGCACAGGAGTTCCCCAAGTCAAATCCCTAGTGATGCATCTCGGCTGCAGTCCCTCTTTGAGCCAGGAGTTTGTAATTGTTTTCGAGTTCTTGGACCACTTGCCCTTTTCCGAGGCTTCGCCGATCCACTTTCTAACCTCTGGCTCCAGCTTGTCTAGCGATATAAAAATATGGTTGGATTCTCTGGGTTCTGGGGTGTGCCCATCCAGTTTGCACCGAGGGTTGATAAGCTCAAATGGATCAAGCAAGTTGCCACACTTATCGCACTGATCTCCTCTAGCATCTTCATAATGACACCTTGGACATTCACCTTCAACATATCTGTCAGCTAAGAATCCTTTATGGACGGGGCAGAAAAGTTGTTTCATGACTTTCTCTTCCAAGTATCCATTGTTGTACAGTTTCAAAAACATCTCCTGTGCAATCTCGGTTTGCTTTGGCGTAGTCGTTCTTCCAAAGTAGTCAAACCCAATCTGGAACCATTTGTAGACATCAGAATGAACAGCATGGTATTTGTCACAGAGCTCTTGGGGAGTGACTTTATCTTCCAAAGCCTTGGTCTCCGTAGCAGTTCCGTACTCATCAGTACCACAGATGTATATCGCATTGTAGTTTCTGCGCTTGCAGTAACGGGCATATATGTCAGCAGACAAGACTGAACCCACAATATTTCCCAGGTGGGGCACGTTATTCACGTATGGAAGTGCAGAAGTAATCAGAATGTTTCTCTCATTTGGTTTTGGTTTCAATTTTCCTTCCGAATGAACAACAGCGCATCCTTCAACAACATCCACTTTGCTAGTGTTCTTTTCGGGAATTCTTTGGTATCCACAGTTCTTAGTTGCAAAGTTTATACCCTTAGCCACAGTAGGAATTTCGGAGAATGTTTTGAACCAACCAGAGAGCTCAGTGTCGGTTTGTTTGCTCAAAAGAGGATACAATGAAGAAAAGATAATGATTTGTGAAACGTCTTCTGCGTTGGCAGAGGGGATAGATCCAATCTGAGACAAGATGCTAAGGTCAATCTGGTTCGACTTCAGAGCAGGATACAGGATCTTTTCGTCCTTATCGATGAGTTCGTGCTTTCCAAAAACAGACCTGTCATGCGTCTTAGTAGCAGCAAGATATTTCACAATTGCGTTGGGTTCATAAAGTTCGAAACCACCGTTGTTCACCTGCAAAGCTAATTTTGATTTGCCTTTAGCATCAACCTCCAATTGCAAGCCTGGAGAAAATACAGCAGCAGCGATGGAGACTTTGAGATTGCTCACCAGCGAGAGCACGGATCCATCGGAAGAACCGAATAACTGCAGAGACATGGAGATGACTAATTCTGTGTATTTAATTGTCTTGAAATTATTCGGAGTGAGTATTTTGGGCGACAAATTTTTCATGTCGATCGTCGCCGGAGTAGTTCCAATTACGAGTCCTGCTACTCAGCTGCCGGGACTCAAAATTTCAAAGAACCTCGCTACTTCTGATCACCAGGATACAACGCTTTTCATATAAGGGTTCCTTATAGCCACAATTCTATTCTATACGTAAATTCGCAAGGTCATAGCTGGCGCCCGTCAGCTGTGGCTCGCAATCTTCTGCGGACTTCAGTTTGGTATCTGCATGCTGTTCACGCTCTTTCTGTATTTCGTGCTCGCCATGATGTCGAGTGGGAGTCATAATATTCACTTTGCCGTCAGCCCCAAAGTACCCAGGTGCCACCCTTCTAATATTTTGCTCCCAGTCATCGAATAGCCGAGATCGGTTTCTCAATGCTGTTTCCCCGTATCTATCTCTTACGTGGTCGGCCATTTGCTGCTGATTTTCGCGTAGGTCATCCAAGTGCGATATGAGTACATCTAATTCTTGCTCTCTGAATATCTGCGTGGAGACCGGTAACTGCTCGAAGTCGAACGGTAGTGTCACAGGATGAGGCTTAATGTACTTTCCCGGCATCACAATAAGGGGAATTTGGGATAGTATCCGGGATCTGGAGTCCGACATGAGGATGTATTAATACAGTACTATTTCAAAGTTACGCCACCCTTGCACGGAGTCTTCAAGCCTTCTTGGTTGTCTTCGCTTTAGTCTTCTTTGCTTCAGCTCCGGAAGATTTGGCTTCGACTGGAGTGGTATCTTCCCCAATGGCCTCATACTTCTCCTTCAACTCTTTCAAGTAGAACTCTTGTTTGAGTCTGGCGTCCTCGAAAAAGGCATAGAATAATCCACCTTGTAGCAGCACAATACCGAGAAGGATGAAAACAATCATCGTTTCTGATGCGGCAATGACTCCCAAGCCTGTATTTTGGTCAACTTCACCCCATTCACCAGCAATACAGGACATGATTCCGACCTTGACGTTACTAACATAGACACAAACTGCAATCACTAATGCACCCAAAGTTCCATATTCGAAGTATTGCACATCTTCAGAAGGCTTGAATATCTTGATAAACGACCCAATGAATGCAATCGCAATCACAAAGTGGAAAGTATAGTTTATGATAGGAGGAATCTGTCCCCAGACCTTGTAGTGGTCCAAAGCAGCATCGAAAAATTCTTGGCCCTTCGTTGTGTCCCACAAAGTGTAGTAATCGTATGGCCAATTACTGAAAAGCACACCAAGAATAAACGAAACAGAGGAGATCACCATGATGGTGCCAATAAGCACCAAGTTCTCGTATTTAACCATGATGAACTAGAGGATATTTTGATTAATTTTTTTATCGACGCTCACAATTTTACGCAAGAGATAACGACAGGCGATCTGAAAATTAATCGGCATTATCTCTGGATGGCATTTAGATCAAAATTAAATACGATCACGTTAAGCGTAGCTTATAAAAATTATTGTCATACCTTCTGCATTGGCCACAGGCCTTCATGGTCGCACTGGGTCATACCGTTAGTTGAGTGGAGTTACGTGTAAGCCACTAACGCTTTTTTCCTTCTTCTCGATAAGATGGTGGCCGTGTTGAGGTTCAGTTCAAACGGCTTGGAAGATGCATCCACGTCTGAATATCCATCTCCGCTCGAGCTCAGTTCGTTATTTGACGCAAAAATGGAGTTGTCATCGATAACAGCGCCTCTAGACGATTCTTTTTCAAATTTAAGGTTCGCTTTCCTCACTTCCGGATGGATTTCATTTGGATCAGGCTCAATCATCTCGTCGTCTTCGGCGAGAGCTCCTAGTTTGGATCTTCCATTCTTCTGCTGTTTCAAATACTTCTTCATGGCTGCCTCTTCTCCCATTCTATGGACCGCAGTAGAAATATCGAACGCCTCCCTCATAGCAATGGCAGCAGGCGAGTACAAAGTAGGGTTTTGTTTCGACAAGTGAGATGGAATGGCTCCGGAATTGGCAGAAGTGGGCAGTGGCGCGTACACCATTGGCTCCTGAGAAGAATCCGATCCAATAGATGCGCTCTGAATACTGTAGCTCAAATCCGAGGATGATATAGAGTTCTTCTGGTGCAAAAGCTGTTGCTGCTGTGCTTGGAATAGTTGAGCTTGATGACATCTATTCAAAAACTCTGAAATCCACGGATCATTCAAAAAATCATCAATTGTATACCTTTCTCTTGGGTCAACTGTGAGTAGCTTTGAGACACAATTTTTAGCACCGTCGCTTATTTCGTCCCACCAAGGAGATAAAAACTCGAACTCTCCCTTGGAAACTTTCTTCGTCAAAATGTCGATTTGATCGTTGAAGAATGGTGGGAAACCACAAAGCAGAATATAAAGAACGCATCCTAAAGCCCACATGTCAACCTCCTCAGAGTATCTCATGTCCTTCACGATTTCTGGAGCGGTATACCCTATTGTTCCACAAGGCGTTTTCAAAGAAGCATCGGCATATATTTGTTTCGACAAACCAAAATCGCCGATCTTAATCGTACCAATTCCACCACCTCCAACATTGGGTATAAATTCACCTTCGTCCAGCTTAGAATTCGGATCATCGCTCTTCCGCAATCTTGGAGATTTTGAGGGAATATGCTTGATAGGGTTGAAAAAGATGTTCTCTGGCTTTAAATCACGATGAACAACTCCCTTTTCTGCATGCAGATACTTGATGGCCTGCGCAACCTGGGTGATCACATGTCTAGACAGGTCTTCACTGAAATATGTGTATTTTACGATCTCGTTGAAAATTTCGCCACCCGACACAAGTTCCTGTACAATAAAGTAGAACTCTTCAGTTTCAATGAAGTTATAAAACCTCACAATGCATGGGTGATCCAGTTGCCTCATAATCGTGACTTCTTTCAGAACTGATGCTTGCTGGCTTTTATCCAGTTGATACTTTTTAATGACCTTCACTGCTACAGTCTCATTAGTTTGCACATCTAGAGCTTTGTAGACGGTGGAGAAAGCTCCTTCCCCAATCTTGTCAATCATTTGATATCTCTCCAAGGTCTGTCTTTCCGCCTCTTTTTTGCGTTGTTCGTTCTCCTCGTTCACTAGGTCCGCAGCCAACTTGGAGTATTCATCTTTGCGGTGACGCGATTTACTGGCTCCCAATTGCTGAGAGGCGGCAGGATCAGGGGATGCCGAAGTAGGGGATTCTGAAGGATCTAGACTTTGGACGCTTATATTTTCCATGCTCATCGGCCGGCTGTGAGCTTTAGTTCCGGTGGGATTGGCATTTCTACCATGCCTGATAAATTGCTTGAAATTCTGAATGTTAGTTTGTGTGGATGAGTCTTGTCAGAGAATGGCGTTTTGGAACCACAATATCCAAAACCTAATAACTCAGCATTAGGGGAAATGGATCTTGGCAGTTCCTTTCAACCTCCTCCGAAGACACCAATGGTGCAAATACGTACCAGAAACATTCTAAAGTCTAGTTATATTGTAAAGAAGAGGATCAGTGATAAATCTTCGACAATCAGAAAACAATATTGGGATTATTGCAAGATCGATTTGCGCTGCATAAGCCGGTAAGTTATTTGCTACTTCTCTTTTCTTCCTTGTTCCTTTGCCATAATCGCTTAGTAATAAAAAGGCTGTGCAATATTCATAACTGCACTGATCTTACTTTCAAACCAGACATGTCTGTAATAGAATGCTCTCTTGACGAGGCATCTTTCTTGAGAACCCAGTCCCCTTCTCTTGTCAGATATTTGATCGCTATCGACAACGATCCAACTCTGACTCAAAAAAAGGCGATCTCCAAAAAGCGTACTATTGCGGATATACTCAAAGAGCACCATGAGTACTACGGAATTCATCCGAAACAAGAAGCTGACAGCAACCAGAAAAAGATAACGTTGCCGGAGCGCCTGATAACCCTCGCCAAGACGCAACTTGTATCTAAGCTCACAAATGCTCACGACGACTCGACTTTTGATAAGTTGGCATCATTGTATTGCGCTTCCATAAAACCGATCGATATTTTGCCTTTCGAAGTGAGCCTCAAATTGCACGGTGAAACTCTAGAAGTGTGGTCTGTGCCCAGGGGAAAGCAGAAGTCGCTACTGTTGCTCAAACTGCAAATCAGCAGCCAGTATGCACCTTTCTTGCAAGCACAGATGAACTTTGCAAGGAAGGCTCCCAAGATCGACCCCGTCCGGTTAGAAAAGCCTGCGTTGAGCCTCCAAGTTGATCTTGATCATGAGAATCGGGGATTTTCTCTGTATATTGAGATCAAGTTCAAGTTAGAGATCCAAGAGACAGTGGACTACAGATACCCCCTTGATGCTATCAAAAAAATCCGCGAGCTCAGTCCATTTATTTTCACCCCGATATTGACGCCCTACCAAAGAGCTTATTCTTCCAAGCCGTTTCCAAAACCAACAGAGGCTTCATTTTACGACTTGATAACCACAAATACGGAGAAATTGGCTTACGACAATAAAGTATTGGAAATCCCTGAGATTCGCAAGACTTTGATGAAATTTCAGCAGCAGACTTTGCGCTGGATGCTCCGACACGAGGGTGTTCGCTTTAACGATACTTTGAAAATAATTGAGAGGTTGCCACCTGTTGAGTATTCCCCTGATGATACAAACATGATCTCTGAATCATTGGACCAGATAAGTTTTGGTTGGTCATACATGAAGATGGTTGACTCTGATTCATACATCTGGTATAACTCGTACACCGGTAATATTGTTTCCACAGACATAGCCATTGCCTATCTGTCTCAGTACCAGCAATATCCCAAGAGCGCCAAGGCATTGCTTTCCGAAGAGATGGGTCTAGGAAAAACAGTCGAAGTCATCTCACTCGTATCGATCAATCCAAGAACACAGCCCTATGGTGAAACGAAGATGGACAGCTTCAATGGAGGAAGATACATTACGGAGGCCAAAACTACCTTAATAATTTGTCCGCAGTCCATCATCGGTCAGTGGAGACAGGAAATTGAGGACATTTCCACATCTTTGAAAGTTATGATATACGAGGGTATTTATAACTATGAGAGGGAAGCCGAGAGCTCAAATACGAGACTCACACCTTCTGATATGGCCGCCAAGATTCGAGAACATGACATAGTACTCGTATCTTATCATACAGTTTCGCGAGAACTTCATAGGGCCATCTTCAAGCCTGTTTCAAGACCTACACGGAAGTGTGCCAAGAGAATAAAGCTTGCGCATGGGGGCGCTGATGACAAGGAAACTCCAGGAGTCAAGTGGGAGCCTGATGAGGTGGAATTTGAGGACACACAATACGAAAGGACGGACTACTCCTCGCCGCTGATGCTATGCGAGTTCTGGAGAGTTGTCCTTGATGAAGTGCAAATGACTGCAAGCATGGCTACAAATGCCTCGAAATTTGCAAGGATCATTCCTCGCGTACACTCTTGGGGTGTTTCAGGAACGCTGATCAAGAATAACCTAAATGATCTTTACTCCCTTTTAAGTTTCTTGAGGCTGAGCCCCATTGACTTATATTCGATTACCGGGGAGACTTCTCCGTGGCTCAGTATAGTATCAGAAGCTCCATATTTCCAATTCCAGAGGCTTTTCAAAACGATCTGTCTTCGTCACACGAAAAAAATGGTGGCAGACCAAATCAAGCTCCCTCAACAAAGGAGAATTTTGCTCCGGATGCCATTCAGTGTCATTGAACGTGATAATTATGATAACCTGTTTGCAAACTTCCTTCGCCAAGTGGGACTTAATGAACTAGGCGAACCAGTAGTTGATGACTACGATCCAGCAAGATATTATACTACAATGCGCCATTGGCTGATTAGGCTGCGTCAGGTGTGCTGTCATGCTCAGCTGGGATCGAGCTCCAGCAATAGGCGTAGACTAGGAGGGATATTTTTTGGTGACGATAACGGAAGCGACAAAACAGGCATGATTTTGGGAACGTTGGACGATGTTCTTTCCAATCTCAAGAAAAGCACTTTTGACGAGTATGTATCGGGCGAAAGAAACATATACAGCCTGCAGTTGAGACGAGGAAAGATCTATGAGTTTTTGAGACTTCCGGAGAAGTCTATGGAGATATATGAAATGATAATTCCGGACATTGAGCTGAAAATTAAGGAACTCCAAGAGTCAGGTGAAGAAAACAACGCCAGGTTGCGGTCGTGGTTGGAACTCCTGTACCAAACTTACTTCCTTTATGCCTCTTCGCATTATCAGCATTATCGGCCCATGCGGCCAATGCCAGATGCGTTCAATAGCAAAGGACATGTTTCTGATGTTGAGGAAGATGTTCTAAATCCCGTTGAAGAGGTGGACTTGAATACTCTATCTGAAGATGAGAAAATGCATTACCAGATTGAAAACGAATATTACAAAAAGGCAGATGATTTACTCACACAGATTCTTCAAGAGCCTATTGTCAAGGTTAATGAGGCAATTACCAAACTTATTGATAAAATCAGCACATATTCGAAATACAAATTTCCCAATAACGCACACAAGAAGACATATGCTGCTACCCTGAAAGAGTTTGATTTGGACATTCCAAATGACCTTTGGAAGGTTTGTAATACCGAATCGGTGTATTTGGGTGACAATTACGGTCATTCAATGCATGCACAAATGTTCTACGAGAGACTTTTCAAGGCAATATCTGATTTGGATTTACAAGGACATATTATCAATGTTTGGATCTCTAAATTGGTAGATCTGCTGAAGGAGCCGGTCACTAAGGATGACGATAATCAGAATACAGGTGAAGAATACGGTGCTTCTCTCATAAATCAAGAGCTTGCACATACTTATTTAGAAGAGTTACAGTTGATACTTGAGGACCGAGAGAATGCAATGATATCTTTTGATGATTCAGCTCAGAAAAGAGGAAAGAATGCGAAGGAAAAGATCATCATAAATGTGAATCAGCCCACAAATTATGATCTCCACCTTCATCTGGACAAAATAAGAAGAGCTGTTCTTCCTGAAGGGGCTTACAACTCAAAGTTTTGCCTGCGGACGCTAACAACAGACGCCCAAAATCTAGTGCTTGATTTTCAGAAGTATGATGAAAGCGGCAACACTTTGTCAAGTGATTACGAGTTCCTGAATAGTCTCAGTCCAGTGATCAAGAAAGAGTTTGATTTGCAAAGAAAGAATATTGCGCATCTCCGAACCAAGCTCTTTGAAATCCTAAATGATACATTTAACTCAAAAATTACCTATTTCAAGTCGTTGCAGATGAAGTCTGATATTGTTGCTAAGTACCTTCCTGTTAGACCTGCTGTCTCCCCTAATATGACCCCTTTAGAAAAGGCAGAGCAGGATCTACGAGGTTTAGCCTTAGAGATCCGGGCTATGCAAGATTCAGTGCGTGCGAGTAAAGTCAGAATGACTTACTTGAATAGTATCATGGACGAATCTTCCGAGGACGTTGAAAAAGAATCCAAAAATGAAAAGTTGTGTGTTATTTGTCGTTCCTCCATAATAGTGGGTACCCTCACAACATGTGGCCATCAATTCTGCAAAGATTGTCTGGGAGAGTGGATGAGACTGCATCCTACTTGTCCAATGTGCAAAAAACGGTTGTATGCTTCCGATCTGTATTCATTCACCGTCACTCGGAAGGAATTGAAAGGAGGGATGATGCCAGACTCACAAGATTCAACAGAGTCAAAGCCGAAGAGCGAGGTCAACAGAGATCTTTCCCGACTTTACCAGTCTTTAGATCCAACAATGCTGAAAGAAATTTCGTCAATTGAACTAAAGAAAAATTATGGCTCCAAGGTGGACATGATTGTTCGACAGATAATTTACCTGAAACAGATGGAGCCAGATGTTCAGATTCTTGTTTATTCACAATGGACAGACTTTCTTAAATTCTTGGGAAGAGCGTTGCGTCAAAATGGCATCAGTTTTCTGTCCTCGTCAGATGTGACCAATGGTGAACCTAATATTAAGAAGGGAAGAAGCACGTTTGGCAGCAAGGAGATTGACAAATTTAAGAGAGATCCGCGAATCACGTGTTTCCTCTTAAATGCTAAGGCGCAGGCTGCCGGTCTTACTCTCACGAACGCGTCTCATGTGTTCTTGTGCGAGCCGCTGGTCAATCTGCCTTTGGAGCTGCAAGCTATCAGTAGAATTCATCGAATTGGCCAGTCTCAAGAGACCAAAGTTTGGAACTTTGTCATTGAAAACTCTGTCGAGGAGTCTATTGCTATTCTCTCAACCAAAAAGAGGATGGAACTTGTGCGCAGAAGAAGCCATCCAGAATCTACTGTTGAATACTTGGACGATGACTTGGTGGATGCCACAGAGCTATCCAAAACATTAAACGGTCTTGTTGATAAAAAGGTCAGCGGCGGCGAAGTTGTTTCCAACGATGAGTTATGGGCAAGTTTTTTTGCAGCGAAGTCTGGCGAGTTGGTGGATTCTATTGTGGCACATCCAGAGTGACTGACTACATGACAAAAAATAAGAGCGAGTAAATGTCAAAAACCATATCGCGAACGTAAAAAGTATCTTACACAGCCAAGAAATTAGTGTCGTCGGAGCCATTGTAGATTCTGCCATCGTCAACCAAAGTGGCAATCTTGGACTCTGCCTCTTCAATGGAAATGTTGAAATTCTGTGCAATAAGCTGAAGAGGAACACCGTCGGTCATCACAGCACTGTTTTCCTGAACGAACTCAAAAATCTTTTCAAGAGGAGAGTTTGCGCCATCACCACTTCCATTGCCAACAAAAAGAGAACTATCCCCATTTTCAGTCTTGGAATGTTTTCCAACTATCGTCGATCCTGAGTTGTCAAGGTAGATTTTGATGGCACTGAGGAAATGGTAGGGAATCTCGTTGAAATCTTTGATTTTTTGGACTGTTTGTGTCTGAATCTGTTTCTTGCCCGAAAATTCCCTGATGGTGGCCACCACTTTAACATATTCGCCGATCGCAAACGAGTCTGATTCATTCCCTTCTTCGTCATTCCATTTTCTCACCGACACCATTCCTGTTCCGTCTTCAATCTTCAACATGGTTGATTGAGCTTGAGATGCATCGAGTTCCCTGATGATACCCACAAAGGCAACGTAATATAGTTCTAGCCCATGGGTCTGGAAAGGCGCATCTGGTCCAGACTGGCTGGCATCGTTGATCTCTTTTATAGTGACCGGAATGAGAGACTGAGTGACAGCAGATCGTGTCTGAGAACTGGATGTCTCGTTTCCATTGTAGTTGCCGTACCCGGTCCCGTCAGAGGTGTAATTGCTGTACGGTTGATATCCGCTCATCTATTTACAATATAAATGGAGACAAAATTATTTGCCATATTTTTTGGATGATTACGCGTCTTGAGAATTACAACGACGCGCACAAAATTCGACCCGTCGATCACTGCTCCAAAATCTTGCGCAGTCGGTCGGGCGGTGTTCTTTGCATGCCAACAAACTCCATATCATAGGTAGCACGGCCTCTGGTGAGCGATCTCAATTTGGTTAGATAGCCAATCATTTCTCTCAAAGGTGCTTCAGCCTTAATGATTTTATTAGCAGAGACGTGCGTTTTCTTCATGTAGCCCAAAGTAGGGTCGTGAGGAACATATGTTTTTTCAGCTTGCTCTTTGGCCCAATGTATTGCGTCGGAACTAGACACGCTGGTTTCGTCTTCAATTCCTGTAATCTTTGCATTTCTAGCGCTCATTAAATCCTGGGAAACGGGTCCCAAGTCTTCGTCACTAACGTAAACGAAAACTTGCATTATTGGCTCCAACAACGTTGCAGTTTTGTCATCGAGAGAAGCCAGGGCATCTAGAATTGTCGTCCTAGTAATGCTGATCAGTGGGGACACATTGTTCGCTTCTGGATTGATCATCCACCTACGGACCCGAACTATCATCCAATGCAATGGAAGCCTAGCATGCCGGCCGCCCATCTGCAACGCGCCTGTAACTCCGGATAAAATACCGTTGATTATCGTTTCATAGGAGACCGGCAAAGACCAAATCTCCGCGTCCAGGGCTTTCTTGACAACGCTCGGGATGCCATCTGGTTCGATGATCACAATATTGTCGTCTTGCTCTAGATAAAACACCCCTTCCTCCGGTAAATCCAAGTCTTCAATTGGGCCTTCGAATGAGTCTACGGAAATTTCGATTTCGTAGCCATCCGGCGAAACTCCTGTGAAATACCCTGTCGGAGAAGTAATGGTTTCTTTGTACGTCACTCTGACTTCGCCCACATCAGCATTCACCTTCATATCATTTATCAATCTATCTTTGGTGATTTCCAAATGCAGCTCACCCATTCCAGAAAGAATATTCTGACCTGTCTCTTCATCATAACTCAGATGCAAACTAGGATCCTCCCGTAGCAAAGTATTTAAACATGTTTCCAGCTTTCTGTTTTCCGAAACAGAAGCCGGCTCTATAGAAACGGAGAACACAGGGGGGGGAACTTTGATTGGCAGAAGACGTGCAGATTTCTCCTTTGGAGGCAACTGATTAGGGTTCTTGGATACTGAGTGGCAAACCAAGGTATCTCCGGTGACTATGTGGTCGGTTCCCGTAATTACCCCAATGCTACCACTTGAGAGATGTCTTACTTCCTGGGGTATATCCGCGTTCATTAGCAACAATTTGCCAATGCGCACCTTTTCTCCGGTTCGACTATTCAAAACAGTGGAATGCGGTTGCAATTTTCCACTGTAAACTCTAACAAAGACCATGATTCCTCTGACAGGGTGCGAAATCACCTTGAAAGCAAGAGCCGTCATCAAATTGTGATTATTGTTGATGACTAGTCCATCCCTAGGATCCACCTTGATTGGAAGCGAGTTATCCTGTTGTACTGTCTGTTTTTTATTCTTTGATCTTGCACTTTGGATAGCAGAGGTAGTTACCTCTGGAGGCTTGACTTCTAGTGGAGACGGAAGATAATCGTTGATTGCATCTAGTAAAGGTTGCACACCTATGTTCTTGAAACTTGCACCACAAAGCACAGGAGTTGCATATCCTTCAATACAAGCTTTCCTCAGAGCTTTCTTAAGTGTTGAACTTGGGACCTTCATGTAATCCTCCGTCTCAAAAAAAGAGTTGATTACATCTTCGTCAAACTCACCCAGTTGTTCCACTGCAGCTTCCCTGCATTTAAGCACCTCTTGGTAAACCTCTGGGTATTTGGAATCCTCAGCAATATCTATCACTTCAACTTTGCTTCCATCAGAGGCGCCATTTGGACTGTTCCATAAGAGCAGCTTTTTGTCAAACACATCTATAACTCCCTCGAAAATACTTCGGCCTGTCATTCTGTCTTTGATGAAATAGGGTACATTCACAATTACCACTCTAGTCCCTAACCTACTAACGATTTCTTTCACGGTGCGCCCAAAACCTGCACCTTCTCGGTCCATCTTGTTCACGTAAGCCACCACTGGGATAGCCAAGTCTTTTGCTTGTTTCCAAACTTTCTCTGTCTGAGCCTCAACACCTGCCACAGCATCCAAGATGGTCACTGCTCCATCAAGAACTCTCAAAGATCTTATCACCTCGAAGGTGAAATCAGCGTGACCTGGAGTATCTATCAGATTGATTTTGTGCTTATTCCACGGAATGGTCACGGCGGCTGATTGTATGGTAATTCCTCGATTTTTTTCCTGAGTCATATAGTCTGTCACTGTATCTCCCTCGTCGACGTTTCCGATGCGTCCTGTGACACCACTGTAATATAGCATTCTTTCGGTTGTGGTTGTCTTACCAGCATCGATGTGGGCTATGATTCCGATGTTGCGCACCCTGTTCAATGGTGTCTTCAAAATGACATCTTTGTAGTCCTCCGTTGCTCTCCATCGTGGCGAGGCGTGGAAAAGCCGCTGTCCATGTCGTGCCAAAAATGGCTTCAAATTGAAGGCTCGTAAAATCATAGACGAAAAAAAATAATTCAGTGAACATTTCTGGTCATGACATCTAATGACTTTGACATAAAAGAAACCTATCTCAAGTTTCTTGAGGAGGATCCGGAAATCACCATGCCCGTGGCTGCCATTGAAAGTCTACTTACCATGTTGAAAATCAAGCAGCCTTCCACCTCTTCGGAACTCATAAACCTTCTGTCAGACGCTACAACACAGTTGAAAACATCCATACCAAATGCTATATCTCTATCTGCAGGCTGCGATCTGTTCACGAGATTTGTTCTGCGAAACACACATTTATATTCGGATTGGGAAGCATGTCGCACCCATCTGGTCGAGAACGGACAGCTGTTTCTGCAAAGAGCTAAGGAGAGCAGAGAGATGATAGCGCAAGTGGGCCTCAAGTTCATTCAAGATGATGATACAGTTCTTGTTCATGGTTACTCGAGAGTGGTTCACCATCTGTTAGTTCATGCAAAACAGAAATTTGTGCGGTTTCGTGTATTCGTTACAGAAGCGAGGGTAGATCAAAGCACAAACGATGGAATACGAATGGCAAACGCGTTGAAGCGTGAAGGAATACCTGTTTGCATGATCAACGACTCCCAGGTGGGCTATGTGCTCAACAAGGTGGATAAAGTATTCATGGGAGCAGAAGGTGTCTCCGAGAGTGGAGGAATTATAAACAGAATAGGCTCTTATCAAATTGGAGTTTTAGCACACAACGCAAACAAGCCTCTATATGTTGTCTCAGAGTCTCACAAATTTGTTAGAATGTTTCCGCTTTCTCCTGATGACCTTCCTGTGCCGTCAGAATACGCATTGACTTTCTCCACCGACACCAATGACGGCTTCAATGGCCACCATCACGTCGACTTCACGCCTCATCAGTACGTCACTGCTCTTATTTCCGACTTGGGAGTTTTAACTCCTTCAGCAGTTTCGGAGGAACTCATAAAAATGTGGTACGGATAATCATAGATATCTCAATAATAGCGTACTGTACATCTATTTAATCAAATTTAATCTTCTTACCCTTAGGCTCGACTATGGCTGCGCTCTGTCTCGGGGCGTTCGCCAATACCACTGAAGAGGCGACTCTTTTGGACTGGTCATGATGCGTGCTATAGCTACCATTTTTTTCGAAGTTGTGCTTCTTGGTTTGAAATCCCGTGCTTCTCTCTCTAGCAACAACCTTGTGCTCTGTTGGTCTTTGAGGCAATTGCCTCTCTCCTGTGTCCTCTGCAATTGTCTGTCTATCTGCAACTCTTTTTCCGACTTTTCTAGCGGACCTGTCTTCGCCGTATTCCAGTCTTAGTGGTCTGTTGATCAGTTTGCGCACCGATTTGTCTTTCAGAGCATTAGTTGGGCCCTCGATGTCCTTGAAGTCGATGAAGCAAAATCCTTTGCACTTCCCTGAATCCTCAAACGTAGCCATTCGGATTCGAACAATTTCTCCGCAGTGTCTGAAGTGATCCTCTAAAAGCTCTTCTGTCGTATCAAAAGAGAGATTCCCAACAAATAGAACTCGAGAGGGTGGATTTTTGGATAGGGATTCTTCAGTCTTTTGAGGTCTTCCTTCAAAAGAGTTGGCATCTTTTATAAGCAGCCTGCGTCCATTCAGTTCTTGCTCAGATAAACCAATGGCTGTTTCCACATGTTCCTGTGATTTGAAGTCAATGTAAGCAAACCCTTTAATTTTATGTGCGGTCTTCTTGGGAATATTGATTCTAGTGATATCGTTCTCCGCAATAGCTGGTTCCATTTCCTCACTTTTTCTAACTAAAAAACTGATTATATCCTCTCTGGTTGTATCATACGCAAGGTTCCCAATCCAGATACCTATTTTAGCCTTGTTTTCAGGCTCTTTATTAGCAGTTTTAGGTTCCTCCACAGGAACAACGATAGCTTTCTTCGCTTGTATTTCATCGATAGACTTTTTTCCTTTTTTGAGCAGTCTCGCCTCCTTTTTTGATAGAGGTGCTTTTTCATCAAGTTTGATTTCGAGCTCCTCGAGCTCTGCAGCTTTTCGTTTCTCTGGCATGTGGTAGTATATGTCTTAGCTACGCAAGAGTTTTAAATTTTTTTTTGTTGCACCGCCAAGATCAGTGTATTCTGGATAGCAAGGACTTACCCGGTCGTCAGGCTAGAATCTAGTCCAGGTCTCCGAAAAAAAACCTCTACATTTCGTTCTTTAGTCTAGAAACGCTGAAGTGCCTAGTTCCAAATTTCTTTTCCGGCGGGCTCGAACAATTTCGGGAGCAGTACTATTAATAGAAAAGCTGATGTAATCACTACCACATTTTGGGCAAATACCCTGTTTGTTTTCAAAACAATAGTGGAGTGTATATATTATTTCTAGTTGTTTTTCCTCAGGTTGTTTTTGTCAGTCTTCCAGTATTTCCTGAAAACATCTTCCGATCGTTTTAGTCTTTGTGATACCTTTCTGAAATGAAGTTTACGACAACTGTTCTGACATCTCTTGCATTTTTGATTGCCAAGTCTAACGCTGAAGCTAGCGTAAGTATACCTCATCAATTATCCGGCTTTGTTGTTTGAACATAATACTAACAAGCATTATAGTTAGGTTTTGACTTGGGTGTGCAAGCCACCGATGGCTCCTGTAAGACCGCCGAGGACTACGAGTCTGATTTGGACACGATCTCCTCGCAAGCTTCTACTGTGAAGGTTTATTCTGTCTCCTCGTGCAACACTCTCCAAATTTTAGGACCTGTTGCCGAAGACAAGGGCTTCACTATTGCTCTTGGAATCTGGCCAACCCCAGACTCTACTTTTTCCTCAGAGAAAGAGGCCCTGACTTCTTACTTGCCTAACATCTCCAAAAAGACCATTCAGGCATTTTTGGTTGGTTCCGAGGCTCTCTACAGAAATGACATGAGTGCTTCCCAGCTGGCCAGCGATATTTCTGAGATCAAGGAACTATTGTCCGGTATCAAGGACAAAAATGGCGATTCTTACGGTGATGTGCCTGTTGGAACTGTTGACTCTTGGAATGTCTTGGTTGACGGTGCTAACGCCGACGTCATCAAGACTGCCGATGTCATCTATGCCAATGCCTTCTCCTACTGGCAGGGACAAACCATGAACAACGCTTCATTTTCTTTCTTTGATGATATCATGCAAGCTTTGCAAACCATTCAAACCACCAAGGGTTCGTCTGACATCGACTTCTGGATCGGCGAAACCGGATGGCCAACCGATGGTGACAACTTTGAGTCTGCCACTCCATCTACTTCTAATGCTGAACAGTTCTGGAAAGAAGCTATCTGTGCTATGAGAGGTTGGGGTGTCAACACCTACGTTTTTGAGGCCTTTGATGAGTCCTGGAAGCCAGACAGCTCTGGATCCTCTTCTGAGAGACACTGGGGTGTCTGGAATGCCGACAGGTCGCAAAAGTACGATCTCACTTGTGACTTCTCTTCTTGATTATCTACATTTATTGAATATGCCATCCTCTATTTAGATTTACTTAGACAACAGGTGAAAAGTTTGGAAATGCGACTACCGATCTTGTATTTCAAATACTTAGTAGATCTTCTTTTTCTCGTCAACAGAGAGTTCTCCAGCTCCAGTGTCCACGATCAGTAACAAACCGCCGACGATGCTGAGGGTCTGGAAGAACTCATATCTCAGATAGTCTCTTCTGGTGTCTTTGTAACCATAAGTCCAGTAGTGGTTGGTCAACATGTTGTTCACTGTGAGAAGAAGAGTCAAGAATGATGCACTAAATTTGGTTTTGTATCCAACCACGATCGACACACAGGACACAAGGCCAATCAAGATAATGAGGAAGTTGATGATGGTCCATTTGATAGTCATAGTGAAGGCCAAAAACAAAACTATGAGCATAATGCGACCCACCAGCAAAAAATATTTCTTGTTGTCTTTCGACTCCATCATTGGTAGGCCAGGCATAAGCAAAGATCTCTTATCGACAACAAGCGAGTCTGACAAGGCAAGAAGCAAACCGCCAATAACAGACACGTTCCTGAAGAAGAACACCGGCTCAAAGAAAAGTCCGTAGACAAGCCCTTGAAGTAGAACAATGGAGGAGAGGAGTCCAGTAGCGATTTCGGGCTTTCTTCTAAGGATGACTAGCACTGCTCCGGTAATCATGCAAACTATATTAAAGAGCAGGAACAGCTTGACGAACCACTCATAGAGATGTCTGAAAGTTGCCAGATAGTAAACCTGCTCCTTCCATTGGGACATTATTCTAAGCGAATCCTCAAAAAATGTGGCCACAATTAGAAATCTTCCAATGAATGGCACATATGGTTTGGCTGGTGACAGGTACCCATCAATCAGTTCCTCCACCTGCTTGGTAAACTTTTCAAACTTCATCACATACGGATTCTCAGAGGGAATCATTTGGGCGATCGAATCCAACGCGGATGATGTGGATGTTCCCAAAGATGATTGGCGTTGAGACCGTGGATGGGCTCCAAAGGAATCATTCCTACCACCTGGAAATTGTGTGCCTCTGAATTGCATGATGCTAGATTTTGTTAGAATGCGGACACAAATCGAATTGCCAGTGATTGATTCTCAGGATCAGCCTCCTAAATACAATGGATCCCGTATCTGGCTTAAAGACTCGGCTAAGGACTTACAATTACTCAACTAAATCCTTTTTGTGTAGTCTACTACCAAAAAAGCCCAATTTGAAACTTCGAGTTTTTTTGACAACAGATCAATTTGCCGTCTAATGTTGACTTCTTTTGGCAAAACTAAAATAATTTTCATAAACCCCAGAAAGTGAAAATCTAGCTTGTGGCACTACCTTTGGATAAAACTCAAAAACATGGCGATTTTGTGTATATACACGCTAATTGACAGTATGAACAGATTCCAAATCAAAAGACTGCACGATCTGATATTGCTCTTTCACCTGTTTCGTCAATTCCCGGTAGAAAGATAAACTGATCTCACTGGTCTTCAGATCGCTCAAAATTTTCGAACGTCTCAAGGACTGCTTCTCAATTGTGGTTGCAAAAGCATTTGAAATGTCCTTTGCAGGGTAATTCAAGACTTTGCGCACCTCCTTCGATATACGCAGCGAATTCAAGTGTTGATAATCTTCGGACTCGATTTTCCTTTTGATTTTCTTCACAACATTTCTTTGGTAGGCGTAAGGAGCATCCTTATAGAGATAGTACAACGGCATTCCAATTGCAATTCCAATCAAGGTCCCTGGCACAACTTTAGTAACGACAAATTTAGGGATGTAATTAGATATGGAAGCAATCCCCGTGACAGTCGATATAACCTGAGGTCCGTATAAAATAGCCATACTCGATAAACCACCTGCCCAGAGTTTATTGGCAGTCAAGCCTATGAGTAAGTTCGTTCTCGAATCAGGAATAGTGATACCGCAAATCTTGCAAAAACTTTCGAAATTAGGGTCAACAAAGTCAAACAGTGAAACTTCATTCTCAATATGGCGCTGCAAGTTGTCCTTTTTCTTCGAGTACATCGAACTAGGGATGAATCTTGTGTTAGGCAAACTACCTTCTCCGAGAGCTTGAACTCCTAATCTTTTGATTTCATCGATGGCAGAACTGGTTTCGTTACGAGCATGTTCCTCAGCCGAACTAACTACCTCCAATATCTTTCCTATGATTCCTTCCTGAACCTGTCGAGCAAATTCAGTGATATTGGAGTATCCTTCAAATTTGATACCAAGGCTCAAATGATCCACTTCGTTAATGATTCGATTTATTTGATCGCGCGAATTTGTGTAAACTTCAGAGGACACAGACTCTATTAACCTTGATACCTTTTCGTTTGTCTTAGCTGATAATTGCAGGATTTCATCGTATTGAGGTCCAAGTTCCTTTAGCTCATTCTCTGCGCCTATCTTGCTTTCGTTGTATAGTTTTTCATTGATCTGAGAGAGTTCAATGAGATCAGAGTAGAGTTTCACGAGATAGTTTTTTGCAGGAAGAAGCTTGGACAGTGATCTTTTTTCGACGAGGAATTTTCGCAATGAAGCTTCTAAATGGTCAAAATCGGGAGAATGAGGGCCATCTCCATCATCGGGATTTCCATCTGGACCATCACCACCGGGATTCTGATTGATCATTTCTCTGGAAGAAACGAAATGCACGAAATTGCTTGAATTTTTATACGTTTCTGGGGACAGACTGTGAACCTGGTCCATAATCTTGCGCTTACATTTGTTCTGATCTCTGATATTGTCAAATTTGTTGACAACAATGAAGATCAAGTTTTTGTCATTTGTCGCACTGGAGATAAATTCCCTGCCAGATAAGGTAAAGTGGTTTTCGGCATTCACCACAAAAACGACCAAATCAATTTCCTCTTGTCTGGAAAACACCTGTGTGGTATGATAAAAATCTAAATTGAGCCCTGGTGCATCTATGAGCTTAATATCGATGACTCCATTTTTGAGCAGTGACTGATTCACCGGCCGATTATCTGTCACATACACTATCAAAAGCGAGTAATGTTCACTTTGATAAACCAGATGCTCCAACTCTTCTAAAGGAAATATTTTGTATGTTCGCTCATCGTTCTTCAGATAGACAGATCCAATAGGAACCGCGTGAACTTCCTCAATGCCGTTGTTGTTATCACGTGCATCGACTATTTCACAAAACACATTTGTGCAAGGCTGTTGGTCCTCGGGCATCACTTTCCTTCTCAAAAGAGCGTTACAAAATGCAGACTTGCCGGAGTTCAAATCCCCTGTTACCAGAACTTTCGAGGACGTATCATCGATTCTCTCCCCTAGAGACTTCAAGTGTCTTTTTATATGCGAGAATTTCTCGTTTAAAAGTTGAGAGAGAGCACTTTTGTCCAGCGTTTGAAGTAAATTTTCGGAACTAGGTCCTATTTTCAAATTGATTTTCAAGAGTTCAAAACTGTATGTTTCAGAAGATGAGCCTCTCTGCTCCGTCAATAAATGTTGAGAGTTACCCACTGAGTTGTGTCTTATGAGAGCAAGCTTGGAGCTTTTTGAGTTCAACTTGGAGTCCAACGTCTCATCCTGTATATTGGTTGGGTAGTAGATGGGACGCACGCTATTCTCTGCTTGCAAATTACTCAAAATATTGGAGGCAGTATTGATGGAGCGATCTAACGATATCCTGTTCTCGTTGTATTGTAGTTGCGATAATTGAGACCTCGCCAAATCTGTTGCTTGCGCAGAATTTCCGTTCAATACTGAAATGTTATTCTCTGTTCTAATTCCTTGCTCACCATTTACAAGGGTCTGACCATCAAATGTTCCCTCCCTTATATTAAAGTGTGCTACTGCAGGACCTTGAGGGTCTCCATTTGATCCAAAAAGGGTGGCGTTATCATCTTGGTCGGACTCGCCTAGAGAGAGCTCAGCAGGATTATGGTCTTTTTCAAACTTGTCTCCTGACATTCTTTACGTGTTGTGATAAAGTGAGACAGCTAAGGATGTCTACCTTGTTCCAGTAGTCACGGCAAAACGGTCTTAAACACAAAATTGTTATTTCCCCGTATTACGTCAGTAAAAGTTTTTTCATAAATATTGTATGTCTTTCAGAAGAAGGGGAGAGATCGTTAGCGGCCCAACTTCTCAACTAGTCGGAGCCCGAGCCCCTAGCTCTTTAATCTCTAGGGCTACTCCTAATAGAGGGGCTGGCGAGTACGTTTCTCGAGCAGCCTCAGCAGGGGGCACACCCAAGAGAAATTCTGAAAATGCATTGGCTAATCATGTCGGTGTGAAACCTTCGATCCTTACGTCGCAGCCATGCATATCTACCGGTTCCAGTGACATAGACAGTGTATTGGGTCATCAGGGACTGCCTTTGGGGTCCTCACTACTGATAGAAGAAACGGGAACCACAGATTTTGCATCTACTTTGACAAAATTGTTTCTAGCTCAAGGCATTGCACACAACCGAATCAACCCGTCCCAGCCCAATACCCACGATGTTTTGGTGGGTTTGGACCAGAACTGGGCCAAAGGTTTTCCTGGAATATACAAGGGGAGTAAAGAAAGAAAGAAGGAAAAAGTCCAGCAAAACGAGTCCAAGGTTAGTGTCTCGAACATAGTGAATCAAAATAATGATCTGAAGATAGCCTGGCGTTATGGGCTGAATCAAAGAAAAAATGAGAGCCACGATGATACAATAGACCAATATCCGCACTATAATAACCAATTCGACATCACCTCCGTGCTAACAGTCGCGCCTGGACCTCACGAACTAACATGTATTCCCAATGATAATTTTTCAAGAATATTGAAGCGGATCGAAGATACTGTCATCAAACAACCCAGCAAAATAGTTAGAATTGCAGTGCCTTTGTTTCTAAACCCGTTGGTTTACCAGAAGGAGACTAGCGCACCAGAAATTCTGAGGTTTGTTCACGGTCTGAAACAGATTCTCAAAAAATATCCAAATCAGGTCGCCCTATTCATGACTATCAACCTTGATCTGTACCCTCGAAATAATCCCCTTATTGGCTACATTGAGCTGCTGTTTGATTCTGTCATTGAACTGCGTCCGTTTGACCCTCAGCTGCACGATTTAATGGAACGAGTCTACAAAAACCAACCTGCAAAATTGAAGCATGGACACTTGAACGTTTACAAACTACCTATTTTGAGCGAGTCTGGCCTTATGTGTGTCCAGGAGATGGAATACAGTTTCAAGAATGGGCGAAGACGCTTTGAGATTGAAAAGTGGAGTATTCCGGTCGAGGACGAAGAAACTACTGATGACAAGAAATTGGAGTTTTAATATGTGAACCAATTGTAATACCAATTCATTACTTATATATCCGTTAAATCAATGCGTCATGAAATCAATGCGTCGTAAATGAGACACGATCTACATCGATGCCTCCACCATGGTAACTGCTAGCAGTCACTCATCTAAAGTCTGCATCTGGACTTTGTGAAACCTTTCTTCATTTTGTGAGTGATTGGAGCCACGTCTTTCTTTCTTGAAAACAGGCGGAATCTCTCCCGCATTGATCAAGTCCTCTAATTCGTCACCGTCTTTGCCCCAATTGCCCTTACCAAAACCGTCTTTCTTCACATGGTTAGGGTCCTGATCAAAGTGTCCACTGTGGGTAAAGTATTTTGGCTCTGCGTGAGAGCCCTTGTCGTTCCATTTTTCTGTTCTTGCCATTTTGAATCAATGAGTAATTCTCAACTTAACGAAATGCTGTATTTCCAGAGTATATATATGTATATATATCGGTATCTAGAAAACCGTGGAAATTGTGCCACTTTGAGCAACCACGTCATTCCCCGGTGGCAAAATATGGCACAATAGAGTTGTGTGCCGGGCAAAACACTAAAATTCCCGCGTGAGCCGCCCGACTGCCCCGCGCATTGACGTCACATAAGCAACACTATTTTGGCATTCTCGAACAATTTCGCCCCGAACATGCGCAAAAGATCGATAAATGACTTCCTAAACTCTGCAGACATCTTATTTGAGAAATCGAACAAATGGCCATGTTGCGACTTGGTGTGATCTAAAACGAGGCAGTACGAAAATATGTCACGCATCGCCCCAGTCGCCACCCAATCCGTAATCTGCCAAAGAGGAATTAATCCAGGTGAAACAAGCGGCAACGCATGAACGGTTGAATCCTCAGCTCGCCTCCACAGTTCATCGTCATTCTGATCTCCGAATTCACTGAGTCCGAGAATTCCACTAATCTCCTGTGCCGCTTTTCTGCCGGCCGGGAAACTCCCTCCCTGCACCCCGTAAATTTTCTCTGCAACATTTATCATGTGACTGACGGGGCTACGCTTTATCGTTGAAGGGACGGCTGGCTCTGTAGATGTTGATTCTGACTCGCTCAAAGCGATAAGTTGACTGCATTCAGTTACTTTCTTAAGCTCATCGAGGCTGTAGAAAGTGAGAGTGGTCAAATCCAAAATTTCACCGCCAAACTTGGCTTTGTATCTCATCTTGTGGCAGTCGTCGGCAAAGTATCCTAAGTAATAATACTTCTTTCCTAGCTGTTCCGTCAAAACCAGTTCCCGTAATGCACTAAGGGTGCCAAGTCCCAGATGAGCATAATCAGGGTCCCATATGAAATATACGGAAGACACAGAAGTAGGCAGAATATCCAAGACTCCTATGGCCACTAGCTTGTCGTTAATATAGTAGCACTCGTGAACTGGACCTTCCACCTGTTCACCCTCAATATCTGTAACTTCAAACTCCCGCCAGCTATTCAATTTTGACCAGTACTCTGAAGATCGAGAGTCCGAGTACAGCTCTGGAAAAAACGATTGGCATAAAAATCTCTTGAACCCTTTCTCTGAAACTTCATTGGGGTCGTCATTGTGTATTGTTGTTTGGTATTTCTTGTACAGCGCATACTTTTCAGTGCTGAAACTAGCAGGGCCAATTACTGTTCTGAATGTTGTGGTCCTTGTTTCGGCTCCAAGCAACGCGGTTTTAAGGTCAAAAGGTTTGTTTTTGTTTGTAGACTCTTTCCCTGTGATGAATCTGACAAATCTATTCACATTGTGTCTATGTTCCTTGGTGACCTTCAAAAGATTTATATTTGATCTAATTGTGTATAATCTGCAGCAATTGCGGAGCATGTCTGGACGATATAGAAAGCTCCCTGATCTTCTGAATCCTCGATTCATCATCAGCTCATATATCTCCGGGGTACACGAATATACATGGCAGCATATGCTGCTGGAGTTTGGATACTCGTCAAACGGTCTAATTCCCGCATGGTAAGCCTCCTCGTATGACTGTAAACTATATGACTTTCTGCTTCCATCTTTCTTCCCATGGCAATATCCACAATCTCGACCAGTAATGTATAATGGTTCACCAATCACCAAATCCATTCGATTCTGAGATATAATTTTAGTACATATTCATTATATTTTTTTTATGTTTGTGCTAATTGGAGTGCATCCACGATCAAATTGGTCTCCTAATCTATGATCCCACACAGATACAGCATTCCTGTATATCTTTATGGCCATCCGGGGCTCATTTGATATGTCTATTGCCCTACCCCAGGTTTAGTCATAATTACCTAATCTTCTTAAATTCTGCTCTTGAGGTTTGCTACTATTTTATCTGTACAAAATAAAACGATTTCCTCTTTGAATAGCAATTGATCAGTATGAGTGATACTAAAGTGGACATCCTCAAATTTGCAGACAAAGACGGTGAATACAAACGTAAGCCAAGCGTTTTTAGAGACTTCATCTCTTCCAAAGCTGGCGCTAAATTTCCACCAGAAGCTGGAAGGTACCATCTATATGTCTCCTATGCTTGTCCGTGGGCCCACAGAACATTGATTGTGAGAGCTTTGAAAGGATTGACCGCACTAATTGGAGTCTCCGTTGTCCATTGGCATATGGATGATAAGGGATGGAGATTCCCATCCAACGATGACCCATGCGAAGGCGCTACTGAAGACAAAATTTACGGAGTCAAAAGACTGAAGGAGCTTTATTTCAAGGCAGATAAAAACTACGATGGTAGGTTCACTGTTCCAATTCTTTGGGACACAAAGACTGAGACAATCGTGAACAACGAATCCTCGGAGATCATCAGAATGCTGAATTTCGAGTTCAACTCTTTCCTTGACGAGCATCACGCGAAAATTGATTTGTATCCTTCGGACCTTCAGCAGCAGATTGACGACCTGAATGACTGGATTTACCCAAACATCAATAACGGAGTTTACAAGGCGGGCTTTGCGACTAAACAAGAACCATATGAAAAAGAAGTCAAGGCGCTTTTTGAGAAACTTGACGAGGTTGAAGAAATTCTGAGAAACCGGTATCACCATGGCGAGCATTACCTAACGGGAAATATTCTGACGGAGGCGGATGTCAGATTATTCACCACTATCGTCCGATTTGACCCGGTCTATGTTCAACATTTCAAGTGCAACTTGAAAATGATCAGGTACGATTATCCCCACATTCACCAGTGGTTGAGAGAGCTATACTGGACAATTCCATCTTTTAAGGATACGACCAACTTCAGTCACATCAAACTGCACTACACCAAATCGCATGTTGGAATCAATCCACATCACATCACGCCTATCGGGCCAATCCCAAACATTGTGCCGCTCGGCAAATTTAAATAGTTTTTTGTATGTTTGTATTTTCTGAATATTAAATTATTTCATAAACTTGCAGATCTCACGTAGAAAATGTCAAACATTTGCAGAAGTAATGTTTTTCGTTTGGTTCGCCAATACTCCACTCAATCGGCAGCCTCCACATATGTTTCTCCCCAAATGGCTGAATTTCGTGTGGGGAAAATAATAGAGGTGAGAAAGCACGAGAATGCAACTCGCTTATATGTCTCACAAATTCAATTGACTGAGCACGCCCAGAACCCCAAGTTTGTTCAGGTTTGCAGTGGACTTGTGGATTATCTACCGATTGAAAGTTTGCTTCACTCAAGAGTTTGTTTGGTGACCAATTTGAAACCTTGCAAAATGCGCGGTGTGAAGTCAGAGGCAATGCTTTTAGCAGCCGTGAATGCTGACAATTCCAAGGTGGAGATAGTTAATGCTCCAAAAGATGTTCCCTTAGGTACCCTACTATATTTTGAAGGGCATAAAAATAAGCATGAGATTTTCACGAGACTGAGCTCCTCGCAATGGAAGAGTATCGCAGAAAACCTTCATACAGACTCGAACGGCAATGTGGTTTTTGGAAAAGACCAACCTTTACTATTGCGGAACACAATAAACAATAATCTTTGTACAGTTCACACGCTGATTAACTGCAATGTTCGCTGATATGTCTGTGTAAGGACTTGATGCTACATTTTGCACAGCCTTGGGGTTTTTGGGAACGGCTGCGGCTCGATCTGACTCAGGTACATGATTATCTTGTTTGCTAGCTACGAGATCGGAGTTTTTAAGGATGCTCAAATGACGTAACCATATCGCTGCCTATCTCTGCTGGGGCCTTCTGCCCCATCACATGCCCCCACATGAGGGCTGAAATCTTTAATAAATCAGTCTCCTTTTTTTACATGGCAATGTGTGTTTGCGGCGATGCCCAGAAAAAATTTCAGCCGAGCATGCCAATAATTTCAAAAGCTCTAGCCAGATTGCAGAGCTAGCCATGTGAACCTGAACACAAGTTGGCTTTGGTTTATGATCCTGCTTACGAGCAAACTCGCCCTAATCGGCTATTTGTTTGAAATTCGGTTACCTGAAGAGCGGAAAAAATACGCCACACACTAAACTTAGAAAATTTTGTTGTTGATAAATACCTTCTTCCCTTTTTTTAAACGATATATCTCTCGTACTAGTTTTCAAAATACTGAGAGTTGAAAACCTCTTGATTTCTTGGGCTATTCTACCTGACACAACATCTTATTGGAAAAGCAGCAACGATTGTGCGCTGTTCCGTCTTGCCGCTCAATAAATTACAATGTCAAAGCCACTTAAAAATTCATCCATCGCCAAACTCGTCGATCCAGGAGCAGTCGGTTCCGAACAGGTACAGGGAGGCCATGTGAAGCCGGAACTATCGAACCAATTTGCAGCGCCCACATCAGCCTCTTCGTCGTCATCGTTTTCGTCCAACGGTCTTCAGAGTCAGCAAGCGGCTCAGCAGGCCAACATACAAGCTGGCGCAGGACAGTATTATTCCATGCAACAACATCAGCAAGCCCCGCAGCAATATGGAGCTAGTTTTTTGCCCCCTCCAAACCCAATTAACATGCAGCAGGCCTACTATATTCCGTTCTTTCCAAACCCCTATTATAACCCTTCCCAGCAGCAGCAGCAGCAACAGCAGATATCTCAGCAGAGGTTTTCCTCTAACGTTCAACCGAGTGGAATGCCTTCAAATGGCGCCTTGAAACTCCCGACTTTTTCGGGAAACAGTCCTTATTATCAAAAAGGCAGCCAGTTGGCACAGGCTTCGTCGAGTATTGAGACACCATCACAAAATATCATCGCTTCCAGCCCATACATAGAAGGTTCTGAATCTGGCGCTGCTCTCAAACCTAATCCCTATGGTAACTCAGAGGCTGCCAAAAGAAGCCTGCAGTCTATTGATCCGGAGAACGAAACCAAACCCTACAAATGCTCTCAATGTGATTGGGCTTTCATCCGGCACAGCGACCTTCGCCGCCACACGAGATCTCATGGAAACCCAGAATATCACTGCCCGTACTGGCATCCGGAATATGCTACGTGTCCACATAGAAACCAGGGATCGTTCAATAGATTAGATGTCCTGAAAAGGCATCTGCGTCTAGTCCATTTTGATCCCGAGATTAAAGAACAAGGAAGGGATGGGTTGGTGAGAAGACAGGATGCAGGAACATGTCTCTCATGCGGCAAATATTTTGCCAGCAGCAAAGCTTTCATCGAACACGTAGACGACTGCGCCCTCAACACTCCCATGGAGCAATGGAGATACAAGAAAAATGGGATTGTAACAAGTGTGAAAAAAGAGAGAGGAAAACCATTTGAAGACAACTTACCGCAAAACTCTGACCAAGAATTCCCTGGTAACATCGAGCAAAAGGTCATCACGGGGAACGAAATACTAGTGAAATCAGAGCGTACGAAATTCAGGGATTCAAATTCGACCGAGTCCTTAGATACTGATGCCACAACCTCTAAAAGACTGGCTTCGTCGCTTGAAGGGGCTAAAAATGGCAATCATGATTACCTCAAGCGGCCAAGAGGGAGACCAAGAAAACTTGTGTCGTAAAAAACGACATCAGTTATTTATATACTGGTTGTATTGTTGTTTGTATACTAGAAGATGAAGTTCAGTGATTTAATTTAGTTTTAACGAAATTAAAAATTAAATACAGTATAAAATAATTTTTCCAAAAAGGGACATTAACGGGAACGTTAGATTGTTGCGCTATTTGAGAATACTTGTGTGCAATAGAGTTCATAATTCTTCAACATGAGAGGTATGTGTACATCTAAAAGAAGCAATAACTGACACTGAAGACTATAAACTGGTTGTTTTAGGTGCTGGAGGCGTTGGCAAGTCCTCACTAACGGTTCAATTCGTTCAAGGAGTTTATATTGAAAGTTACGATCCTACTATAGAAGATTCTTACACGAAGGAGATTGAGGTTGATGGTCGAGCCTGTAACTTAGAGATATTAGATACCGCAGGAGTTGCCCAGTTCACGGCAATGAGAGAACTGTATATTAAATCAGGACAGGGGTTTATTTTGGTTTACTCAGTCACCGACAAAAGCTCTCTGGAAGAGCTCATGGCAATTCGCGAACAGGTCATGCGCATCAAGGAATCTTCTAATGTTCCTATGGTTCTTGTGGGGAACAAGTGCGATCTCACAAACGAGAGGGAGCTTACACCAGATGATGGAATCGAGGTGTCCAAGAAGTGGAACAGAACGCCATTTTATGAAGCCTCAGCAATGTACAAAATGAATGTCGAAGATGCCTTCATTGATGTTGTGAGGCAAATAATCAGAAAGGAAGTCCAAGTGTCTTCGAGTGGTATACCAGGATCTGGCTCTCATCAGAAAGAAGACGTGCCTGCACCTGCATCATCTCGAAAACCATCCGAGAGTAGGAAAAAACCTACACCGGTAGCAGCAAAGACAATACCAGCTGCGGATGCCAAAAAGAAGAAGAAGAGAAGGTGTGTGATTCTGTAATTTACGACTTTGTAATTGAGACAATGCGACAAGCTCACGTGTAGTAGCACGGCTGTTGTTGGTACGAAGTTGCACTGCCTGGTCGGTCCAAATTGAGTTGGTTAAAGCTCAAAAAAAAATAAATGACAGCCGTGGGGTTCGAACCCACGCCTCCGAAGAGACCAGGACCTTAACCTGACGCCTTAGACCACTCGGCCAGACTGCCATCTTCTCTTACCTCCTTCTGTCAGGTGATTATACTGGGCAGACATAAAACTGTCATTTCATCAGTGCGCCTGAAATTTCTTGCAACGTGACGGCTGACGTTATGCATTTAAAAATGCATTGTTATCGTATTATTCGCGGTTACATACGAAGAATTCGGACTCACCTCGTGAAATTACGGTTTTTGGCAGCAAGTCATTTTATTTTTTTCAGTGCCTCGCATGTTCCACGTGAGATATGCCCGGAGTTTGTACTGAATATGGGTATTACACCACTCCGATATGTACAGGGTAGCGCCATTTTATAGAATAATCTGATTCGTTCAATCCTGCCGCATCTGGGGAAACAAGTGGCCTCCCGCAGGCGACATTCACACCACCCCACCATACTCCCTTTGCAGATATAAACACCCGATTTTCTAGTGGTAGCTTCCAAATCTATAAGATTGGAAAATGATGAAGGCATTATGCTACTTGGGTCAAAATAAAGGAATTCGTTGGCAATCGGTTCCTAAGCCTAAGGTCAAGCTACCAACAGATGTCGTTGGTAAGATACTTGCAACCACCATTTGTGGCACCGACTTGCATATTGTCAAAGGACATGTGCCTGAATGCACTGAATGCGCAGAGTCGCAGCCAGGACGGGGCTTGATATTGGGTCACGAAGGTATCATTGAGATCGAAGAGATAGGCTCCAAAGTCTCAAACTTTAAGAAAGGAGATATCTGTATCGTGTCCTGCATTTCGCCATGCGGTGAATGTTATTACTGCAAGAGGAACATTCAAGCCCATTGTAGAGAGACTGACACTCACTGTGGATGGATTTTAGGCCATGCTATTGACGGAACACAGGCAGAGTATGTTCGTGTCCCATTTGCTGATCACGGCTTGTACAAGGTGCCGAAGGGAATCTCTTACGACGCTTTGATCATGCTGAGTGATATTCTTCCGACAGCTTATGAAGTTGGTGTGCTCAACGGTAAGGTTAAGGAAGGAGACAGTGTGGCAATTGTTGGCCTTGGTCCGATTGGACTTTCCGCTCTGATTTCAACTAAGTCGATGAATCCATCCAAGATCATTGCAATCGATATGGATGACTCAAGACTTGAGGTTGCGAAAAGAATGGGAGCAGACGAAATAATCAACCCTTCAAAGACGGACCCCAAGGAAAAGGTCCATGAGCTCACAGCTTCGGAGTTCAAAAATCCAGGTGTCGATGTTGCAATGGAGTGTGTTGGTATTCCGCAGACTTTTGAGATGTGCGAAGATCTGATTGGTCCCGGTGGCCATATTTCGAACGTTGGTGTTCATGGAAGTGCGGTTCAACTGAAACTGCAAGAATTGTGGGGAAAAAACGTGACCTTATCCACCGGGTTGGTTTCAGCTTACTCCACCGCCGATTTGTTGCAGAAAATCGTTGATGGTAAGATACATCCCGAGTCTCTAGCAACCCACCATTTCAAGCTCGACGAGTTTGAGAAAGCTTATGAGGTTTTTGCAAACCCAGGAAAAAGTAAGGCAATTAAGGTCGTTCTGACCTCAGAATAGTCCATATTTTTAACACTCGTTCTTTGTTATGTAAGGCTTGCTAAACAATCAACCAGCTTCTTTCTTCGTATTTTTGTACTTTTCTTCGGACCTGCGTTTCTCTTCTGGATCAAGAATATTGATGCCTCCTTGAAGTGTTCGGGAGATGGCTTCTGTAGTTCCAATTATTGGGCGTATAACCATGATAGGGGTCGCTTTGGCGAACTCCCGGGCAGCAGTCTGTGCACTACCGCTCCGCGCAGCACGCGTGCTTGCGGATACAATTGCCTCTCGAGCAGTGTCCAAGTTTCTTCCCAGCGAGGTGTACGCAGTTTGCAAACCCTCGTTTAGATTTTCCGGCTGATTTGAGTAGAGACTGACAATCTTCTGACCCTCGTTGTCAGACTCATCATAATAATCATCTAAATCACTATCGCTCTCCAACACATCAGGTAGCTCAGCAGTACTCTTGAACACTGCAGGAACAAGAAACCGAGACTTCTGGTGTTGTTCGGCGTCCTGTGTACCAGCTCCATCCAGCGCCGGGGCTCCCTCTAAAAATTCTTCTTCCTCACCATAGGAATCAAAAGAA